GGACGACGCGGCCATCCACCTTGCCGCTCTGCCGGCCCTCCACATCAAAGAGTGCGTCGAGATCAGTGGGGATGACCAAATCGCCCTCCCTGACGGGACATACACGCACACTGAAACGAGCGTCTCATCTTTGCTGCGCATCACCGGACTGCAATCGACGTCAGCTCCGACACGTGCAGCGCCCCTGGCCGGGGATGCATGTACTCGAACAGCCCATCGCCCCATGGACGCACAGCCCCCTCCACGACAAACGGAGATGATGAAGAGGAGGACGGCGCCTGATCCAACGACGCGGCCATGCCCTCTGCGGCAGAGGGAAAAAGGAAGCTTCTCTCGTGCTCATCTGCTGAGGCCGTCGTGAGAGACGACCACAGGAGAACGGCAACCAGCGAGGCCGCCATTTTGTGCCCACTGAGTTTACACCGTAGTTTACACGTACCGGAGCTCTTATGTTCTTGCGTTGGCCTTTCACTCGGCAATGGAGGGTATCGGGCTCGTGGTTCGAAGCCGGGGAGGGATGGCTGAGATGCTGGTTGGACTGCTCATCCACAAGGGACTGGAGGCGTTCGCATTAGGGTCGGCAATGCTGCAGGTATGCAAGGCCATGCAAACAAGAAGAGGTGGTTCCGCTGTGCCCTTGACTCTCTCACTGTCTCCTCGTGTCCTTCAGAGTGGCGTGTCCGTCCGTCGTTTAGTCGTTCTAATATCTTTGTTTGCGTTGATGACACCTATGGCCATGTTGGTGGGCGGGATCGTGATGTGCGCAACGACAGCTGCCCTCACCGCCGAAGGAAAAATGCGACGAAAGAGAGCAAGCTCATGGACCGGTGTGTCACTTTTCTTCTCACAGGTGTGCTGACTGCCGTGTCAGCGGGCAGCTTCCTGTACATAGGCGTGTGGGATCTATTAGTCGGCGAGCTGAACGCCCCCATCTCTTCCTCCCTTTCATCGCTCTCTCTCAAAGCCAAGAAGCTCCTGGTGCTGCTGATCGGCTTCGCATCTGTGTGCGCACTGATGTCTATATCTGACCATGACAATCAGCACCCACTGCAGTGCAAGGCGTCCTCTCTCCCACCGATCTCACATCAGCATCCCGATGAAGACCAGAATTCGCCCGCCCTCCGCGCAAGGCAGCATGATGGCAACCAGCAAGCTGCAGAAGCACTTGCATATCCTTTCCCACTCGAGGGAAGCAGTAGTTGGCAGGGAGGGCCGCCGAGGGTGAGAAGGAAGAGGGGCGGTTATTGAAAGGTTGATGGTTGGGTGGAAAGGTTGATGAGCAATTGGAAAGTGACTTGACACATAGCGATCTATTGCTGACGATTATATACTCTGCTTTCACGTGAGCCGCCACGTTTGACAAAGGCCGAGAAAAACAAAACGGGAGTCACCAAGTACGCCTCAGCTATATATATGCACACTGAGCCTTCTACAGGGTGAAAGACGCCTTTCTTCGCTGCAAAGCCTCTTCACCCGTTCACCTTTACTGTGGCACATGATACACATAAATATTCATACCCATCCATCACGCACAGTCACAGCACAATCTGTGTGTGTCTCGTCTCGCCCATCGATTGTCTCAGAGCTCGTGTACACTTTCCCGGACACATCAACGCAGGTACCACATCCAATTGACCGACGTATGCCACCTATCTGTCAACAACCAGGGTCATAGCCCCACAAGCGATCTGGGCGGGTGCGTCAGTGCAACTATCCTCCTCTCACCCTCCCGTCCATCAACCCACACATCACCACACGATTCATCACCCTCGCACCTGACCAGGGGCAGCTGATCAGCACACGCACGAAGGAAAGATACATCAGACGTAAGAGTCGGCCAGCTGTGGTCACCTGACAGGACAGCACACACACAACACACAGCAGCCCACACATAACAGACAGGCAGAAGACTGTCATGCTTGTGTCGCTTACTTGCGAAAGATGGAGCAAACACCCGCAAATGCCTCAGGCGGACCTTCTGGGTCAACTGCAAGTCGAGCGGGCAGCACCACCGCATGCTTCTCTCGGCTGCCCTTCGCTCCAGTGCTGCCCTCAGCTGCTCTACGGTGCCGTAGAGGAAGGCTGATTTCTCGCCAACGTGGCCTGTGCTTTGTGGACAGGGAGAAGCGCCTCCGCCATCTTCATCATTGGGCGCGACATTTGCCGTTTTGCATGGCTCCGCAGCAGAGAGGATGTGAGAAGCACGACACAGCTCGTTCACACCTGCCTGAAAGAACATAAGGCAATCCAATGGCCATAACGGTCTTCTGCATCCTCGATCACATACCAGTGGCAAGATGGCCTTGAGCTCCCGCAGCACGACGTCAGTCACGACGAAGCGAACACTGCACAGACGGCGAGGCGCCGCTGCATCTTCCCTTGCTGACCGGCATTCACTCAGGTGCCGCTGCACCAGCACACCAGAGAACCTCCAGCCAGAGAATCCACGCATATGCAAAGGTTGGTGAAATTTTCTTACCGCGAGAATGCGCCTGCATTTTCCTGGATCCGACTGTTCATCGCCGACCTGCGAGGCACGGAGATCCTGATGGATGAGATCAGCGGTGACAGACACATAACAAACACAAATGAATGAATGAATGAACGAATGAACGAATGAACGAATGAACGAATGAACGAATGATTTTGTGATGACAGACGTATCAGGTGGACTGCTTGCCTGTTGGCGGGGCGACAGACATGCCGTTGCCCTCGCTTGAGAGTGTGTCATCTGCAAACAAGGAACAAGCAAAACATTCCAGCGCCCGCCGACGCATCTTTCATTTGTCACCTCAGAGCAGAGGGCGACGAAAGCACTGGTGTCCAAGTTGACGACGTCTGGCGATTCCTCGGGCTTGAGATTCACACCTTCTGCGGATCTTTGCATAATTCTTTCCGATCATGGCGTGCATGCTCTCGACGCCCACTCAGCGACATTCGGTACATTTGCCTTGCGTCGTTGAGAAAGATCGGCTGCGAGCTTAGCGAAGTCTAGAAGCGTTTCACAGGGTTCTCCCTTCCCTCCCGTTACCCTCCCGGGAACATTCACCTCCCTGTTCTTGTTCGAATGCCTGTCGCGATGGCAGGGACACTGACCAACGGCGCGCTGCCTCTCCGACTTACGCCGAACATTCGTGTGAAGAACGCAGAGCAGCTGTTGGAGAAGCTCAAGCGGTTCAGGCGAGATGGCACAGACGCCTTGCAAGTCATCACTGGTGAGAAAAACGACGAGAAGCCCGCCGCGAAATGCAGTTTCTCGCTTCCTGTGTGCAGACTTTGACGCCACCCTCACACAGGTCTTCATTGACGGCCAGAGGGCCAGCTCGTGTCACAGTGTTGTGGAGAATTTCTCGGGCTTCCCACAAGAGTACAAAGACGTGAGCTCACACATGCAGTTAACGGACGAATGGGCACAGTCGTTCACTTGTCTGGTTGGTTTGTCGGTGTGTGCTCCATCCAGAAAGCCAATGCGACGCTGGCAAAGTATCAGCCTCTGGAGATGGACCCCAACCTCCCCTTCGACACAAAACTAAAATACATGAACGAATGGTGCCACAGGCTGACAGGGGACGGAAAGCCAATCCATTTTCATTCTCGTTGCGTGTCTGGTTTTGTGTGTGTCATTGTGTGTGTCAGGTGGACGACGAGCCACAACTTGATGGTTGCGCAGGACATCCACCGGGACACAGTGGAGCACATCGTGGATGAGGCTGTCAGGAACAAGAGATTCAGTCTGCGGGAAGGATCACACGCATTCCTCGAGGTACGCCCGCCAGACAAAAACACAACGAGAGGAAAAGGGAGAGGCTTCATGGCACGCCTGTTTGCCTTCATGTGTATGCAGGTGTGCACCAACCTTCGCATACCAGTCACTGTGCTCTCGGCAGGCATTCAAAGTGAGCGAGCAACAGATAACGCACTCCTGCAGGAGCACTGCAGCGTAGACATCGTCCCGTCCTCTCTTCTGTTCCAGACATCATCGAGGAGCTCTTGCGCCGCGAGAGCATCGCTGGCTTGGTTCCTACGGCGCATCATGACACGATTGGCGAGGACAACATGGACCTTGACGCAGAGGAGGTGCACGTCGTGTCCAACAAGATGCTCTTCAACGAAGAGGGCCGGTTGGTCGACTTCTCGAGCGACTTCATTCACACGCTGTCCAAGAAGAAATACCTCAGGTGACGGAGGGAAGGCTGATGCAACCCTTGAATTTGTCGTCGTGCACGTCTCTCTCTTGACGCCTTTCGTCCTTCTCTCACAGGCAGTATTTGGAACGGAATCCGCAGCGCCATGCGCGGCACAACGTGCTTGCCATGGGGGACCTCATCACTGATGTGTCGGTAAGGCACATGTGCCATACACCACCACCCTCAGACCAATGGCACATGTGTCCTCTCTGTGTGCCACACATTCAGTTTCTTGAGGCCGTTCCATCGTGCAAGAACTCGATCGCGATTGGGTACCTGAACTACCAAGAGAAAGAAGACGAGCTGCTTGGTAGGCTGGGAGGGCTATCGCCACCGACTCAGCAACTCATGACATAGCTGTTCACGCTCTCATTGTGTGTGCAGAGAGTTATCTCGATGCGTTTGACGTGGTCATCCTTCGCGACGGTTCGATGGATCTGTGCAAACAGATCATCGAATATGCCGCCACGAGCGAGACCAAGGACGCAGGGACCGAGAGTCACGATAGTAGTGCTGTGTCTACCGGCTGCACCGGCAGGATTGCCGGCTGTTGACTCCTGACTCGAGTAGGGACCTGGCTGTAGATTATCTCTACCTTCATGTGTGTGTGCGTTTATCCATATCATCTCCGTTGCGTGCGGGCGGCTTTCGACGTGTCTTTGTTGGGATCTGTTCTGTTCATTGACGGACGGATGCACATAGAGAGCGTCCATTGCCATTGGACACACAGAAGCTGTAAAACGACACCACAGACCATCATGTACACACATGCACGGATGGATAATCACTGACAGCGTAGTACGTCAAGTCATCACTCGCCAAACCAGCCCCCCTTCTGTACAAGCAAGTGCCACACACTTCCACAAACCCGCGGTCGCCCAGTCGTTGCATCATCCACACATAATGTGGTTGCCATTCCTCTTTGTTGTTCTCTTCCTCCGGCGTGCTTGGGCCTCGTTCGTGTTGATTCAAGCCAATCATCGCGAACACCGTCCCAGGCAAGCCACTGAAGGACGAACGCCTCGAGAGAGCAAGTGGCAATTGCATCATCATGCCGACTTGTTGCCGATAAGGACGTCCTTCGCCTCATTCACCTTTGAAGCCACGAAATTAGAACCTGATAGCGCAGCAGCAGCACACATCACTGAAGGCCGTGTGATCTTTGTGTTCGTGGCCCGTACCGCCATTGTCAGGATGGTTCCTGAGCATGAGCTGCCGATGTGCTTCGCGGATCTTCTCTGTGGTGGCCATGGGACTGAAAGCATCAACAAACACACATACTCCTCGTGATCTGTCTTTCATCGCTGATCTGTGCAGACAGTGCTGTTGCTTACGGCAGGTTGAGTATTTTGTAGGCCTCTGAGGAGGACATAGGGCTCTCGAATCCCTGCATCTTCCCGGTCATGCCGTCGAGTCCGAAGCCCTTCATGCTCATGTTCGGAGGCTTGAAGTTGATGTTTGCTGCGCGGAGGGCTCGCAGGCCCTGCCGAGCAAGCAGGGCACCGCCACCCACACCCAGCAAGATGAAGGGCCACATTATTCTGGCTGCTGATGCATCGCTCCCCGCCGGATTCCCCGTCAAACGCGGCTTGCCCGTCAAACACAAAGCTTCGGGAAAAAAAGAAAAACAACGAAATTGCGGGAAAGCAGAAGGGCATAATCCGATGGCTGCTCCGTCCATGATGGCGTCGCATGCTCCCGCAGAATGGGGGTACCGAATTCTGATTTCTCATTCAGGGGCCGAGTGGTGGCTGAGGGCTCGAAATGACCTCACGGGCCGCAAGAAGCTGGCTGAAGGGGGGCCTGAGTCGTACTACTGGCAAGAAAACTGCAACAATGGCGACTACTTTAACACGGACAGCAAGATGTGGTCAGCTCGATGCAGTGATGATAGGGGGAGACACAAAAGGCACTCTTTGAGCATGTGTGCAGGATGTTTCGCTCATCGAAGGGTAACAGCCAGGCGTCTCGGTGCGTCCCTCGCCTCCGGGACCGCTACCCCTACATTGTTTGGTCGTGCGGCCAATGCGCTCAGTGCCTCTCCCAAGGATGGCACGCTTGCTCTCAGAGAAGGATATATGCCAACGTTTTGGCCACGGATGGAGTAAAGGTGACCCGCGTGGCGTGTCCATGCGGCCAAACATACGGTGAGAACAGACCATGGACGAGGAGTAGACACTTAGCTGATTGGCGCGTGTGTGTCCTGCAGATTCGACCAAGTTCTTTCGGGAGCATTTGGCATTGCGGCACAGTCCTTCACGGCTGTCGAACCCGGGTGCTGCACCCATGATACTCGAGGGAATCGGTAAGTACTGATATTGCAATCAATCTTGATACGCTGAGAGATTCCAAGAAGACAGACCCATGGCGGCGGACACGTGTTTCTGTCTGTCTTGTGTCTCATCAGGTTTGTTCCAGCAGGTTGACAAGGACGTGAGCCAGCAGCCCTATGTCGGGCTCCTTTGCCTCCCTGTCGGACACCCTGGTACGTAACTACGCGGGTCAAACAATGACACACGATGGCGAAATGTCCTCCTGTCTCACCTTGATTTCATGTAGATTACAACAAGCAGATCGACCTGGCGGACACGAAAGTGATTGCGTACATTCCCTGCTCACTGGCACCGCCCCTCGGCGATCGCGCATTCTTCCCGCCCGACCTAGAAAGCGTAAGTATGAAAAGCAAGCGAGACATCAGCTGACGGGTTCGGAAAGTGGTGCCTCTCTCGGCGTCACTGCAGATTGGCCCGCTTCGCACGAGCGAACAGCAACGAGAGGATTTGCGACTGATGCGCTCACCGGGCAAGACCATGATTACTGCCTCCCCGGGCTATGCTGCCGTGCAATCGCCTCCGAGTGCCATCAGCTGGTCCCACCCCCCGTCCCCTGACCCACACCCCCTGCCGCCCCTCACACATGCGCAGCATCATCACACAGCGATGGCCCAACACCCGCAACAGCAACATGTCCCCAACCAGCACCACCAGCACCATGACCACCACCATGAGCACCACGCACAGGAAGAGCAGGAGGACAGCGAAGAAGATGAGGGGCATGAGAATGAGGGTGACGTTGCTGGCAGTGACGTGAGGCGTCTGATTGACGGCCTCAACGAGAAGTATCGTGCCATGGAGCAGTGTGTCGAGACGGTTTGGAAGCTGAGAGAGGAGATCAAGCATCAGCACCACTGGTGGGCCCACTGAGATAGAAGTACAGACAAGTCCTGTCTCCTTCCCTCTCTCTTAGCCTCACATCGATTCTCGAGAAGCGGAAGTCGGACTCCAGCGTTGCAGCCACTCATCCCGCCGACTTTGTCATGCCGCCTCCGCTGAAAGCTCCCCGCCACGATACCTCTCACGATCACGTGCACCCGTCCCTCCCCCCGCCCCTGCCCCTCCCATTCGACAACCCAATCACGCCGTCGAGCTTCTTCCGACCTCCATATGCCGTCACACCCTTCAGTGCACAAATAGCCGCCAGCCCCGCAGGCAACCCTATGTCGATGCTGCACCCGCTCATCCGCCCGTCCCTTCGGCCCGGCGGAGTAACCGACGAGAGCCCACTGGCCGCCGACAGCCCTGTGCGGTTCGTCCCGCCGGCTGTCGGGGGTATGTCGAGTGATGATGTGTTTGTCGGGTCGCCCAGCCACATGCTGAGGGGCAGGTCTGAGATGGAGGCGTCGCTGACACTGCCGCCGCCCCCCGAGATCAGAGGGAACGATGGCAGGAAGGAGTTGAAGAAGGAGAAGGTTGGCTAACCCTGATTTTCGTACGCTTGTAGTGGTTTGGCGGATTGGTGAGAGGATGAGTGCTGTGCTTTTCTTCTTTGAGGCCTGTGCCGTTCGTCCATGAGCTGTTCTGGGGAGGGCGGGGATGGGAAGACTAGCGCCTGCGTCGCCACCTGAACTGCGTATTTTTGTCCGTGTGAACTGAATCAGCCATCAATCGTGCGATTACAGCCCCCAGTGGTCCCCATCACGTCCCAAACCACACACGCGTCCATACACGCTTGCACACGCGTACAGGCCCCGACATGAACTGAGTTGTTCAGTTGGCCGTCTCTACGAATGCGGTGCCAAGTCGCGTCTCGGACGCCAGCCATTTGATGACGTTCGTCTCTGGCTTCAGGCAGTCCTTGAATTTCCTGGCGTCATCCGTGGGGAAGCGAACCGGCGAATCGAGCGCGTCCTTGTGCACAAACGTCACCAGTACATGGACCTGAGGAAGCAATGGGCGAAGAGGCAAAGCGGAGTCGTATCTTTCCTCTATGTATTGCATATTTGCGATCGCACTTCGTCATGATGCTTCAGATCCAGCATGGGCTCCTTCCTGTCTTCGTATAGTGTCGCAGGACAATCCACAAAGCCCACCACATTGCCACGGACCTGAAGCGCACATGGAACAGAACACAGTCGTGCAAATGTCTGACTCTCATCCTACTTTCTTATGGCCTTGGGAGCCTTCCGACCCACACAAGAGCACCACCTTCGCAAACAGGGTCAACCGCTGACCCTACAGAACACAGGGTCAACCGCTGGCCATACGATGTCTGTGTCTCCTCATTGACATTTTACGCACCTGTGAGTCCGCTACCACAAGCTGCCCAGCCGCATCCCTGACAATGGGGGGCCGTGGCCGTGTCTCAGGCGCCGCTACACGGGGAGGGCTCACAACAACTGCGGCCGGCTGCTGCGGTGGTGGTTGCTGTGGCTGCGAGATGCTCCATCCTGGCCTGGGATAGGAGAGGACCGCTGCGTTGTTCTTGGCAATGATCGTGTGCAGGACGGACGTGAGCTTCGTCAAGTAGAGGGACAGGCTGCCATAGGTCGGCCGAAGAGTGTCGAATGAAAGCGGTAACGGAGACTCGAAGGCGCGACGGACCTGACACATGCAGCAGAAGGACAGCATGTTTGTATGAGAAATGGGAAAGCCTATTGTCTCTATATGTCACCTCTGTGGTCTTCTGCCTGAGTGCCTCCTGCACTGACTCAAACTCCCTCAGCAGCTGCATCATCTCTTCAGACGCCCTCCCAGCCCTCCCCCTGTCCTCCCTCGAACTGCCCGGCAAAGAATCCTCACCCATTGTCCTGATGCCATAGTCGCATCTCGGCATGTCAGGCTGGCTCATGTCCAGCGAAGGAGACACAGGCAGCCTGAAGATGTCGTGCGGCTCAGATGCACGACGGCCCTCCCGGTAATACTTTTGAGTCGCCGAGCTGTGACCGCCGGACACAAAGAGAGGCATCTGTTGCGGCCCTAGAGGAACATGCAGGGTATTGCCGTAGCTGCCTCGTCTGCTTCCCACTGGCGAGCCGATAGGTGAGAAAGTCCGCTGCTGCTGCTCATAGGCGATGCGACTTCTCAGCCACTGATGCCACTGCTGCGACTTGTGCGGCGGCGGAGAGGGCGGGGGATAGGGGTATGCTAATCGATACGGTCCCAATGAGCCGCGCCTGTCGAGCAGCATGTGTGTGGATGGCGAAAAGTGAAGGCTGTGTCTGTAGGGCGGCGGGATGTGTGAGGCGAACTGGGCCGGGTCGGGAGGGGGGCGACTCGGAGGCAGGTGGGGACTGGACTGAAGCTGCTGACTGTGGCGGTTCATCGTCCAAAATTGTTATTTCAAGTAGCTTGAAATATTTCAAGGTGCCTCTCGGCAGAGACTGGGGGTGCCCCCCAGTGCATGCGGCGAGAGTCAGTGGCAGCATCATGTTTGGATTCTTGCATCGTCCAGTGACTCAGCGCACCCCCCGTTTGCAGGGCGAGGAGGGTGGGAGAGGAAAGAAGAGCCTTTCGAGCGTGCGTGTTGAGGAGGCGTGTTACATCCAGCTGCCGAGAGTCGACGAGGGCGACGCCGCCGCCCAGCAGGCCATCTACCACACACAGACGGGCCATCCCAAGGTCACCTTGCAATGCTCTTAGTGCACCTCTGCGTGTGTGGCCATCGGCCTCTGATGTCTGTGTCCCTCCCTCCCTCAATGCATTGCAGATGTCAGCGTCGGCCTCGAGTGACCAGGTCCCTCTGCTGCAGGACGATGAGCAGGGGCTGGTGGAGCCCCAGCTGCCAGACGTCACCGATGGCATCACCAAGGCACCGAGACGCATCGAGCAGGTCTGTGGCTGTGATGCGGGCAGCGGCACGAGTAGACACTCTGAGAGGTCTCTTGGACGTCTGTGTGTCATCGGCAGGTGCCCTTGGTGGGCGCCCCAGCCGCAGACGATTGGGAACCGACGGAAGCCCTGAAAGACACCATTAAGAAGGCCATCAAGGAATCAGATGCGGAGGGCCTGCGGAAGGCCCTTGACGATCTGTCGCCTGAGCAAGTGGAGAAGGCGCTGACAACTGGAGAGTGGAAATGGGGCTCGGATGAATGGGAACAATCAAGCTCTGCCATCCATTACGCCGCACGTATGCAATGTCGCATCACTGCTCACACGTGATGCAGCTACGTGGCCCATGTGTCGCAGGGGAGTGTGAGGATGTGGCTGTGTTTGAGGTGCTGCTGCACACTCGACGACACCTGCTCAACCTGGAAGATGATAAGGTATCGTGCTCGAGAATGACAATGATTATCATTCTGCCCAGCAGCCGACCGATGTCTTCACTATTATATCCATGCTGTGTCTGTAGCTTGATAGGACACCTCTTCATTTGGCAGCAGCGGCCGGGTCAGTTGATGTTGTGGAGAAGTTCATCGAGTGGGGCGGCAAGGAACTGCTGGAGGCCCGGACCAATGTAAGGAGGAGGGTCTGTCGACTGGTGCATTGAAACAGCATGTGTCTTGTTCATGCTGTGATTCAGTGGGGCAGCACGCCTCTTCATTGGGCAGCAGAGGCCGGGTCAGTTGGTGTTGCGGAGAAGTTTGTCGAGTTGGGCGGGAAGGAGCTGCTGGAAGCCTCTTCATTGGGCAGCAGAGGCCGGGTCAGTTGGTGTTGCGGAGAAGTTTGTCGAGTTGGGCGGGAAGGAGCTGCTGGAAGTTCGGAACAACGTAAAGGACAAGGGCGTGTCAACTGGTGCATTGGACAAAATGTGTGTCTTGTTCACTGCTGTGATTCAGCGTGGCGAGACGCCTCTTCACAAGGCAGCATGTCCAGCAAATGACAACCACATGAGTGCATGAGCCTTCAACTTGTCTTTTGCGCTCTCCTGCAGTAGAGGGCAGGTCTGATGTCGTGGAGAAGTTCATCGAGTTGGGCGGCAAGGAACTGCTGGAAGCCAAGGATAAGGTGAGAAAATGCAACTCAGAGACAGTACGCAGAGAATGTAACGATTGACGCAAGTTCTTTCAGGATGGTGATACAGTGTTGCATGACGCAGCATGTAAGACAAACCGAATCGCGAAAGTGAATGCGCAGGAATTTGGTGTGCGTCAGATCGAGGACGAGCGGATGTGACGAAAGCCATCCTAGTCGTGGACCCTGGTCTTCTGGACGTGAAGAATAATGTAATCGAAATTACCTCTGTCAGCCGTTGAATTGGTCATGCGCTTTGGTGGCAGGGTGGAAAGACGCCTTTCAATATTGCCCTGGCGGGACAGACCGCTCCAACCGTCACCGCAATGATTACAAAGGCGCGAGGATCGGCGGGAAAACAAGTCATGCAGCTGCTGGGAACAAGTGGACGACTCAGGCTGCCAGGAACAAGTTTTCTGTCCATACGCTTTCGTGACCCGGGCCTTGAGCTCATGTTGCAGCCGGGAAACCTTCTTGTACTGCTGCCTTTCATCAAAGAGATCGTCCCACAGCATCTGAGGCAGGACTCCGAATCGCCGGGCCTCGACACTCTTCACTATTGCTCTGCCTTACGCGAATTGATGAAGTCACGAGTCAAAGACTCTCTCACAGAGTACGAAGATTGGACACAGCTCAACTGTACCACAGAGTATCTGTATGTGTTGGATGGCTGGTGATGTGCAGTGAAATCGTGAAAACAGCTGACTGGCTCGAAGTAATCGACGGGGAATGCGCACGGCATGGCTCTATCTCATCTGCACAAAATATCTGCTTCATTAGGGCCTCACGACCAGCTTCTGTACCGATACAATCGAAGCAGACTTCCGCCAGTCACTGCAAGGGAAAGAGGAAGAGTGGTTTGAGCTGCTCGATTCCGCAGAGCCCAAAACAGTGGTGATTCAAGGTAAGCAGCACACAGGCATCTCTTTCTGAATGCTCATGCCTTGGAATTGCTCTTTCTTTTGCCTATCTGTGACAGCCAATTGCATCTATCTCACTACGTATCACTGGCAGAAGCCATATCCAGATTATCAGCGCTATCTCCGAGATGACGTGAAGGCAGCCGTATCGCCTCGGACTGTCTTCGTGAGCCGCGTGCTCGCAATGACGTTGCTGTAAGACAGCAGGGCATATGAGTGACATCAGACTTGTCTTTACCTGTGCTACAGCGTACTCTCGGTGCTTCTTCATGCCGAAAGAATCAAAGGGATCAGTCCCTGCTGGAGCATGGCTGAGACCTCACTTGGGAGCGACCTTTGCTCAATAGTGAAGCACATGTATGTTGGGCCTTACATCGTTTGGCCTTGGGATTGGGCTTGGCGCAGCGGTGCGTGGTTCTGGCTTTCTTCCGCCACCGGCATCGGATTCATTGCACTTGAAGTCTCACAGGTATGCTGACTATGTCTGGTTTTTTGTCATCCTACTGTATGCCTACTTGCAGAGCTTCCGCCAGGGGGCAGTCAGTGTGGCATCCATTCTCCTCTTGTAAAAGTGGTCAAAATGCAAGACAATGGAGTGGAATTGCATTCTTTGTTTCTGCAGGGTTCCGTCTGCGATTTCCGATGGCAGACCAATCGAGCAGTGGCTTTTCAACCAACAACCGCCACACACCTTGGGCGGCTGGTTGTGGAATCTGTGGCTGGGACTTCTTATTTTGGGAGCCCTTTCCAACCTGTTGGAAGCCATACTCCTCCAAGCCATCCTCCAAGCAAGACAGATCAGGAGACACGCCTTCTCATCGGTTACGTCCACCCTTGTCTGTCTGTGATTAGGGCGAGCTACTGAGTGCAGCATACTGGGCAGACCCATGGTGCGCGTCAAGGGTGCTGGCGCATCCATTTCTGTGCTGATTCATGTGTGTCGGCACCACCACTTAGGAACTATGTGGATATGGCATCGTCGCTGGCAATCGGTGCTTTCGTGGCCACCCACTTCAAGGACTACCCGGCGGAGATCGAATTGAGCTTATTGACCGTCATTGTGCTCCTCTTTGCGCTGCGCCTCCTGCAAACGGCCAGCCTGCACCCAACCGTGGGACCACTCATACTGTTAGTGAGAAAGAGAACACACATGGACACAGACAGAGAGGTGTGTCATACAATGTGCCTGGTGTCAGTGCGGTGATGAAGATGTTTTCGGACATCAGCATGTTTCTGTGTCTGTACGTTTACATCCTGCTGGTCTTCGCGGGCGTCTTCACCCTCCTCTCGTCCGACGAAGACCACCAGTACTTCGGCTCCTTCGGCAAAGCCACACTCATACTGTATTTAGTGACACCAGCACGGAGAGAGAGAGCGCCAGTCGTGACGTGCACGGTGCTGTTGGCTGCATTCCATTAGTTTCTACGCGGGTCTTGGCGAATTCAGCGACCCATTGAACAACGCTATCGAGAGCCACAACACGCTGGGGACCGTTTTACTGCTCACTTACGTCATCCTCTCGTCAATCATACTCGTGAGACTCAGCGGCACAAGCACCAGTCCTTGAGGCAAATGAAAGACTTCCTTCTTGTTTTCTCTCCACTTAGCTCAATCTCCTTATCGGCCTTATGGTGAGACACACACACAAGACATCGAATGTCCCCAACAGCTGACTGGAGCTACTGTCTTCGTCTGGGTGTGTTCGTTCCCGTCAGGCGTCCACGTGGGGGGACATCGAGAAGACGCAAGCTGCCCAATACCAGTGACACAGCAGCAGACACACCGACCACGGCGGCACAGATTGGCTCTCTGTTCTCTCGTGAATGACTGAGTGCAGGTTGCTGCGCATTCGTGTGTTGAATGAGTATTCGACTATGCCTTGGCGTGAAAGAATCCCGCCGCCATTCAACCTCATCGGTCGGTGGCCCAAGAGGGGCAATACTCAAATCCATTCACGTGTGGGAGTCTGTGTATGCAGCTGTGGTTATGTCGGGCCCCTTGCGATGTGTCGCCTCCCTCATCAGCGAATGTTGTCGACAGCAGTCGGCACTCTGCCGCATTGCCTTCTGGTCGATGAAGGCCGTCTACTCCACCATCGACGCCCTCGTCTACACCATGGCCTTCGCGCCTTCTTTCTTCTGTCCGGCTCTTCGACGGGGCTTAGAGACAGGCTTTTACTGCGGCCTTTACTGCGCAGGAAAGGTGATCCACAATGAGGGTCCAGACAGACTTCTCGTGTGTGTGCTTGGTGTCAGCAGATGCCTCCGCAGTTGTCACTATTGGCAGAAGTCCTCAAGATACTGATCTTCTACGTCGGCTTAATCGCGTTTGGTCCAGTGCTTTTCCTGATGAAGATTTTGCAACTCCCGGTCATCATCGTGCGGACAGAACTCCTCGACGTGAGAAGCAAATCGATACCGATCTGCAAATCTTGCCATGTTGCACTCAATACTGTCAGGAACCCGCCGAAAGAGGTGGTGAAGCAGCCGACGTTGAGGAAACTGAGGGCGACGAAGCTCGGAAGGGGCGTGAAGCGACAGACAGGATCAAGGAGAAGATTGACAAGTGGATTGAGACCACGAGCCATCACGACGCAAACTTCCCCGACGTCATGGCAGGTGAGAGAGACAAAGAAGGGCCACACAGACAGGCAGAGCCGTAACGTGTCGTACTCTATTTTGATCGTCAGGGTTGATGGCTATCGACAGACGGCAAGTGGAAATGGAGGAGCGCCAATTGCAGGGGGACGAACGCCAAATGAGAGGCGATGAGAGACTGACACAGGTGGACGAGCGACAGATGCAGATGGACAAACGGCAAGTGCAAATGGAAGAGCGGTTGGAGAGGCGATTGGCGGAGATGGAGACACTGATGAAGGAAATCAGGGCGAAGCTCAACTAGAGCCGACGAGCCGAACAGACAGACACTACTCATGAGAGACACCATGATGGCAGCTACCATGACCATTGAATGCCTGGCTGGCTGAACCAAACAAAGAGACCTGAACAGAATTCATGAAGAGATAGATTATGTACAACTGAGCTACACAGTCACCTGTTTGGTGACATGATTGGTTTGCCCGATGACTGACCAAAAACAGCCTCCTTCTCGTGTGGGTTTCCGGCTGCTTGCGTGATCCTCCATGAAATGCTGCACAAATTCTCTTCACACACGAAGTCTTCCAGTCAGTCGACACGCATCGGTCCACCAACAACCAAAGAGCAACAGGCACCAATAGCGAAATCATGCACACACTCTCCACACACACGAGTACTCGCCCGTCCCCTCATCCCCCATTGCCATCCCGTGCGCACCACTGGCTGAGTGTGAGGAACGACCCGCCGCCCGACCTGACCATCAGCTTGCCATTCTTCAACGACAGCAGGGCTCTCTTCTTGACTCGCCCGCTCGACGACGCGTACTCATACACACCCTGTACGCATGATACACGGATAGATCACATGGACCATGCATGAGCTATCCCTTTCTCATGACTTCACCTCTTTTATGCGCACAAAGTTGCCCCCGCCGATATGGCCAGGATTCTCCCGCAGGTAGCTGGTCAGGTGCGCGTCCACATCGTCGGCTGCCGCCCCCGGTGTGCCGCCCAGCGTCTGTGTCTTGGCGCTCCGCAGCCCTTCCACCTTGCTCCGCAGGTCGGGGCTCCCACCCGCACCCTCCCTGCCTTTCTTGAGCGCATCCCGCTGCTGCAGATACATGTCCCTCAGACTCTTGGCCGTGTTGCTGCTACTGCCGCTGCCGGCGGGGCCTTCGGGGTGGATGTTGTCGCTGAATGCGGGGCTGTGTGGGGGCAGGGGGGGTGGGCGCTTCGGGTGCGGTTGTGGGGCTTCCCTGCCTCTCTGGCTGCGGGACTTGGTGCTGGTGAGAGTGCTCGCCGGCATGGCAATGGATGGGTTGGACGTGGTGCCGAAGGTGAAGTGCTTCATGGTCGGGTGGGACGAAGAGACAGCCGACGTGTGCTTGCCGCCCGGCCGGCCTCGCAGCTGGATGTTCGACGGCGGACTCGGCAGCGCGCTCTCGTCCTTGCTGATGCCCTTGGGTGTGCTCGCCAACGTCCCAGCGCCCTTCCTCAGCCGATTCTTATTGCCGAGCGGGGCCTGGCCGCCCTCCATTGTCGGCTCCCTCTGCATGCTGTTGGGGTTGGTGTCGGCGTCCACCTGAGAGGTGAGCAGCTTGACGTACGATGCCCCTTCGGCCACCTCTGGCGGCTTCAGCGGCCTCTCCTCGGGATTGGGCGTGGCCGGCGAGTCGTCAAAGTCGGCCGCCAACTGCAGCCGTGAGTGGATGTCTAGGATGGAGGGAGGGGGCGGGGCGGCGACGATGTGAGGCGCTGCATCGCCCATGAGGCCGAAGTGCGGCAGCGGACGGTGGCCGCTTGGCTGCGAATGGGCGTCATCGACGCTCTCGGCCATGATGTCCTCAGACGACGTCTTCTTGCTAGGCCCGCGCACCCAGCTGTCCAGCCGTGGCCGTCCCTCACCTGAACCACCACCACTAATCCGCCAATTCCGCACGCGAGACACAGGGGAGGCAGCACCGTCGTCTTCTTGCATAGTCATCCAATCGTAGCCGATGCCGCGCACATTGTATGCCCATCTGGGGGGCGGGGGCACAGACGCCTGACTCGGCTCGCCCTCCCACAGGCTGCGTGAGTGGGTGGGCGGGGGCGTGCGCTGACGGTTGGGCTCTCTGCTATAAGGAGAAGGCCGCTCGAAGGACTCTTCGATCGACGCGTGACGGCCCATCTTCTCTGGCGGTGGGTTGGGGGAGTTGAGCAGGAAGTGATGTCGCCCCCGACCCAGAGTGCCGGCTAGCGAGCCGCCCGATGGCTCGTCTGGGGGTGTGTGCTGGCCGACAGGTGGGCTGTATGGGGGAGGGGTAGAGGGAGGAATGTCTCGCGAAACGGCAGACTTGCCGTCGGTGCTGCTCTCGCCAAGGCTGCAGATTGTGCAAAGACAGACAGACAAGAAGATGACCAGGTGCATGTGTGCCTGCAGCTCGTCGTTCTTCGTATGTCACCTGATTCTCCTGTCGATGTTCCTGAATACGTCATTCTCGAGGCTGAGAAGCGCCTCCCGTCTGGCCGCCAGCATATCGCTGGTAGTGCTACCGATGCCCTCATCTCTACTGGCCCGCCTCACACCCGACGACACGACGTGATGGTGCTGATGCTGCTCATCGCTGTTATCCGAGGGCCTCCTGCCACCACCACCACCGCCACTGCCTCTCCTACTGGCCGTGGCTATCCCTCCTGCCTTCTCAGGCGGCCCGCCCGCCCCCTGCGCAGACGAGGAGCTCGCCGTCGTGTGTGTGGATGTGAGGAACAGCTCGTCATCCGCCCCATGCTGCTTGTTGGACCCCCTGCGCACCTCCCTCCCTCCTCTCGCGGCCACCTTGCCGTCGTATGAGCGCCCAAGGGCACTCGCACTTGCTTTGCCCGGCTGTGGCGTGGCTGAGCGGTTGGGTGGCGCGCTCTCGGGGGTGATGCGATGGCACGTGGGGGGCTCTGGCGACATGGATCGAAGGCTGGGCCCTGCTGCCGATGGCTGGGTGGTGGTCGTTATGGCCTTGGGGTGGTGGGATGTGGTGTCAGCAACAGGGGGGGCTGCATGGTGGTCGGTGAGCTGTGGGGGTGGCGGGAGGGCCTTCTTGCGCTCCTTGACCGTGTCCAGCTCGGCCTTTAGCTGCTGGATCTCAGATGTCAGTCGGCTGCGCTCAGTGCTGATGAGGTCAGGGGGGAAACAGGGGAAGACAATGGGCAACGTGAGCCGAAATGCATTGTTTGTGCTGTAGGTATACTCACTTGTGTCTGCGTTTCTGCTCCTGGAGCTGGCTGTCCCGTTCGTTTAGCTTCTCCCGCACACTAGTGAGCTCGCTCTTGAGCTGCCGTATCCTCTCGTCCTTTTCCTGCACACACACGTATACACAGGACGGCATGAGAGGACATTGATAAATGGACCGAACAGCGTCGTTTCAAGCTCACCTTGATGATGGCTTTTTGTTGTGACATTTCCTTGCGGTCGTCGAGTCCCCTGTCGATGAGCTCCTTCTCCCGGGCCATCGACGCCTCTCGCTGCAACTCATACTCACGCTAAACACGGCACACATGAATACACATGGCCGACCATGTGCGGCCTTTGCATGCCCACTTGTACCTCCGCGCCGTCCCTCTCCCTGCCGAACGAGTGTAGCTGTTGCTGCAGCCGCTGTATCTCGGCCCGCAACTCAGACTCCTCACGCACGCCGCCCTCCAAACGCTGCCAACAAGACAACAGGAGAGAAACAGTCCATGGACGGATGGCATCTGTTGCTGAGTGCACGCACCTGTATGTGTTGCTGCATGCCATCGCATTGCTGGCAGGGCCCGATGGGCATCATGCCCTGGTGGGCCCTGAACAGCTCCTCCTGCAGACGCTGAAGCTCCTGACATACACATCCACGGGAAAAAAGAGCCATCCAGCGGTGATTTGCAGCCGCCTCCAGCATGGGTGTGTTCATTCTACCCTGTGTTGCCTTTGTATCTGTCCACTGAGGTGCTGCACCTGCCGCTCACGAGTCGCCAACGCCTCCTGCAAGAGAAAGAGAACAAAAACGACAAAGAATACAGACAGATGGCATTGCAATGCCGGTTGGTCCTTCCCACCTGTAGCCTGAGCTCTTCATCGAGCTTCTCCCTCGCCGCCACGCCGCCCTGCCCGGTTTTGTTCTGCTCCGTCCTCACTCTATCCTTCAGGAACTCTATGGAGCGGTTCTTTCGGGCCAACTCCTCGCGCATGGCAGCCATGCCCTCCACCTCCTCCTCACCCATGATGACACCGAACAAATATATGGGAACCGGGGCAAAGGAAGCCTTGTAAATTTTCTAGGGGGTCGAAGGGCCATGGCAGAGAAGGTGGGGAAGGGGCGCAAGACCGCCGGCGCCCAGTCGTCCAAAGACAGAGGAGGTCAGAGATCCAACACGCCGTGGCTTCTGCCGACCGCAACTCAAGGCATCGCTTCCGTGTGTGTGTGTGCAGGTGATAGTGATTCAGTGGGTGTATTGGGCCATAGCGCATCGCTGGGTACCGGTCTGCCCGCCAACATGACGGCGGTGACGGCGCAGAGCAGCGGGGCGGGCCGCAAGACGAGCAAGGCCTCCGCCGATGGGGTGGGCATCGGATCCTCCAGCTATCCGCCCATCCCTGGGTCAGCAAATGAGATGAGCAGGCTTGGCAAGCGGAGATCTTGGCGTTGCTGGTATCTTGTTGTGTTATCTGTCAGGTATAGTTCCCTGCTCAATGCGTATTCCCTGTCCGGTCCGTCAGATCACATGATTTGCAGAAACATTGGTGTGTACTGCGCGTGCATGTGTGTGTGTGTGCGCAGGTTTGACGGGTGGTAGCAGTAGCGATATGGACGTGACGGTGTTGGCGTTCGCTCAGTGGGTGTCGGAGGTCAAGAACAGGGACAGACACGCACAGCAGCAGCTACAGGCCGAAATGTCCATCATACGAAACGTACACACTCACACTCACATGAGATGAGAAAAAGAGCCGAAGGGCGAGGGGGTCTTCGTTTGTGTCCATGCATGTCGTTCAGGCCATCCACACCAACAACACGGAGCTGTGTGACTTCAAACGGTGCAACATGGCACCCCATCCATCCATCCATCCATTCACAGACCACCCAATGGCACGCCGATGTGTATGGGTGTATGTGTTCTTTCAGGAATAGCGTTGCCCTTCAGAAACGTATGCAGGCCGACATCAACGAAATACGGGAGGTGAGGGCAGCAACCGACATTCACCTGTGGGTGCGTGCATGTCTGTGTCTTTGTGTTTATGTTTGTGTGTGGGGTTGACCCACAGCAACTGAGTCGTGTGTTTGCGGACATCACGAGTTGCGTGCGGCACAGCACCGAGAAGGACCGGGAGTTCAAACTCAAACTGCAGATGATACACGAGGTACCCACTGCTGCACACAACAGCGCCATGTTTGTATATAGTATCTCCATTTGTGTGTGGGTGTCGTGTCCTGCTGCAGTTGTTGGTGCACAACGAGAACCTGCTGGACGAGTTGAAGACTGCCACGGGTCAGTACACATGACAGCACACACCTACACGAACACATACATGTGTCCGCTTGTCGGTTGTGCCGTTTGCAATGATGACGCAGAGCACGTGACGGCGAGTCTCCGTTCGTCGGTGGAGGATGTGGGGCGCCGCTCAGACACACTCGAGCAGCAACTCAAGGAGGTCAAGGTGACTGATGCATCGCCAGCAGCAACAGCACACAGGGAGAGAGGGTGGATGGTGCGTCCCCTGTGCAGGCCATTCAGGATGACACGGAGCGGTGCCAGAAAGAGCGCCTGACCGAGATGTTTGAGGTGACGTACACGACATGAGCGATTGTTGATCGGCCATGTGTGCCATTCTTGTGTGTGTGCAGATGGTAGATGGTTTGGATGAGGATGTGTCTGGGGTGATCCGCACCAAGGCGCAGCAACACGACAGCCAACTCTCTGACGTGCATCGCATCAATGAGGTTCACACACATACACAGACAGAAACCACACCCATGCGTCCGTCTTTGTGTACGTGTCGGTCTCTCTGTGTGTGTGTGTTTGTCCGCAGTCTTTGGCGTCTTTGGCTACGGACTTCACGGAGCACTGCCGCACGGCTGAAACCATCCAGCAGAAACTGCAGCAGCAGATATTCCCACTAGACCAGGTGAGGAATAAACCCCCCACAGCATCCCCTCCCTCTCGTATAAAGATCCATCGCCCTCCTTCTTATTTGTCAGAGTGCCCGTCAGCAGCTGTCCCACACATACAGCTACGCACCTCAGGTAACAGCAAACAGCCACAGCACACGAACAAATGCCTCTGTCTGGCATGGTCATTATCTTCCATTCCCCCTGTGTGTCTCCATCCCTTTTTCCATCCAGGTTGTTGGTGGATTGCCGTATCCCCCACCTCCGATGGGCGCTCGCATGGTGCCGCCCGGGATGCCAAGCTACCCTGCCGGGCCAGCACCCCTGCACCCCGGCACACACACGGCCATACGCCCTGGAGGGCGAGGGCCATTCGCAGGTGAGATCCATCGATGGATTCCTAGACAGAAGGTTGCTGTATGTGTGGATGGATGGATGTGTGTGTGCAGTGCGGCCTGCGATGCAGTATCCGGTGCCGCCTGCCGTGCGGTACATGTCGGGCGCCACACGCCCCCCGGGTATGTGTAGTTTCTTGGTAGGCAGGGGAGGCCAACACTGTGTGCCATCCGCCCCTCACCTGTGTCTCTCTCTTGTGTGTTGGTTCTCTTCAGCAGCGATGCAGCCCCTGCGGAACTAAGTAGCTCTCTCGGTGCGTAGGTGCCCATGCATGATCATGATGATATGTAGCGGGGAGGGTCTTGAATGGTGGAGGGGGAGCGATGCACATGTGTCTGCCTGTCATCCATGTGCGTGCGTGGATGTGTGTGCGCGAAAGGGGGTGGGAAAGAAGGGGCAGACGGAGGCCTCATCAAAGGCATGCTGGATTTCTCCTGGGCCCCGACTTTGTGCAAAAGGACCGACGCAGCTGCGGCGGCCAGGGTTTGCGACCGCGCCGACCCCCCGAAAACAGAACAAAATGGTAGCTCTCGCAAAGGTTGTTATCCACGCTTTCCTCGGCTGCAAGTGGTCGTAACCGACCGTTCCATCGACTCAGAGGAGGGAGCACTTCCCCTTTGAGTGAGCGCCTTGTGAGGGGCCGTCAACGGCCCGTCGGATCTCTGTAGAGAGCGTCGTAGAGGTCCGAGAGCATGGCTCAGCCTCCTGATGGGCCTGATATGGCACTGGGGGCGGACGTTGGGGATGAGTTCCTCCGGCAGAACTTCCGGGACCTCCGATTTGAAGGACAGGGTAACGTACACGCATCGCACGATGGCAACGAGCCCCCACATGATTGCGGGATGGATGCATCTGTGGATGGATGTGCTCGTGTGTGCAGGAAGGACGTCGTTGGTGTACAGCGGGATCAGAAAGGAGGACAGCAGGGACCTCGATGACCTAGGCCTGGCACTGCCTCCTGACACCAGAGTGGCCATCAAAAAGGTACGTTATGGTGCTGGAATGGAGATCAGATCTCCTCTTCTCATATGCACACGTGCGTCTGTGTGTGTGGTGTGTGTGATGTGTTGCAGTTCAAGGACAAGGTTCAGTTGCCAGGCATGCAGGAGAAGTACATCCCCTACCGCAAACTCAAGGAAATGTCACAAAATGAGGTGCGTGTGTGTCTCACTGCGTCAATATAACCCTGACACACAAACCATGATCTCAATCCATCCAAGACCTTTCTTCTCTTGCTTTGCTTTGTGTGCTGCAGTATGACAACTACAGGATGGCGGGCGAGCATCGCAATGTGGTCAAGGCGTATGGACGTTTCTCGGCCTACGAGTCGGATCGTGCGTGGGAGAAGAGCGCCTACATCGCCCTCGAGTACTGCTCCTCTGACCTGGGGCGGCAGGAGAGAAGGCGGAGCACTACGCACATCCAGTACAAAGGTGAGCACCGTTGACCTTGACTGCCACAGAAATGGCGGGATAATCTGATCTGTGCGCGAATGTGTGTGTGGCAGGGCCTTTGGTCGAAGAGGCGTGTGACGCCGCCTATGACCTCCTCATGGGCCTCAACCACCTCCACAAGAGTAGACTGATCCACCTAGACATGAAGCAGGACAACTGCCTGGTCGGCGAGGACGGAGAAACACTCAAAGTTGGCGACCTAGGTATGGTATGCCGGCACGCCGCAACACAGCGCCTCTCGTCGTATCTCCTACACATCCGCTCTTTGTGTATGTGTATGTGTATGTGTATGTGTGTGTGCAGGTGCGATGATAGCGTACAAGTCCAACCCTAAGAAGGCCATGGACACCAACGTGGTGGGCAATCAGATCATACGCACATACACACACATACACATACACATACACACGGACAGAGGCAGAGAGCCGCATTGTTGTTGCTTGGTCGTGCTTGTCTTGTCTTGTCAGGTGGCGTTAGGCATGCGTGCGCCGGAGCTGCTGATGGGCGCCTTCAAATACGGGCCTGAAGTAGACATCTGGTGAGCTCTCGACCATAAATACACGCGCACAGCCTCCCTCCCGCTGTCCGCCTTTGTATGGATCGGTGTTTCGTGTCTGTGTTTCCTGTCTGTGTGTGACTGAAGGGCCACGGGCGTCACGCTGGCTAAGTTTGTGTCGGGCGACCTGCCCTTCCTGCCCACCGGCAGCGACTGCGACAGACGCGTAAGTCTCATGGGAGGCAGGGAATGTGATGATCAATTGTATGCCCATCGCTTCTGTTGCCCTTCTGCTATGCAGGTCGACATGCTCACCTCGATAGCGTCTAATCGGGCGATGGCGCCCTCTCTGGAGCACATAGATCATCTCCCGGCCACCAAACGGCTGCAGACGGTATGGCTGCCACACCGACCGCTGGACCAGGGTGCATCCACAGATGGTGGGGTGTTTGTGGGTGTCGTCATGTCTGTGTGCAGCGTTATGGCGTAGAGGTGCGTGAGGATGCGGATGGCTCGATGTCCCGCTCTGCCACCCACCAGCTGCTGACACGGTCGTCGGAGGAGGGATGCTATGGGCGTACCGACATCGCCCCCAACCATCCCCTCGTAGACCTGATCGACCGGTGAGAAACATGAACACACGCTGCTGACACAAACAGAGAGAGAGAGAGGCACAGGGAGACTTGTAGATCTATCTCCTTTTTTTTGTGTCGTCCAGCATGCTCACTATCGAGCCGAGCCGCCGCATCACTGCTGGGGAGGCGCTCAACCACCCAGCACTCGCAGGTGCCAAGGCCAGATACGGTACGCGCGCAGGCACCAACGGAGACAAAAGGATGCACAATGCACATCCGCGGTTGTCGTGTCTTCCTCTCTCAGAGGCACCAGGTCCAGCCGCCGCCCGCCCGAGGGCCAGCAAGAGGCCCCGAGAGGAGGACCGTGCTGAGGGCACTGGTGAGCCGACGAGTGCCACCGGAAAGCCTCCCCAGCAGGAGGACGTCGATATGCTCAACCCCTCTCCCCAAGACCAAGACCAACCCGGCGCGCAGGGGGGCTTGCACGGCCGCAGTGAACGTCGCAAGGGGGACTTGCCTCGCCAGCACATCCGTCGGCACACCGCGCCACACTTCCTGGCTGCCCGAGGGAAGTCTCCCTCCAGCGGTCTCTCCCGAGACAAGGCAGAGGCACCGGTGGGCCAGCCACCTGCACACGAGGGCCAGCTTCCCGAGCCGATGGCCGGGATCGATGCAGCACAGGGGGCGGGTGACGGTGCGGGTGGGGTCCCCGCGGCTGTAGAGGTGGGTCAGCCTCCTGTTGGGGACATGGATGAGGAGGCCGCTGCGCCGCCCCCCAAGCGCCGCAGAGTCCCTGCTGACGAGCAGCCGCTCAAGAAGCTGCGGCGTTCCCCAAGGCTGCGAGAGCAGCGCAGAAATCGCCGCATGTGAGGGTAGCCAAGCCATGGATCGGGTGTGCATCCGCGGCATAGCGGCCGGCCAGTGTAGAGGGATGTGTGAGTGGGTTGGAAAGGTCTGAGGGAAGGGTTAGCGGCTGCATTTGCTTAAAACGGTTGTTGGTTGTCGATCAGTTGTTGGTCTGCCTCATTTCCGCTGTGGTTGTCTTGGTCGACAGACAGAGAGGCCAAAGGCAGCACACAGGACAGAAGTAGCTCCCCTCCCCTCCCCTCCGCGCCAGTGACATACATACACCGACTGACGGACTGACGTGTGCGTGATGCATGGGACTACGTGTGTGTGTGACCATGTGCGCGCTGCGTGACTTGCATGAATGCGTTTCACACCATACCATTGCGCGATGGAAGCATTCACCCAGACAACGTCTCACCGCATCGAATCGTGACGATATCGACGTTTGAACAAACACTCTAAGTACATGCATGTAAAGCCTAGACGGACAGGACGCGTCATCCATATATCCATATCATGTCTCCGTGTCTTCTGCGTATCCTCTCTGAATGTCTGCCATGTATTCGTTGAAGTATGTGTGCACTTCCCTCATCTTATCCGTGACCTGAGGGCACATTGTGCTCCCTTCCGCATGCAGCAACACTTTCTCCACGCCATCTTCGCCAGCTGTCACACCATCGCCTCCAAGAGCGCTGAAGACATCGCAAGGCTTTCGCACGAGGCCAAGCCACTGTCCCAGCCAGCCTTCTCGCTTCTCCAAAGACGGACACCCGTTGAACTCGGGATTGGCGTAGCTCTTGGGGTTGAAAGACTCGATTGGGAAGGGCCTCCCTCCGTCTGAGAAATACTCGCAGAGCCTTGACAGAGAGACAGAGAAGTACATCTATATTTTGTCCATGCAGCCAGTCCGTGCATCTTACCGAAGCGGCCCCACTTCGAAGCCGACATGGGAGCGCAAAGTGTCAAAGAAATCGAGACTGAATTTCTGAATGTGATACCAACCTGAGCAGAACAGAAAAAAGAGAATTCATTCAGGTATCATTGTGCTCTAGAAGCGTACCCCCGTAGCTCATTCGCTGCCACTCTGACCTAGGAAGGGTCCACGAATGAAGCGTTGCCGATTCGAATGGCACAGATATAAGAGCCAGGCCCCCCGGTTTTAGAAGGGAGAAGATGGACCGAGCCGAAGGCAGCCATTCCGGCAAATGCTCCAGCATGTGGTTGCATATGATGAGATCGAATCGGTTGAGAAGGCCTTGGCTGCAATTCAGGGGCGTGTGTTGTCGCTCCTCGTAGAACGGCAGGCCGTGGGTGTCGATCCGTTGCGTGTGGAGGACTGTTGCAGAGTGCCTTGCAGGCACATTCAGGGCCAGAAAAGGGGCAGTCATGTCCGAATAAACGAACTCCTGCATCATACACAGAACAAACAAGGCACACAGGGTACACCACCAACGTCCTTCTGTCCCTTACCTGCGGCCATCCGGGGAAGTCTGCCTGGCTTTGGCTATAGTGCGATGAGAACTTGTCCCCCATGACGTACTCGACATTGCTCTGGTTGTACAGATTAAGCCCCAATACAACTGCCTTGTTGGGCGCCAAGTGGAGTATACGGATGGTGTTCTCCTTCGTTTCCGAGGCAGCTGCCGTATTGGTTTGATCGTCGCGGTGGCTCTGCAGGATTTTCTGTGGATGCCATGCAGATGACGCACTCAAATACTCCTGCAAGGCAACATACAGACAATGGCCTTCCTTGTTTTCCGTTCCTTTACCTCCAAATGTAGTTCACGGAATAAGCTGTGGTGAAAGGAACTGTCGTCATGAAGAAGATTGGATGCCATGACCAGCCTTACGTGCATACGAAGCGATGACGCTCATACGAGCCGTGACATCGGCATGGCTTTGAATTGTGCCGACGAGGGCACGGATCGAGATGACGCACAGCCTCGCCAGTGCAAGCGCACAGATACTTCAGCGGAGATCCTCCATCGGATCCGTCTGCATCTGAGCTGAGAACCAAGGCAGACACTAGAGTTCCAACAAAGGAAGCCACACGAGATGCCATGGTTCACCTTTCTTCGAGAGAAGGTTGGTGGTAATGATGAAGGCAGCAGCTTCTTTCCAGGAGAATGGCGGCTGCGGCGAAAAAGAAAAAAGCGCATCGCAAAGACGGCCGCACAGTAAATATTGGCTAGAGTCGGCGAGGATGACATGCGCCGTTGAGTACGGAGATTACAGCACATTTTGGCTGCCCGACTCGAGCTTTGCCTTTCTTCTCCTGCCTTCTCTCCCCCTTCAACTCATCCCTCCCTCTTTTCTTCGCCGCGTGCCAGCCACCAACAGCCATCGATGATGCAGTCCCGAGTGCTCTCTTTCGCTGCGCTTCTCTTCCTCGCGTCGCTGGAGCTCGTCCCGGCCTTCGCAAAGGAGGACTGGGAGGAGCAAGAACCAACGGTGGAGCCAACCGACGTCATTGTCGACGTGCCGAGCCAGCCAGGCGGGCCGGATGTGGACCTCAACATCAGCAACATAGGCATCGGCGGCGACCTCATCATCACCATCAATGGAGGCCGTGAGCACCACCCTCACTGTCTGCTTATGGTCCGTGCACTTGTTCCTCATGTCTTTTGTCAGAATATCAAGTGCCTGACTACGTCATCGAGGATGTGGCTTTGCAGATGCAGGAAGACGCCCTATCGATAAGCGAAGGTACGCGCACGTGCATACGAAAAGCATAGTCGAGGATCGTTTGGCACTGCTGCTGTGCGCGTGCGGTGTCATCTGTTGGTATCAACACGCCACGACAGAATGCAAAGGTGCGTCACTTGGAATCCCTACCCAATCACGTTTATCCTGCATTGGTTCCCGTCTGTCGGTGCACTGTCGCTATCTCTAGGTGTCACTCCGTCTCTTGCCGGCTTCCACTTGGTGGACGTGAAGAGCCCAAAGGCCGAGGGCAGCGCCAAGATGATAAAGGACAACACGACCGACATTGTGGTGCCCGCTGAGATGGGTATGGACTTTACCTTCACGGCCGTCCCCGAGTCGGCCTGCGTCACGGCCGTCCAATTCCTCCTCTTCGACAACAAGGGTGTCTTCATCGATTGGGACACATTCAGGTCAGCCAGGCACACACATGCCACACCCGACACACCAAGGCATTATTTCCCGTCTGTGGCGTGCCCATGTTGTGCGTGTAGAGAGCCGCCCTATCTCGAGAAGGTCAACAAGGGCAACAAGGATGGCAGGAATGCCTTCAAGGCCTTCGGCGCGGCACCCACGTCCCCATCGCCGGGTGGCAGCAACGGGCAGACGGGTGCCTTCGCCAGGGGCGCTCGAGAGGCTCTCAAGGGGCCGGGCACCTTCATATTGGCCGCCATCCCCTTCAGCGGAGAGTCCGAGGGCAAGGACATCGAGATCACATGTAAGCCCTTGATGTGTCACACACCCAGGGAAGGACACTGACCCAGCGCTCTTCTCTTTTGTGTTGCGTGTCTGTGGACATTCACAGTCAGCGTGCCCACTACGCAGAAGACTGCATTTCTCGAAAACAACTAGCCCGCTGACTGCAGATGAGGAGGACGGACCTGCTTCTCTGGGGGTGTACCCCATTTCTACCCGCCGCTTTTGGCCAGTGACGTCCATATTCTTTGCACGTATGACATGATGACGGTCTGCTTGTGGTTTCTGCATGTCATGGCCGCACAGGAATGTCAGCATCAAGGATGCTCGTATGAGGGCGGTTGCTGTGTACAGCCAGCCATGACGCGATGCGCCTCCCAGCACCTGCTGTCTGCCCGTGTGCATGATGATACACACATTCAGTATGTGGGAGCTCCTCCATATGGATGTTCGCTTTCTGCATATTTTGCCATGCCTTTTTTTCTCTCCTTCTCTCTTCTTTCGTACTTTCCTCTGATAGATAGAGAAAGGTCGGCATGCAGCGGTTAGTTGCAGAAATGTATGTATGTCGTACTTGTAGTAGATTACATGGTCGGTAGATCTGACATCTGTATTTGTGCATTCGTTCCTGCATAAGTCAGTATTTGTGTAGTGTGCACCGTGACGTGCATACAAACTGGCGTCTCTACCTCATGGGGCTTTTCGTTGTTGTTGGAAGGCTCGTGTGTAGCACTTTTTGTGCCACTGTATCAGCTGGTCGTGTGCCTCTCGCCGCTTGTTTCTTGCCGCCAAAAATGGCCGGCAGCCAGATGATCATGACGCGTTCATGTGCATGTGCAGAAGGGATACATGTTCATACTTATAGTCTCGCTGTCTCTGGTATACGCATCTGCTTTCGACTCTGTAGCTATGCGCACAGAATACGGACCCGCTGATACAAAGCACATACACATCGATGATGACAAAAATTGAAGAGAAAATCATTGCTTCACAGCACACTCATCCGCTCCTAGTATTCCGTCCTATTTCGTCCTCGCTTTTGGCCCGTCAACCTTCATCATGAGCCTTGGTCTTGTGTCACTGCTCTCCCTTGTGGCATGCGCAAGTGGCGAGGCGCCCCGCCTGAGCACGCCCCGACGTCTGCAGGATGAGAGAGCAGGTGTCGCCGAAGAACGAGGAGCAATGGAGGCGATACAGCGCGGGGTATGCACGCAAGCAAAAGGCGCACCTCCAGGACAAACGCCAAGCTGCATCTGCCTGTCGCTGTGGTGTGCCTGGCTGATGTTCCTCTCAGGCATCTGATGCTGACGAACGAGAAGAGCTCAGTCACGTCCGCAGGCCGCTGGTGGCACAATCAGACGGAAAATTCACAATCGTCCAGTTCGCAGGTGATGACTTAGGCATGGTATGCAGGGGTGTGCATCCTGATGTGATGATGGTTTTGTGTCGTTTGTGTGCAGATCTGCATTTCGACGAGCAGCCATCACTGTGGTGGGGGCCATCCCAGGACCGCAAGAGCGTTGCCGTGATGGACACCATTCTGGCTCTTGAAGACCAGGCTGATTTGGTTGTATTCACTGGCGACCAGATCACCACGTATCGGCAGAATGCGACGCGCTACTGGGACATGCTGACGGGCCCTGTGCGACGCCACAACAAGCCCTTCGCCATGGTGTTTGGCAATCATGACGATTCTGATGAGCCGTTTCGACACCCACCCCACGATGATCTGTCGCGCAGGATGGCACTTCTGCAGTACGACATGTCGCTTCCTGGGTCCCTCACTGAGTCGATGTTCGTCAGCAGCATGGCCGGTGGAGTCACTAACTATGTGCTCGAGGTGTATCGGAGTGATATTGATGCTGCAAGGGGTCAGCCGGCAGCTCTCTTGTGGTTTCTTGACAGTGGGGGCGGATCGATCAAGGAGATCATACGGGTATGCTCAAGGGAGATGCGTGGATGATATCGGTGGCACAGTGAGCTGGTGCTTTGTCGATGGATGCAGGAGGACCAAGTGAGGTGGTTCTCAGCAAAGGCACGAGAGATGGAGGAGAGGTACGGGGTGCTGCCGGCCTTTCTGTACATGCACATTCCTTGCAAGGAATATACCTACAGCACCCCAAACACACTCGGGCCACGGTAAGTGAGCGAAGGACAGACGCATCCAGGGGAGGGAGGCCACTGTGCGGATTTGACAGGTGTTTCGGCATGATCGACGACGAAATCAATCCAACAGAGGTCGACACGGGCGTGTTTGCCGCAGCAGTGGCAGCACACGTGCAGTACATTTTCGTGGGCCATGATCACGGTGAGTGTGTCGAGGAGCAGAAGCAGCCCGCCGCATCACACGCATGTGCATTTTCTGTGTTGTGCAGGCAATGACTACTGCTGCCCCATTGAGCTGACGACGCCCCAGCAGCCGTCTTCACTGAGTCCTGCAAACACATCTGGACCCTTTCTCCGCGGTGAGGTGACGCTGCGCGAGGAGACCACAGACAGCAGCGCTCCGCGGGGGTGAGTGCTGCACTCCCGAACGAGTCGAACATCTGATGGGATGATCTTCCTTCTGTGTCAGCTCTTCAATCATGCTCTGCTTTGGCCGGCACACTGGATATGGCGGCTATGGGAAGTGGGCGAGAGGGGCGCGCCTTCTGCAAATCGACCTATCAGACCCCTCTTTCACGCGCACCAAGACCTGGGTCAGGATGGAGGACGGCTCATCATCCATTCAAGCGAGCCAATTCCGTCCTCCTTATGACTAGAAGGCCCACAAAGGCGAGAGTGGAATGGCTGGCTGCTAGCGTGGGCGGTCATCGCGTTGTTCAGTGTTTCTGTCGGATGCATGTGGCGTGTGTTCAAGCGCCAAAGCGGTCCTGTGACGGAAGGGCTGCAGATGAGAGACAAGCGAACCAGCGACAGAGTGTAGTAGGGGCAGGGGCTGCAGATGGAGGGGCTGTGGCGTGTGAGTAGTTGGGTAGCGAGAACACTGTACAGCGGGGCTTTTTGAGCAGAGGCTGCCTGGGCCGTACTGTGCTGCACTAAACAGAGCGTTTGTTTTGACAGCCACCAAAGAGCGCCAGGCACGTACGCTTCCGCTTTGTCCTCCGGGACTTGAGCATGCATGCATCCCACAACCTGAGCGCCTCGGCCATCTAATTTTCTCTTGCGTTGCATTAATTGTTGCATTCCCGTTCAGCTTTCCGGCAGATCTTTATTTCAACTGAGGTATTTGACGGAGAAATGGACGTCAAGACGGACGCGACGCCGAACGATTGGTCCATGGACCCGCATCCCTTGTACTGGTCATCACACTTTGCGTTCTTCTCGACTGCCTGCGCCGTTGGCCAAAAGTGTACGCACCGTTTCCGTGCTAGTTGTTTCTGTGGCGCACGAGAAGCCGCTTCAAGCACTTCTTCTCCTCCCCTTCTCCCTTTTCTGCCCTTTTTACCCGTCATGCAGTCCCGAGTTCTCTCTCTCACCGCTCTCTTCCTTCTTGCGTTGCTGAGCTTCGCCTCGTTTGCCTGGGCGCAAGACGACATAGAAGTCGGCACGACAGCTGACCCAGACGACATCGATGTCGGCACGACCGAAGGTGAGCAGGGGAGAGCGCCGTACACCACAAGATGTCTGTGTCGCCACTTCTGTATGGTCCACATGCAGAGCCCACGGAGGACCCTGACCTGGCTGAAGAGCCCTTCACAACAGAGGATCCGGATGTCGCCGCGACCGAGGAGCCCTTCACAGAGGAGCCTGAAGCAGCATTCCGTGCAGGTACGGATGGATGACGCACCAGGTGGGCACTGACGATTTTGCCTCGTGTCGTGTCGTGTCGTGTCGTGTTGTGTCATACCAGATGTGCCGAGTAACGTGCTGGAGAATGTGGTCTTGAAGGTGAACGAGGCCCATGCTACAAGAAAAGGTATGGCCACTCAGACAAACGGCAAGAAAAGGAAAGACTTGCGTGCATTGAGCTTTGTCGTGTCTATGTTGTCTTTCATTCGACGAGCAGGATGCACAAGTAAGAGGGGCTGAAGCATGGAACACCAATTCCTTTGCCTGCGTTGTTTGTGTCCCTGTCTCTGTTGATGGCCGCTCTCTGTCTGCAGATGTCACTCCGTCTCTGGCCGGCTTCCGCCTCGTGGATGTGAGGAAGCCCTCCCAGCCGGAGGGCCACGAGCTCATCAAGGACAGCATGACTGGTTTCGTTGTCCCCGCTGAGATGGGTGTGGACTTCACCTTCACGGCCGTCCCCGAGTCGGCCTGCGTCACGGCCGTCCAGTTCCTCCTCTTTGATGTGCGTACATCTACACCACTCACACACACACACACACACACACATCGCCTCTCCGTCTGTCCCTGTGTGTGTGTTGCTTCGTTCAGGCCAAGGGTGTCTTCATCGATTGGGACACATTCAGGTCAGCCCACCCACACACACATCCAACACACGGCATCGACTCATGTGGCCTGTATGTGTGGGTGGTGCACAGAGACCCTCCCTATCTCGAGAAGGCCACCAAGGGCACAGAGGGCAGATTCACGGCCTTCGGCACGGCGGGCAAGTCTTCGGCGAGTGCGGATGGTGACGAGTCGAGTGCTTTCGCGAAGGGGGCACGTGACTCCATCGCGGGGCCGGGCACCTTCACTTTGGCGGCCACCCCCTTCAACGGAGACATCGAGGGCAAGGACATCGAAATCGGATGTAAGCCGGGGCAACGGGCACGTGAGTGCACACACCCTTTTGCTTATGTGTCGGTTTTGTCTTGTGTGCGCGCAGTTGAGGTCCCCTCCCCTGCGCAGAGTGAGTTTCTGGCGAGCAAGTGACAGAAGAGTCGGCAGAGCTGACAGCCACGTGGATCCTGCCACTCGGTTGGTCAGTCTGTGAATCCCATTGTGCAGTATGCTTTTTCTGTGTACGTACACCACTCGTTTTGCCAGGTAGGTGTCACTCAGGTGGTATTCACTAGAGACATCCGGTTTTGCGACTTATTGTACAGTGTTCGAAAGCAGCGCCTGCATATTTATCTAATACCTGTGTCTTTATCCATACATATACTTGTACTTCCATTTGTATCTTTCCACCTGTCTGACCGTCGGTACATCACAGGTGCGTGCGTGTGTGTCTCCCTGGCTGTCCTCTGTGGCCAAAGGGCTGAGAAGCAAGCGAAGCCAGGCCGGGCTAATTAACAGCGTTGTCGGGGTGGGAAGGGAAGGCCAATGGATTCGTGTCAGATGGATCATGCTACTCGCATGGTTTTCACCCACATCTCCATGCGTTGTCTGCTGTGATTCTGCTGCTTATCTGCGTGTCTTCGATATGCATGCGTCTCCCGCCCCGGTTTATTTGTCTCCTGTGGAGCGGAGGAGACATGTGGGAGGGGATAATGGAGCTGGGCCTTGCATCTGTCGTCTCGTAAGTACAACCATCTTGTGCCATACTCTCAGACCCATCTGACACTGTATGAGCGCGTGTGTAACTCAGAACAACCCTGTTTTTACTGAGACATGCGAAAGGATGCTTGGAAACAACGTTAGTTTCTGACAAATGCAAGGGAAATTTGTGCTGCCGCCTACTGCCGCCGCACCCCGTAACAAATAAGTCTTTACCGTCAGTTCGTGAGTGACATCAAAAATAAGCGGGGAGGTACTGTAGCCCGAAACTCCGCTGCGGACTCCAGGAAACGCAGGAAATGCACACCGCAGCAGATGTGTGATCTATCTGATCTGTAGGGCGGATGCGGTCAGTGAGATGGGCCGTTGCGAGGGACGCCTGGCTGTCAGGCGCAGGTGCAAACAGATACGGATCTACGGAAGACGTGTATGCTTCTGTTCTCATCAGGAGAGTCGTCAACAAACAGCGGTCGGTTTTCACTGCCTCCGAAGTCTCAGCTCCTGCTCAAGAAAATGCTGCAAGTGAGCACACGCCTTTCATTATCCTCTCCCTCAGCCTGTGCTTTGCTCTGCTCGCATCCACGCACAGGTGTCCCAGCCCCCTTTCCCATCCTTCCCTGTGCCTCTCCCGCTCTCTCTCGTCGTCCGGTACGCGCAGCACATGCACGCACAAGTGCCGATCATGGAACGGGTATCTGAATGCTATCTATTTTGCAGGATTTTCGATGACTTGTGGAAAGAAGAAGCCAGCAAAGTGGCCAAGTCGGAGGCCAAGTCGGAGGCCGCCGCGCCGCGAGGCCAATCGCACGACGAAAGGGAGACCACTACACCCACAGGGTTACGAGATGCCCGTCGTTCGAATGCTGGGGACGGCTCGGCCGCTTCCGGAGGGACCAGCAAGCGTGGGAGTCCGCCGTCGGGCAGCGCATCATCGACACGGGATCCCTTGCCACTGCCAACAAACAGGCAGCCTGGGAACAAGCCAAGCAGACGAGGCGGGAGCAACTACTGTGAGTCAGTCGGAAGGGCAAATTGCTGGAAGGAAGGGAGAACATGCGGGCATCCGTACATGCCAAACTAGCCATGTGTGTGTGTGCAGGGCAGTCATTTCAAGGCTTCACTTCCTCTAAACAGCTGAGAAAACGACTGAAGCTAGGGTGAATTGACTCTGATCGTGAAGGGGAGAGCGGACGATTCTGGTGTACAGTGATGTGGATACCGACCGCGTGTATGACAGACCTTCGTGTCAAGACTCTTTTGGATCGGGGACTACATATGTCCAAAACCCCGGCAAGATTTATTTCTTGTAAGATCACAACCAGATGAACAAAGCGTCCATACACGTACAAATGCACCTTCACACGGGTACGACTGTCCGTCCCTAGCTATCGGTCCCTGTCCCTCTGTGCCTTGCTCGCCTCCCGCTGCCGTCTAAGCGTGGCCACCTTCTCCAACGCCTCCCGACACGCAGACCTGAACGCCTCCCTCCGCCTCTGCTGCTTCTTGAGCGCACAGACGCGACAACCACACGGTCCCTCCCTCGTGTCGTGGCAGGGGCTGAAGGCAAGAGGGGGATCCGGTCGTCGAGCAGCAAGTGGCAACGAACGAGGGGGGGCGGTCGGCAGCCCCACACCACCGGCAGTGATACGCGGGGATGCGCTCGACGCGACCGACGACAGGTCGGGTGAAAGCGCCCGGACGCCAATGAGCGTTGCGCTGCTCTTCTGGCTGTTCAACGTATGGAGTGCCCCAGCTGACGACGAGCGATTCATGCTGCGGCTGCGGTGAGCGGACGACGGGAGAGGAGGACGCCTCTTCAGCGAAGGGGAAGAGGCCGGGAGGGCGGGTACCTGCATCAGTTCACAGCAGTGATACAACGAATTTCATTCATCTCGATTCTGTCTGATGTTCTCATTCATATAAAGGAAAGGTGCGTACGGTTGAAGCTTGCGTTTCGTCGTCTTTGGCTTTCCATTCCTGGCACCTCACAGCCCGGCTCTTCACAACGGCCTGTCTACGCACAGGTGGAACCGAACCTGCGCACAGAAACACATGCACTGCACATGTTATTCATTTCCTTGTTACCCCTTCTGAGTGCCGTTTGTGGTACAGCAGGCTTCGGTACATGCCCCTGGTCCTCCCTGAGAGCAGGCGGTGGCCGCGCCAGGCTCAGCATGTCCAACCTCTGCAAATCCCGCTCCAGCTCCTTCTCCAGCTTATCCAACGCGGCCAGCCGTTTCTCCACATCATCCGCAGGCTCATTCTCCTCCGCAGCGTTGCCATGAGCACCGCAGGCCTCAGGATCAGCACTGTCATCGGGGGATAAGGGCGGTAGCTGCCGCGTGGCAGAGAAAAGGAAAGTGGACCTCTCAAATCGCAACGGCGGCCGCAGCGCCGACTCCTCTGACATGATTGAGAACGGCGGCTTGTCGGAAAAAAGAGGCAGGCCCCTCTTTCATGGGTTTGACGAACAGAACGACCCTAGCCCGATACGTAATAACGGTGCGATGGTGTCCATTCTCTTGGGTTTCTGGCAAAAATTGGTCTTTTATACGCCCCCCTCCGTCCGTGCTTCCTTTCTTGTTGTGTAAAATTCAATTTCGTCGCGGCCGTTAGAAAGCTCCACACTGTACGCCTCAAGGAGGGCCGTCGACGGAGGGGTGAGGCCGAGTGCTCGCAAGGAGGGGTATAGAACCAAGGAAAGAAAGAAGTGGTCGTGTGCCCAATGGTGGCTTTTGTGTGTGCAGGTGCTGAGGCCATCACATAGGCGGGGCGCTGCCAAAATGTGGCACCGGGGAATGAGGCTGCTGTGTCTTGTGCTCGCTCTCTTCCAAGGAGCCTCCTGCCAGGGGCCTCCATCAGACTTGCTGATCGTGGGAACCAACAACGACGACAATCTCGTCGGCTCCTCAAACGACGTCTTCGTTCCGCTCGGTGGCCAAGACACCATCAGCACTGGCCAAGAGGGGATTGGGGATGTGGATCGCGTGGCTTTCTCTGGAGAACCATTCGCGGACGGTGATGTGACTCCGCCGGGAAGACAGGTCGTAGCGAATGAGGACATCGTCACTGACTTTGATGCGGGGACTGGAGGGGACATTTGGTTCTTCTCCGGCCCAGATTTCAATATCGAACCAGCGGTGAACACACTACGCACCCACTGGCAATCGCCCCCATCCGTACGGATGAGCGTTCTTCTCCTGTGGCGGGAGTGATGTCATCGTTTCAGGTTCGCTTCTGCAAGGTGCAGGTGCTGGTCGACGATAGCAGTGTGCCTACTTTCCGCCTGCAAGACGGCTTCACGTCCTTCCAAAGCCCCGGAGATGCCTGCGATGTACAAGAACATATGAAGCGGCGACCTATACCATGTCCATGTCTCTCCTTCAGGTTCGCGCAAACTTCATTGTCCTTGTTGGGCCTCAAGGGGATCCTTTGCAGATACCTTTGGTGCAATACAGCCAGCAACACGAAAAGGATGCTATGACGAGCGCTCCTGTGTGTTGTGTGTGCCATTCAGTTCAACGCCGGAGCCGCTGCAAGCGTGGTGAGTGAGATAGGCAAAGACAAAACATCGATTGACCTCTGCCACAGCAGACAGTCGCCGAGCAAATGGCTGTTTGTCTCTTGTGTTGTGGGCCAGATTGCCGCAAACTACGGTAGTGAAGATGATTTTGTGCCTGGAGTCTTCCTCTACACCAACGTCAACACTGCGGACGAAGATCGCGCCACGGGTGGCCTCAACCTGAATCGCCTTGTCTATAGCAGCAACCTGGCAGACTCGGCCTCCGATCTGAAGATCCTGATGAGGTAGGTCACACCCGACAGATTCATTCATGACGTCACGACGTGTGTGGTGGGGTCGATTGCATTTCTGCAGGGACTACTCTACATGCGCTGAGGGTGCCGCTGCGGCGATCGCAGCCGGACGATGCGACGAGACCGCTGACAACATCAACAGCGCCATCAGCGATGCTGATAGCTATGTGGCGGACAACTTCGCTGTTGGTACGGTCAGCTGACTTACCTACGCCATGTCCATTTGGGTTTTTCGGTGCATCCATCAGGTCGTGTGCGTTTTCCCGCCAACTCACTTGTGCTCGGGTCCAGTCTATCTGATGTCTTAGTCGGCACCAACAGGTAGCTGAGGCCACTACACATGATGGCCCCTCTGTTTCGATCCCCTTGTATCCGTGTGCAGCGGTGAAACCTTTATTGGTGGCGGTGACACGGATTTCATTCTCACCGGTGACGGCAGCGACAGAATCCTCTACTCTGTCGATGACCGATTGGACGACGCACAGGAGGATTCCATCTTTGACTTCAGTTTCGACACAGACACAATCGTCTTCAGGTATGAGACAAGAGGAGACATGGATGATGCATGCCGTCCGACGTGCCTCATGTGCATGTGTCCCTCCCTTTCCGTGTCTTTGTTTAGTCCCCAAGATTTTCGGGTCTTTGGGCTCAATTTCGTGAGTGCGTTTCTCGTTGGTGCTGACGGGCTGGGGGACAGTCCCACGGATATCAATGCAATCCCTGCCAACACCAACCTGTGGGTCCTCACCAACCCAGACAATGGACAGCCCGACGCCTTCAATGCGCGAGCCGCGGCGACTCAAAGTGAGGGAGATGTCACTTCATCGTGGCAACTTCATGCGCCTGCTTTCATGTGGGTCCTTTGTGGCTCTGTGTGTGTGTGTACGTGCAGTTGCCGGTGTGGTCAACGACAAGGGTGCGACGCCCGGAGCCGGGTAGCCACACATTAGACAAAGCATGACGATGCACGGACTACTGGTGTGTCTGTCTGTCTCTCAGTTTCTTCATATACTTTAACGAGGGCCTCCAGCTGACGCGGCTAGTGTGGACGCCAAAGCTGTCGAACGCGCAGGCAAACCTCGTCGTCCTCGCCCGGTTCGTCGACAGTAAGGGGATCGATGCCGTCAACGCTCTCAACTCCTGGAGCGCAAGCAACTTTGCCCTCGATTCCCCTGATGGAAGTCGGGTCAGGAGACGCCTGGGGGGCGGTGGACGTTGACCACGAGTGACATTCATGATCGTATGCATACGGGGAGGATGGGATGCAAGTGGGTGTTTTGATGCATGTCTCGTGGCCTCCGTGAGGTTTTGCACATGTGCCTTTTGACGGTCAGTGCAGGGCGCCGTCTCCCTCGGTGCGAGTGAGTCTGTGTTTGTCTTTGCGAGTCGGCCCAGCCAGAGGCGGTCGGGTGAAAGGTCTAGGTAGGTTTCTCGCCGACATACACAGCAGACTGAAAGGTTTTTCGGCGGAGAGATGGCGGAAAATGCATGCAGGGTTCATACAACAACTGCTGGGTAATATCGCTGGCACCTGCATGTTGCTGTCCTTTGCCTCCTTCCGGTGGGGCCCAAGTTTGTCGCTGCGGCGACCGCAGACGAAAATGCATACGAAATGAACATCGTACACACGTACAATTTTCACATGGAGGGGGGGGAAAGGCCCGAGAGGGACTGTGGGCTGTATCGTAATTTCTGTGGTGTCACTTTTTTGCCATTCATTGAGGGCATGTGTGTGTATGCGTGTGTGTGGGTGGATTCCTGCCTGAAAGAGGCAGACAGTCGTGCATTGCAGGAGAAGGGAAGAGAGCTCGGGGTCGACGTACTGTGTGTGGCGTGGGGTGTGGGGATGTGTGCGTGTCTCGTCTCTGCTGGTCTTGTCCTCAGTGTCTGTCTGAGTGCTGTTGCTCAGTGTCGTTAATCGCATGAGTGTTGCTTTTGAGACATATTGAGCTCTCTCCCCTCTATCTCTCAATCTCTTTCATGCGCGTGATGCAGAGGTCCCATGCAATGTCATCACGCGCCATTCAAAATCCCGCCATGCAAGACGATCAATCGATCACTCAATCCATCCATGCATCCATCGACAAGCCAGGACAGGACAGCCTCCCTGCGCGCACTACGCAGCTGTCTGCCGCACCGTACGTACCTTACCTTAACCTCCTTATCCATGCACGCTCTGTACAGGTCGGTTGTTTTGGTGAATGTGATCATCGGATGTTCGAGGGCGTGCGTGTTGATGGCACCAGGCAGACCGACCAGCAGACAGACAGACAGACGACAGCCAACACAACCAAGTAACCCACGACGACGAGAAAGGATAGTCACAATAAAAAGAAGAAGAGAAAGACAAAGGGGAAGGAAAAGCATCCAGCCGACCGATCGACCGACAAACGGACATTGCAATTGGCGTCTGTCTGATGAGCTCCCTCGCTTGAAAGAGATGAGGATCAGTGCATGGGCATCTGTAAGATGATATGGGTCGGTATGCAGGCAGTAAGTATAGGGTCATAGGGTTATAAAAGAGCCATTGATGGAGATAGATAGAAGTAGGCGGCCCAACTCGCGAGCCAGGCTGGAAGGCAGGTAGGTGGTAAGGCGGGCGAAGCCGATGAAAGAGAACGCATCATCATGCAATGCAATATGGCAAAAAAAGGCTCTCGTCCAGCAGAAGTCAGCACAGTCGAGAAGCTCTCTAATCCAGCCAGCCACCTGTATGTATGCATGCATGTGTCATCGATCGCTCGAATGGCCTATAAGCAAGTGTTGTTCGTCCCTCTTCACGCGATGCTCCCCCTCCCTCCTCAGTGATTCGCCCGCAGTCAGTGTGGTGCACACAAAATCTCTCTGACGTGTGGATCCCATCTCGGCCATGCTGAGTGAGTGAGTGAGTGAGATGGATGGATGGATGGATCCACAAAGACACACACGTGGGCGACCCACATGCCAGGCGAGAAGGACACCGTATTACCATCCTTCTCGAAGCAGCCACGCCCCTCCCACCTTGGTTGCTTTGTACACCCACCCTGAGAATGGCGCGTGCACAGACAGGCGGACCAACGGTCCAACAGGCGAACAGACGGACGCGGGGTGAAGTATCGACACGTGAGTCAACGAATGAATGAACGACGGGAATGCATCATCCACAAAACAGCCAGGCAGACAGACAAGGCGGACAGGCGGACAGCTGGTTGCATAAGAAGTAAAAAATACGCACACATGCAACACACACATGCACACACATGAAGGAATGAATGGACGAAGGCACCGTGTTTTGTGGATGGATAGCGGACAGACAGACGGCGGTGCATGGAATTGGTTTTAAAAAGTACATAGACAACACGACACAGCACACGCCACACCACACCACGCCAGAGCACCAGGGGCTCTCCAAAACTTGCTGCTCGCGAGAGAGCCAGCCGGCCCCAAGAAGGCAATATTGCACTCAAATGCACACGCACACACACACGCACACACACACGCACACACACACGCACACACAACATATTTCATAGGTCATAGTTAGGCATCAGCATCGGCATCATCATAGGAACACACACTCATGAAGCCATGCAATCGACCCTCCCTCCCTCGGTCGTTTCCCCTTACCGATGAAGACACTAGCAAGCTTGCAGAGGGAAAAAGAGGGCCCACATGTGGTGTGGTGTGGTCAGGGTGAATTATCTGCCGCTCACACCACCACTCTCTGCTCTCTCTGACCCTCGGCTCTTCCCCTCCCTCCTTCCCCAGCCAGCCCGCCCAAACATCACTATCAACCAACCAACCTAGCACCACCCACCCAACCCCCTCCCCCTCTCAGGCACTAGATGCCCACCTGTGGCCTGGTCTGCACAATCACCACCTCGCCCGTCTCCGTCACGACCCCCTCTACGTCCTGCGGGCGACCGTGGCAGCTCTCCTCAACTGTCTTGGCCACGTCGCACAGCTTCCCCGCTAGCTCATCAAGTGTCATGGGCAGGGCGGCGTGGCCCACTAGGGGGCCGGGGCTGCGCTGTGGGTCGCGGAAGGGCTCCTTCGTCAGGTCGACCATATCCCACGAGACGCCGCCCTGAAAACAAGAGAGCAGAAAGACGATGAGGGTTTTGGGAGTGTCCCGTGTCTGTTTGGGTGTGGTGTGTACCTCAGGGGCGATGATAGAGTCATAGAGGCCTGCTCCCGCATGGCCCTCCAAATCCTCAGCAGTGGAGTCAGACCTACCAACAGCAGAATGGTGCACTCCACTCCCGCCATGTTTGTTTGTCACGTATCCCACTCCCTCACTCTCACTGTCTCACCTGCAGATGAAGGTGGGCGCGTCCTGCCCCCCCACATTGTGTTTCTGCACCCTCAGCGCCTTCCGCTTGCTCCACCAAGACGTCACCTTCACCTCCCTCGGGTTCGACTTGCGCACCGCAAACCCAAGCGCCCGGCCAGGCTCGTTGGACACGAGCGCCTCACCGAGCCCCTGCACCGCCTCGCCATACACCCAGTCGTGGGCGTCGTGCTCCATCCCGGGATGGCGCGTGTGCAGCACGAAGGCCACGACGGCCGGGACGATCGGCTGGATGAGGACGGCCAGCCGGACACCCATGGGGTCGATGCCGGCCCGGTAGCAGCCGATGACTGCGCGGTCGTTGTACTTGGACGCCCAGACCTCCTTGATGGCCTTCCAGAGGTGGTTGCCCAGGGCGCGGGTGTCGCTGACGGGCTGCACGTTGAGGTGGGAGAGGATGCTCTTGCACAGCTGGGCCGCAGACGGCACCGACAGGGACAGCGTCAGCTTGCGAAGAGTCTTGAGCTCGTCGGAACAATTCTAAAACCCAAAAAAGAACAAAACACTCATGCAGGACCGATCCCCTCTTCTCTCTCGTTAGTGCTCACATCTCCATTGTGCAGTTTCTCGATGACGATCGGCTCCAGCCGTCTGACCTCATCCCAGGCCTTGCGGTTGGCCGAGTCCGTCATGGCCACCTCCTCGCACACACCCAGAGGCAGCGACACCGACGCCGGCGTGGGCAGCCGGGTGCCGACCGTCGAGGCCAGCGTGTGAAGGTTCCTCGCCTTGGCCCCCAGCAGCTCATGTTTGCTGAACTGGGCGTTGAGCGGGAGCAGGTGGGCCGCCAGGGCCTCGCCGAGAGGGGGGAAATGGGGCGTGCAGCCGAGGGGCAGCTTGGGGACGCGAGGTTTCTGCAACGGACAGACACACAGAGAGGGGGCGAGAAGATGTGTGGTTCGGTTGTCTGGGTGTTTGGATGTGTTGTCTGTCATCGTTACCTGGAGGTCTCTTCTAGTAAGACCGGCGAAGAGGGCGGCGTTGTTGGTGTTGTCCGACTTGTGGGCCGGCTGTCCGGCGCAGGGATGAAAAATAATCTGACCGCCGTCGGAATCTGACCAACTGCACACATCACACGCAGAGGCCGACAGTGAGTGATACAACCATTCGGCCGTGCCGTGCTGTGTTATGCCGTGTGTGTTGTTTGTGTCCCCTCACCTGGCATGAACGCTCTCGTGGTGTTGCCGTTTGCCCTTGATGTCGTCCACCAGCCGCCTGAGCGTCGACTCGTCGCTGCAGGAAGCCAACAACACCCCCGCATTACGGCTGCGGACCTGCAAAACACACACAGACACACACAGAGGAATAAAAAGGTTGCAGGGTGCATTGTGCGTGCCGCATATGGTGCGACCTCACCGCCGAGTGGCTGAGGATGTCGACAGATGACGGCGTGATGAGGGACGCACACCCGATGGGGATCTCCTCGCCGCCCGTCATGCGCCACGCTATCAATATGGTCGCATGCTCATACCTGACACACACACGTACCCATGAAGACCTGACAAGTGACATCCTGACTGTTGCAGCTCACCGCTCGAATTGTACGTCGGCGAGGTTGTTGCATTCCCTGACGTCACCCGTGACGCCATCCTTGACCGCACTAATCAACTCCCATGGCGAGAAGCCAAACACACGACGACCGCCCTGCGAACCGGGGAAGGATTCCAGTGGCGTACTGGCCATCATGGCATGGTGTCTGTGACTCTTCCTCACCTGCACTATGCGTTCGATGCTCCCCGAGATGGCCGCTAGCAAAGAGCCGCGCAGGAGCTCCTCGGCATACGTACCAACAACGTGCCTGGCATGTGCAGCAAAGTCGCAGAACGATCATGTCACGCATGCCCCGTACTCTCTGTCAGCCAGGTACCCACCTATCGCATTGCAGCGCATCTCCCACGACCTGTCCAGACGGCTGCAGCAGTGACGTCAGCCGATGCCCCTCGTCCTGCATCCACAGCTCCAGCCGCTCGCAGATGCCCCGGAGGCGCAGGCCGCCCTGCAGCCCCGCCGGCTGGTCGCGGTAGAGGGCCCGCCAGCCGCCCAGGCAGTGGCCGAGGGTCTGCAGCTCGTCGGCCTTGTGCGCCTTAGATGCGTCGGTGTGGAGGCTCTTCATCGTTAGGGCAGTGTTGACAATCAGCCACTCAGAGACGGCCACAGCCTGGAGAGAAGGAGATAAGAGAGAGAGAGAATCCTTATGTGTAGGTGGTGATCGGTGTGAGGGGGCGCGTGCTGACTGACTGACCACTTTGAGTCGTTCCTGCATGGCTGCGGGCGACAGGTTGTGTCCGTGGTTCATCGACGTGAACGAGGCGCAGCCCTCACCAGCTGTGCGAATCTGAAAACACCAGACGGGCAACGGTGACCGCACCTCCTCCGTTGCCTCCTCTGATTCTGACCCACCTCATCTTCGAGTGCCATGTCAAGGAAGAGTATGTCCAGCAGCAGAGTCGAGTCGTTCAGCGCGTGCTTGACCTGTCCCAAACTCGATCGCAGCCGAGAGCCCTCGTAATCGACGTTCCCCTGGCTCCACACGGCCGCAACGTCGGTTTGCTTGCGGGCCCCACCGGCCCCTCTCTTGACGCCCCTGTCTGTTGCCGCCATCCGCTGCTTGTCCTCGACAATCACACGATACTGCTGCTGGTACTTGAGCTCTGACACACACAAGACCATCCATTCATCCAGAGAATCAGATGAGTGGATGCTCTGATTGAGCCCACCTGATGGCTCATGGAGGGTCCACCCGAGGTATTCCCTCAGTGCGGTCGCGGCCACCATGTAGTCGAGCCTCTGCGTCACGGCCACCATCCCCTCGCTGTCCGGCCGTCCAGCAGCGTCGTCGGGGCGCCGCTGACTCACCCCAGACATCTCGCGGTGGAGGGCCAGGAGGTGGTGCAGACGGATCTCCAGGTCGGGCACCAGCTGCAGCCACCGAGATGGGTCCTGCTTGGTCACCTTGCCCAGACACTCGCCAGCGTCGTACCCCAACATGCTGCAAACAGCCAGACAGAGCGAGAGATCGTTTCGCTTTAGGTGCGTTGCGCTGTCTGTGCGTGGGGGAATACCGTGTTGCTGCGGCTTCCATGTCAGCGCCCGCATGGACGGCCTTGAGGGTGCGGAGGTATCGTGTGAGCCCGTCGATGAGGCCCCGCTGCTGGTCCTTCCTGAAGTGTGGCTCGCTGCAGATGGCCCGGTCGTATGAGGCGAGCCTGTTGCGGTCGATGCCGTGTTGTTGCAGCGTGGCCCAGTATTTGTTGATGTCGAGGTCCTGGGCGTAAGCGAGGAGGGCGAGGCAGATGCCGATGTCGTCGGCGGAGGTGTTATTGTGGATCTTCTGGTGCCACTCCTCCATCATGCCTGCATACAATACATCAGCACCCACACGCAGACACAGATGGAAAGATGGATGAATGTGGGCGTGGCGCGGTGCGGTGTGGCGCATTACACACCTCCTTTGGTGTCCGTTTCGCGCTGCAGGACCAGAATCTCGTCACGGATGCGCTGACCCTGATGCGAATATGAGACAGACAGACAGACAGACAGCATTTCCGCACTTGTCTAGTGTTTCCTTCCCCGGCCCTCGCCCATCCACCCACCCACCTGGTTGCCCTGTCCTCCCCGGCCGATCTGTCTGAAGAACAGCCGCAGCACCTCGCGGCACTCAACCGACAAATCGTCACCACAGCTCAACGACTTGAAGCTGAGTTATCACAACGGCAACAGACACGATCACAAAATACAATCCATTTACGTATCCACCGCTGCCAATAGGTGAGTGCCTGTGTGGGTGTTTGTTGTCGGCTTACATGTCAGCACACGTGTAGATGAGGGCCTCCTGTGCCGAGCTGATCTCCCGCGGCTTGACGTTGTAGTTGTGGTTCCACACCAGCTGCCGCACGGCGTAGTACCTCGCCCACGCCATGAGGCACAGCAGGTTCTGCCGGAAGTGCCACTGGGGCGGCGTCAGCCCGCCGCTGTTGTCCCGGATGTTGCGCATCTGCTCGTTCAGGATCGTGAAGCGGTGCATCAGCGAACGACGCGCCTCGTTCTCGCGATGGCAAATGGTGTCAACTGATTGGATTGACACAGGCAAGGCACACCCAACACATGAATGGGGAAAGGTTGTCGGATTCCTTTCTCTCCTGTCTCGTTGTTCCCCCTCACCGAGCCATCCGGAGGTGTGTTGAAAGTTCTCGACGTCGTGGTGGTTGGCCCCATGCGTAAGGGGCACTGCGCTGAAGCCGGAGAAGTTGCTCGCAGCTGGCGGGACGGCATCGGGCATCTTGACGGCGGGGGGCGGGGTGCGCGCGCGCACCGACTGCTGCTGCTGCTGCTGCTGCTCAGCCACATCCTCCTGCTGCTGCTGGTGGGTATCGGCATGGTGGGTGTCGGTGCGTGAGGATGCCCTGCGCTGTGGCGGTCCTTCATGGTGCCCGTGTCCTGAGGGTCTCGAGATGTCTAGGGTGAAGTCATTGTCACCGTTCTTCATCCACCGCCACCCGTCTCTGAGGACAAACTGGATCTGATTTACCCAATGCGAGTGGTCGCCGTGGGGCAGCTGCGGGAAGAGAAGAAGAGAACATGGGGGGGCATACATAGATAGGGAGGAGTATGTGGTCGGTGTTTCGCTTACCGGCAGCTCGAATTCTATCTTGAGTACGCCAACGTTCTTGCCACCAAAGAAGTCACTCTCTATGGCTGACGCACAACAAACATGACACCAAAACCATCACTATGCCATCGCTTCTTTCCCTCTCCCTCCCTCTGGATCCGTCTCACCTCCCATGTCTTCCCTAGTCCTCTCGGGCCAGTAGCTCTCGGGCGTCGTCTGCCACGCGTCACCGCTGTCGTCGAACCTCGCACCCCAGTGCAAAAACAGCCGACTCTCAGGCAAGTAGTCCGTCAGGATCACAAACCGATACGCATCACAAGGCGACCGATCGCCGGCAGACGGGGCGACGATGACCAGTGAGGCCCCTTGCTTGGCGCCGATGGCCGAGGGCATGGTGGCGCCCTCGTATGTGATGGAGAAGCGGCATCGCTCGGCGAGTGGGGCTTTGCAGTGGAGGGCCATCTCCTTCTGCAGGCTGTCCGCTGACGCGCTCACGGGCGGCTGTGTGGGCGTATGGGTGTGCGAGTGGGTCCGCTTGTGGGTGGGCTTCGGTGTGGGCGGCTTCAGGTCGATCATCTGCCCACAAAACAACAAGCACAAAGAACCGATGAGCGACGACCACACTCTGCGTGTGTGCGAGTGTGTGTTGCTGCATACCGGTTCGGGCTTGATGGTGTATCCGTTGGCTATGGATCTGACGTCGGGGGGCAAGCAGAGGGTGAGAGGTTTGGAGACGATAATCTTGTCGTTCTTGGGCAGCAGGGCCCTCTCCCTCTTGGCGGGGTCCTCGAGCTTCACCCACGCCCTCTCCTTCTCGCTCATCGTAGGCGACGACTCGTCCGGCCCGTGGTGGTGGCTCGCGCCACTGGTGGCGGGCACCACGTTCGTCCGGGGAGGGGTGGCGCGCCCCAGCGCCTCGACACGCGCCGACTTGACCTTCTGCTCTACCCACCTGACCTCCTTCTTGACGCCGGCGGGCTCCACGGCCCCCTCAGCCGACACGCCCTCCTTGAGCGGACACACGAAGTTCCTCTGGTGATTGTTGTACCTGCACACACGAATCAGGGCGTAGGAATGCTGCACTATTGTCGAGTGGGTGTAGGCGTACCAGTCGCGTGATGAGCGGTCCTGCACGGCCCAGACAGCGGCGAGTGGGATGTCTGGCGGTGTGAAAGTGACGGTGACGGCAGGTTTGTCGGGGTGCTTGTCGTCGGCGTTGCGCTTGAGCTTGCTCTGCATGGCCCGACCATGGTGCGACCGTGAGTTGGGCGGGAGGGGGCAGGGCGGGTACTCCCAGTGCGAGTGAGGCCACTGGACCCCCCAGTGAAGCAACTGACGTCACATGACATGACAACACACACAGGACAAGAGGGTGACCACACAAGGCCGACTTGTGCATGAGCATGGTGTGTGCCCCTTACCAGGTCGTCATGGGATGCAATGAAGGTGCACTCGACGTTGCCATTGGGCAGCACCACCACCTCAGCGCGGAGGCTCTTCACGTCCGAGAGCTGGTAGTGGTATATCGACACAGCCGTCCTCTTCTTGGCCTCATTGTTGCCCCTGCGAAACCAGGAAAACATCGCAGGAGCCACTCAGCCGAGATGGCCAACAGGGGAGCGACGGAGGGGGCGAGCGCCGGATGACGCTCTCTGTGATCAGGACAAAGCCGCTCAACAAGCTACACACCTGATGGCTCGCGTGAGGGCTACGCCGGAAGGCGCTTGAGGCCAATTTTGCCACGAAGATCTCGACCAGTGGTGATTTAGGGTGCGTGTAACTGTTGAAAAGAGGGAGGAGATGAAAATCATAATTTGAGGCGTCCCAGCACGTCCTGGCGACCCCCTGCAGTGCTGCTGAGTGCTCTTCAGTGAAAAAAGCGAAGACTTCCCGCCCTGGTTGCTCTCTGCGTCGTTGCTCATCGTCGTCGGTCCCCTGAAGGTGTGTGGCCACCTGTCCATCCGTCGATGTCGTACAAGCACTTTGACATCGGCAAGGGGGCGGAGATAATAGGCGACGAGGAGACCTTCCTCATGCTGCTGGGCAGATACAAGGAAGAACTCCAAGTAAGCTGCGTTGCGTGGCAGGACAGGAGCCCACAGAATGGAATTGATCAAAGGAAGGATGCACGATGCACGCAAAGTCATCGATTGATGATTTCATGATTTGTTTTTCTTTCTCGTCTGTGTGGTCGCTGTTTGTCTGCTGACACTCAGACGAAGGTCGCGAGCATCTTGAGTGCATGGGACAAGAAGGACTACCAGACGATGCGAAAAGACGCCCACGCCCTCAAGGGCTCATCAGGGTCAGCCTCGTACACACACATCCCACAGCAACACCTTGCCCTCGTGTATGTCATGTCATCCACCCGTCGATGGATCCCTCCCTCAGGTATGCGGCAGCGGATCATCTGCAGAGGACGTGCGAGGCCATTCAGTTGGCGGTGGACAAGAACCAGCTCGACTCCCTCCCACAACTCATCGATGACTTCAGGACAGTCAGCACAGAGGCCAAAGACGAACTCGACAGAATCACGGCTGGATAATCAATCAATACACCAATGGAGGGCGGGGAGGCATGCAGGGGGCGAGGGAGGGAGGCGAGTGCAGGCTACCTGAGGGAAGGGCTGACAGGGGAGGGCAAGGGAGTTGAGAGGCCTTGCTAGCTGCCTGTTTTTCTGTTGTGCATATGTACATTGACTGCGTGTACAGTCGACAGACAGACTGGCTGATCAGATTTGCATGCATAATGTCTGTGTCTTTGCTCGCCCCGCCAAGACACGCCTTTTGGCTTGACGGACGGACGGACGGAAGTACCTGAACTGAACAGTGGATTCGAATGAACTCGTCGATCGCTAAGAAATGGGAGCCGAACGAAATGGGCATCGATGGATGGATGGATGTGTGCACCATACACACACACATCGTGTGCAAGTGCTTGTGATGTCCTCATGGATTTGTGTTGTTACATGGCCATGGTCTGCCGTTCAAACAAAGGTTGGACGGTGGTATTTCAAGTCTTCACTGCCACGAGGAAACAAAGAATCGCTGGGAAAAAACGTTCATCCACACTCATCGCCGATCCAGCCCCAGAAAGTTCATCGGGCCACAAACGAGTCAATCACGAAGGCGCCATGCTTGACACATCCATAGGAAAAAAACTGTGCGGACGTGGCGTCTCAATCAGTCAGTCGGCCGTGGCCACCGCCCCTATGTCTCTGAGTGCGTTCTTGAGTATGTGCCTGACTTTGATGTAGACCCTCAGCGGCAGCTCCACCCCCATCTCACGCACCACTTGCTCCTCCACACTCGGCTGCGGGGGGGACGACCCGCTGCTGCGGTACTTGAACAGACGCAACAGAGTCGACCCAGAGATCTCCAACTGACATGCACACCACACACACTGTGACACACGTGTGCCGCACTGCATCCAATGCTTCCTGGCTTGCCTTCGTGATGGTGTCTGCCAGTTGCTCAATGGCAATCTTGAGAGCATCGCTTTGCTCGTTGTGGTCCTTGAGGGCGCGAGACAGCCACATGGCGTCCATCTGGGTGAGGGCCGCGAATTCCCCATCGGCCGCCATGCCGGTGTCCATCTTGCCGACATCCCCACCGGCCGTGAGGAAGGCGAGAAGGTCGAGAAGCGTCGAGGGGTGTGCCACACCCATGGCATCACACAGCACGGTGCGGTCGTCGCGGAGAGTCGCCAGCACCTCACTCGGAGGCAAACCTTGACCCTCACCCTGCAGACAGGACAGATGCAGTGTGATGGCCACCTGCACGACAGCAGATGGGGCTGCTCACGTGTTCAAAGAAGGGCACGACAGCCAGCAGGTCGGGTCGCTGCGAGGCCTTCATGGCACCGATGTACTCAGTCCAGTCGCCTTTGAGCTGGCAAACCTCCTTCCCCATCTCAGCGTCCGCCGACACTCCAGCCATACCGTCAGTGAGGGCCAGTTGAGCAGACAAAGCGACACTGCATTTCAAACAAACAAACCACCACCCACTTCACACAAGCCTGCATCTGTCTCGCCCCGTGACCCGCTCACCCGCTCGCTGACGCAGCAGGCTCTGGGCGCCGGCCCTCGACGATCGGGTTGGTAGTCGGAGGCTTGAGCGGCACGAGCCACGACTGTCGGCCGGAGGGCGACTCAACCATACTCGACCCGCCGGATGGTACATGTGACGCAGGGACCAGCGGCGGTCTGCCGTCGAACTGGGGTTTGCCGACGTCCGCCGGGCACAACGGAAGCACAAACACCGACTTGAAGCCGGGTGGCTCCTCCCTGGCGCCTCGCGAGCCCCCGTCACCCGCCGCAGAGGACACGCCGACACGGCCATCCTCACGACTACAGCCAGGCAGAGCGAAGGGATCATTCTGGCTCGGCCCACCCAGCTCCGTGCTCGCCCCTGCCGCCATCTGCTGCTGCTGTTGTTCCCTCTGCTGCATGAAGCTCAGGAAGGCCTGGTAGTCTTTGGATGAGAGTGAGGGTGAGACGAGGGAGAGAGAGGTGGTGGGGAGGGGCATCTCAGCCGCCATGCGGGCCGCACGGATGCGCTCGTCGGTGCGGGAGGGCGACATGCTGCCTTTCTTCTCAACTGAAGGAGAAACCATGTGCATGTCAAATGCGCATCGAGGGCGTCGGTGCCTGCCCACCTGATGCACTGAAGTCGACGTCCATCGGCGACTCGTGACGCTTCGTCTTGCGCCGACGCTTGCGGCCCCCGCCTGACACACAACACACAACACAACGTCGCATCCTGCCTCTCTGTCTGTGCCGTGTGTTGTCCACCGACCGACCACCTGTGTATTGGTCCATGTCCATGTCTTCCGTATCTCCTGCCAGCAGGCGCTTGGCCATCTCAGCCTTCATCTCAGCGCTCGTGCGGCCGTCCCGTTGGCGCCTCGCCGGTGCGCCATAGAGGGAGTCCGCGTCATCCACGCTCCCCTCCCCATCCTCATCTGACTCACTGTCCCGATACCGCCTGGCCCTCCCTCGCGTCGACACACCGCCGCCCCGGCCACCTCTGCTCCTTGTGGGCGGCCGACCCACGCGGCCCCTTGCCCTGCCCCGCATGACGACCCCCTCCCCGTTCTCCTGCTTGATCACTCGATCGGGGTCGAAGCCGAGAGGCGGAACGCGTCGTATCTTGGGGGGACGGCCCACTCGACCCCGACCTCGGCTGCGACCACGGACGGGAGGCTGAAGGCAACATAGACAGAGAAAAGGAAAGGGCGACGTCACGGACGGCATCTCTCAGCCACTCACAGGCGGTTGGCTCGGTTGCTTGGGCTCTGCGCGTCCATCTGAGTCCTTCCCGCTGTCGAATTCCTCCAGGATGTCAGCGTACGTGGCCGGGTCGGGCAGGCGGGGAATGCCCACGGCATCGGCCAGCCGGTCACGATCCGACGCCGCCATGGCAAAGGCACCACGCAAGCCTGACAGACAGTGACATCATGGCACACAGACAGAGGAAGGGAGAGTGAGATGGACCATCGTCATACATGTGCGTGTGTGCGTGGGGTGGTGTGTGTGTACCCAGCTCAGCGACGCGTCTGGCCGGTCCCTTCTTCTGTTGTGCATAGGGCACCGGCTCCTCTTTGACGGACGCGAAGAAGGCGGCCTTCTTGTTGCTCATGTAGATGCCCAGGTAGACGGGGTCCTTGTCGGCTGGTGTGAGGGCCCTGACTCGGTCGGTGACCCGCTTGCGCATCTGCTTCATGAGGTCCAGATTGGCGCGGTGCAGCCGCATCTGAAGCGGCTGCTCCTCATCCTCACACTCACTCCCGTCGGACTGCTCGCCGTGCTGCTGGGGATGGTGGTGGGGGGCATCGCTGGGCTCCGGCTTGACCGTCCGCTTCATGCCCTCCTGAGCCACGGTGTTGTCCACCACGTCACCCATGTCCACGTCATCGGCCTCACCACCCGCCCCACCCCCCACGCCCTCCCACTTGGCCCAGTCCACTTGCGTCAGAATGGTGTCAACTTGGTCTTTCGACAGCGGGTGCAGCGACCACTCAGCGGCCTTGGCGTTGCGCTTCTCGACCGCGCACTCGACAGCCTCCCTGAGGGAGGGGAAATCCGCACACACCACCTCCTCTCTCGGCTGGCCCTCCTGCTGGCGGAACCCCACCATGATCTTCTCGATGGCCGTCGGCGGTGCACCACGGGAGCTGTTAGCCACGACAGAGAGGCCGAGGGGTGCCTCGGGCGGCAGGAGTGACCTGAGCTGCTCGATGAAGGGCACCTTCTTGCGGCCGCTGTGTGGGGGCGGGACGGGCGCTGACGGCTCCTTACTCTGCCGTCTCTTGCGCCGTTTGGGTGCGGTGTCGAGTGTCTCGTACTTGCTCCAGTCCTCTGTGTCGAGGACGTGGTCGGCCTGGTCGACGGGAATAGGCGCGAGGCCCAGCCTGGCGGCGATGTTGTTGCGGATCTTGATGGCCTCCCGGTAGGCCTCCCTCATGGGGAACTGGGAGAGGTGGAAGTCCTTGATGTTGACGTACTCGGTCTGCACCTTGTTGAAGCACACGCGGACCTTGGCCCACGGGTCCCTCCTGGTGGGCCGCCACGGGCAGACGCCCAAAGGCTGACGGTCGGGGATCAGCGCACGCAGACGCAGTGTGAGCGGGAAGGCGTTCGTCGGGTCGGGCTCGCCGTTGGCTGCGCTCTGGTTGGAGAAGCTGGCGTGTCGTGACTCGGACAGGCCGTCAGGCACTGTCGGCGAAGGCTGCGAGGGGGCCTTGGCGTCCATGTCCTTGGCCTCGGCCTCGCCGCCCATGACAGGGGGGATGGGGTGGTCCTTCAGCTCATGCGTCGCTCCGCCTCCCCTCTCCACAGTGGGGAGGGGACCGAGTGCACTATGTGGTGGTGCGGGGGCCGAGGGGGCTGATGGTCTGGGCGGCGAGGTGCCTGACTTGTCCGCCTGACGAGGCATCTTGGCGGGAGAGCCGCCGTCGGGCGAAGGCCGGTGCTGATCGACCAAAAGGCACACACACGAAGAGGTGTGCGTGTGTCCGTCTGGTGCTGGTGTGCTGCCCCTTTGTGGTAACCGGTGATCTGCGAGAGGCCGACAGCCACTCCTGGAACATGGGAGCCGTGGGCTTGGCCATGCGAGACTTGTTCGCACCCTGACACACAAGCCACCAGCAGAGAGGAAAGATCCATCGGTGGATCAATAGTGGGTGGGTGGGATTCTGAGTGACCTTGTATTTGTCCTCTTGGTCCTTCTGTGAGCTCTCCAGCTCGGTCAGCCGCGCCTTCTCGTTCCGAATCATCAGCGTCAACTCCTGACACGCACAGAGACAGACAGCCATCCACGTTGTGAAGGCAACACACATGCGCATCGATGCGTCTGGCAGACAGACCTGCAGTGCCTCATCCTTGCCCCCGATCGCCATATCCAGCTGCATGCAAACACAGACAAAGAAGGAATACACCCGTATGCTTTCAGGACGGCATCGTCTAAGTTACGTCTCGTCTACAACGCTCGATTTCTCGTGACTTGAGATGCATCGCCGGCACCCTCTTGCTTGCCAACTCCTGACACAGCGGAGAACGACACATCCTCCAGTGCTCACGGGTCGTTCTTGTGTTCGTCGGTGAGTGAGTGACGTGCATACCTCCCTTTCCTTGCGGATGAGTCTGCGAAGATGCCGCTTCTGATCGATAGACAGACGCACCTGCACAACCACGAACGGACAATGCGTCAAGACAAGCAGATTCGTGTGTTGGCTAGGTGTTCATTGTGTGCGTGGGATCGCACGGCGGCTATCTCTTTGGTGCGCTCCTGAAGGGCACGCGAGACCTGCACACAGACAAGGAAGCACAATAGACGGAGTGAGTGTTTGGTTATGTTCATGTACCGATCGCAGCTGTGAGGCGGGATCATCGCCAGTATCCTCATCCATCTGACACACGGAAAGCAGAGACGCTTCACTTGATGATGCTGTTGTTTGTTGTTTTGTTTGTGTGTCTCACACTCACCCTGTCCATTGCTTTGTCCGCTGCGTGTGTCGGTGCGAGTCGGTTTCTGACGTCTGCGGCGCATCGGATGAGCCGCCGGCAGTCGAGCGTGAGTGTGAGGTCGTCGAGGAACTCTCGCTGAGTGCGCTTGCCGATTGTCTTGAAAAACGACTGAGTCTTAAACCTGCGGTGCACGCACATGAGGACAAGCGGCATTAGACAGACCGAATCTGTGACGTGCTGTCCATGTACTTGTCTGTCTGTCACTCACAGACATGGACGTGTACACATGTAATACGTGCTTCATGTACGTTTGTAGGTACCATGTGTCGCGTCCTTTCTCGTCGCTGGGGAAGGGGTTCTTTCGGTATGCGGCGTCGAACTGTGCGATGAGGCTATGGGCGCTCCTGGGGTGCTCCGCCTGACCCGCATAGCCGCCCTCACACGCCCACTTGGCCGACCAGCGGCCAATACACCCGTGCGCACAAACCACCTCCTCACACACACCACCCATGTCTCTTTTGTCAGGGGACACGCCAGCCTTCTTCGTCGCAGCTGCTGGTGCGGCGGGAGGCTTGGCGGCCTCCGGGGGCTCGGCCGGCATCGGAACAGCCGTCTGAGGTCTGTCTGGTGGGCTGTGATTAGGTTTGGGAACCAAGTCGGGTGGCGGTCTGAAGACGGGAGCCTGACATGAGGGCTGGAGAGGGGGGTCCTTGTGCAGCGACTCGTCAGTGGAAGACAGGGGAGCCTCCGCGCTCGGCTGAGGCGCGTAGGACTCACCACCTGCCCAAACGACAAAAGACGTCGAAGGGAAGGGTTTGTCGTTCTTGTCGTGAACGTTGCCCAACAATCGTGTCTCACCCTCTATCCTTGTGGCCACGTTGCCTGCGTCACTCATCGACATTCCTCTGCTCACGAGCTATCGCGTCGCCTTACACGATGTCAAACAAAAACAAAGAGAGGGAGTCGAGACTCAGCTGAACGGCATCCCCCTCGACGAACCCATCAGAGCTCAATGGAGCCTGGTTCGGCACGAACAGCTACAAAAACAAAGCGAACAGGTCAGCCGAAGTGCGAGCTTGAATGCGGGTGGAAAGAAGGACGGAAGGCAGCGAAACATTCCAACTACGGAGCTATTGGATGAGTTTGGCTGTGTGTCCTGCTTGCTCTTCCCCGTTCAGATTCTGAAGCGTTCATTGTTCATTGTTCGTCCCAGCCTCGTGAGCTGACGAGCCGAGATCTGTGACAAACAGCGCCCTGTCTGCATCGCAAGAGGCGCAAGAGGTTGTCTCGGCGCAGCTTCTCTGCGATGGACGGCGAATCTTCCTGGGACGTGTGGAGAACATCTCTGGGGTCGCCGCGGTATGTCTGTTCGCCGATGGTTTTGCAAAGCGAGGCAGCCTTCCGCATGATGACCAGAAAATACGGCGTGGGTACGCTGGGCAGCAAACGCGAATTGTTGTCAGCGCATTCCTCTCTGCGTTGCTTGTTTCTGGTGTGGGTTGCTTGTGCAGATTTGCCGTGCAGGCCGATGGTGCACAGCAGGATTGTGCTCGAGTATCCCAATATCATGGACAGAGTGATGCAAGTAAGGCACCAGGAACACACACCTGACTGCACGACTCTCGCCATTCCAATTGATCAGATGTTCAGTTGGTGGACGACCATTCTCTGAGTGTGCAGCTCTGCGGCAACTCCACGGCACACTTCATCGAAACCGCCAAGGCGCTGAAGCCCTTTGCTGACATGATTGACATTAATCTGGGCTGTCGACAGGGCTCCGCCAGGACCGGCGGATACGGCACATTCCGTAAGCGAGATGGATGAGACGAGATGGACGCTTTCACCGTCGTGTATTGTCTGTCTGTCTGTCTGTCTGGGTGTGTGGTTGGTTGCAGTGCTAGAGGATCTGCCTACAGTCGCGAGGATGGTGGAGGGCTGCGTTTGCACTAGACCAAGCCCGTGTCGCCTGCTGCCCGCGGGAGAGGACAGTTCACACTGTCTCGAGGCTGCCGACGTGGCCTTCGTCTGTCTCCGTGACCGCACACGATTCAACACCAACTGCGATTGGGAGGCTACCGTCAGACTAAAGGAGATCAGAGTGTGCGGATCATCGCCAATGGTGGCGTCGAGCCGGCACCAGGCGACAAGTGCGGATGCCGTGCGGAGGTCTGCTGAAGACGCCAGCCTGCTTGCTCTTGACAAGCAGGCATGTTCGCCTGCCGACCCCGCACGTTCACCGCTCGCCTACGCGCATCACCAGCTGTCGATGGCGCTCGAGTACTTATCGTTTGCAAGCCGCTACCACCAGGAGGGTCAGGAGTTTTGTGATGGCCATGATGACGGTTCAGTGCTCTGCCGCTGTTGGTGTGCCCTGGACCGCAAGGGGCAAACACCAGCCGGCATCCAGCACGTTGTTGGAGTTCTCGCACAGAGATACGACTATAGTGAGGATCACATGGGGCAGGAGAATCCCCTGGGACCGAGCTCGTGGTATCGGAGATTTCGGCAGGGAAGAGAACAGTCACAGCGGCCAAGAGAGACGAGCAGGGGGTGGGCAACATTGCCATGCGTCGTCGTGAGTGTGGTGACGTCGGTTGACGTATACGTCACAAAACGCGTGGCACTCTCATGTGTACATGACTCAGACACATAGTACACTCATCAGTCCTCAATCGGCAAATGGACAGAATTCGCATTTCATGTTCAAATGTAGCGAATGGGCAGACGTGATTTGAGTCGATCAGCTCAATGTCTGTCTCCGTGCATATGTGAATTGGCTATGCATCGCATTTGATTTGTTTTTCGTCCGCCCGAGAGCCGTGCAGCTGTTGTTGTCTTGCTTCTAGTTGATCTTCGCCTCTATCTTGGTCAATCGCTCGTCCACTTGTTTCCAGACTTCTTTCTGCTGTGATTCCATCTTCGTCCGTCGCTCGTCCATCTGTTTTAGCTGTTTCCGTATTTCGGTTTCCATCTTCTTCAAGACTGAGGCGCAAGCAAATGCGGAGATGACTGAGTTCAACTTGTCTTGATTGCTGTCATTGTCACCTGACAGCATCTCGAATTGAGAAGTTTGGTTGTGCTTGAGGGCTGCAGAACACCGAATAGAGACGCAGTTATGCATGTGTGATTGTGTGTCTCTTCTGTGTCACCTGCCATGACGTCAGGGAAGTTTGAGTGGTGGTGATCCGCAGCCTCCATCCACTCGTCGATGCTGTCTTTGTATCCGTCCCGTGCTTCACGCCTCTCTCTGGCTTTCCACTCCTCAGTGTCCTCGTAAGATTCCTTTGGCACCACAGACAGATTCCATTGCTGGATGGGATTGGCCACTTGGAACTCTCACCTCTGCTTTGACGTAATTGACGTAATGGTACAGAAGATACAAGGGCATCACGAGGATGACACCGAGTATTTTGAATGCGTCCCAGATCTGGACTGTCTTCTGTATCCTCTCTCCAGTATTGTCAAGGGTCCAGTACTGTCGCCGCTGTATCTCGTCCCGTATGCATTGCTGAAGCTTCTCCAGGTGACGGTAGATGGCAATTGGTGTGAAGGCGACGGCAAATAGGAGCGCATCGACGGTGCAGTAGATGGCCTTCATCGACGAGAAGGCAATGCGGCACCTTCTCGTCGATGCGGCAGAGTGCCGACTGCCGGCCGCTGATGAGGGAGGCGACATAGCGCAGGGGCTCCGACACGACCACAGCTGCACACACACAGATTATGCTCACATGTTGTGGGTGCAGTTGATGTCTCTTGTCGGCCGCACCGACCGATGAGGTTGAATGGCGGCGGGAGGCGCTCGTGGTGCGGCATTGTGAGGTACTCATTCAACACGCGGACGCGCAGCAACCTGCACTCAGTCATTCACGGACAAAGAGAGAGCCATAATGTGTCGCGGTCTGTCTGTCTCTCTTACTGATATTGGGCAGTCTGTGTTTGCTCGATAACCGCATACGTCGACGCCTGACATAGAGAGAGACAGACAGACAGACACACATACAGGAGCGTTGTTCAGTCTTATGACACGCTCGATGTCCCTTGTGTGTGTCTCACCATGATGGCAATGAGCAGGTTGAGCTATCGATGCGGTCAGACAAAGAGACAGAGAGACAACAAAGGGAGTCCTTTTGTGCGGCTCGTTGAGCTCCTTTAAGTGTATGTGTGTTGCTGAGTCTGACGTACGAGTATGATGGACGAGAGGATGACGTATGTGAACAGCAGGACGGTCCCCAGTGTGTCGTGGCTCTCGATGGCGTTCGTCAGCGCATCATTGAAGTCGCCAAGACCCCCGTAGAAACTAATGCAGCCAGCCAACCAACAGCATGACGACTGGCGCTCTCTCTCTGTGTGTGTCGGTGTCATCGAGTACAGCGTGAGCGTGGCTTTGGCGAAGGAGCCGAAGTACTGGTGGTCTTCGTCGGAGGAGAGGAGGGTGAAGACGACCGCGAAGACCAGCAGGATGTAGACGTACAGACACAGAAACATGCTGATGTCCGAAAACATCCTCACAACCGCACTGACACACACACCCGTCACACACAGCATCAGACATGACCTCTCTGTGTCTGTCTCTCTGTCTCTCTCTCACTGACAGTATGAGTGGTCCGACGCTGGGTGCAGGCTGGCGGTTTGGAGGAGGCGAAGCGCAAAGAGCAGCGCTATGACGATCCCTGAGCTCACTTCCGCCTCCTCCGACCAGCCAGCGAAGTGGATGGCAATGAAGGCGATGATGGCCAGTGAACTTCCAGCATCCACCCAATTCCTTCATGGATCCCCACACACACACACCGACAGCAAACAAATGGAGCCGCCGGCTCGAAGCCTGACGCGTACCATGAGTCGGCCCAGTACGCTGCCTTCAGCCGGATGCCCTACAGGCACACAGAGGCACACATTGCTCAGTCAGGCATGTCTTCTCTGATCTGTCTTACTTGGAAGATTTCCAGAAGGATGAAGCCGCTGCCCGTCAGCACTGAGCCCCAGAGCCACACCGGCGGCCAGGCTCCCGCCATCATCATGCCGCTTTATCCCTTGATCGACTCGATGTGCAGAAGCACAAAGGACACCCTGCAACACACACAGACAGACAGAGATGCTTCTCTCTGCCTGCATCGTTGTCCATGGCTGTGGTCTCACATCAGCAGCATTGACAGCACGCGGCTGAAGAACACTTCACGGGGTGACAGCTGAAGCCTCCAGTTTTCGTAGTTTTTCTGCCAATGCCTTGTTACGAGAGAGATGCAGTTGGCTGTCACAATCATTGACAGAGAGACGGAGGAGACATGAGCGGACCGACAGAGAAACGAGGAGATCGCTTGTGCGGCTTACCTTGGGTGACGACAGAGAGGGGCTCCGCAGACTCGAGCGTTGCAAACCATTCTCTCTCTTTGCCTGTAAGTGACCACTTGAAGCGATACCAATCTGTATCGCTGCAGAAATTGGCTGTGAGCGCCTGAATAGATTGGCCAGTCAGTGCAGAGGTGAAGACTGCTGTGCTCTGTGTGTCCGTCATTGTTTACCTCCTGCCAGTTGGAAAAATTGGCAAGGTCATCTGTGAGGGAGTCCTTGGGGCGCAATTTCATCAGTTGGCGAAAGACGGCACAGCAGCGAAGGCTGTCGAGGCCCAGCGACTCAGAGTGCTCCTTCAGGAACTCCTTTGCGGAAGGCACCACCTCCTTGAGATGCTGAACGTTCAAATCTTGTGCTTTCACGCCTCGCGTCTCGCCATGCTGAATCACAGCATGAACAAGACACACATGCTGTCCAATGCATAAGTCGACGTTCCCTGGTCCATACGGTGTTTCGAGCTTCCAGCAGTTTTTTTCCGCCCCACTCAACAAACTTCTCCACAACACCACCTGTTGCTACCATATGAAGGGGCGTGTTGCCATTCTGAATCACAGCATGAACAAGAGACACATGCTGTTCAATGCACCACTCGACACTCCCTCGTCCTCACCTCGTTCCGAGCCTCCAGCAGTTCCTTTCCGCCCCACTTGATGAACTTCTCCACGACATCAACTGACCCGCTCCCTGCTGCCAAATGAAGAGGCGTGTTGCCATCCTGAATCACAGCATGAACAAGACACACATGGTGTTCAATGCACCACTCGACATTCCCTCGTCCTTACGATGTCTTTAGCTTCCAGCAGTTCCTTCCCGCCCCACTCGATGAACTTCGACACAACATCATCTGACCCTTCTCTTGTTGCCAAATGAAGAGGCGTCCTGCCACCCTACAGACACAGCATGAAGATTGCAGTGAAGACACCGATCGGGCGAATAAGCAGAATGAGTGTAAGTGTCGAGCACGATACCTTGTCTTTCAGGTTGAGCAGGTGGCGTCGGTTGTCCAGCAGCACCTCAAACACAGCCACATCCTTACACTTCTCTGAGAAGCGCACACAGAGATCACGTAGCTGCATCATGTGTGTGTAGTGATGCGATGATGCATACGTGCGGCATAGTGGATGGCAGAGTCCTCCGAGCGCCATTTCCATTCTCCAGTCGTCAGCACCTTCTCCACTTGCTCAGGCGAGAGATCGGCGAGGGCCTTCCGCAGACCCTCCGCATCTGATTCATAGATGACCTCTTTGATGCTGTCTCTCAGCGACTGAGTCGGTTCCCAATCGTCGGCGGCCGGGGCACCCACCAGGGGCACCTGCAGATGACACACAGACGTCCAACAGACCACTCAGAGAGTGACCTCGTGCCGCTGTCGGCATCACAGCCATAGACCTGTTCGATGCGTCTCGGTGCCTTGGCGATGTCATCGGTGACGTCCGGCAGCTGGGGCTCCATCAGCCCTTGCTCATCGTCCTGCAGCAGAGGGACCTGGTCACTCGAGGCCGACGCTGACATCTGCAATGCCTTGAGGGAGGGAGGGACACAGACATCAGAGGCCGATGGCCAGACACGCAGAGGTGCACTAGGAGCATTGCAAGGTGACCTTGGGATGGCCCGTCTGTGTGTGGTGGATGGCCTGCTGTGCGGCAGCGTCGCCCTCGTCGACTCTCGGCAGCTGGATGTAGCACGCCTCCTCAACACCACTGGGGCGGCTGCGGCCGTCTCTCCCTCTGCCGCCCTCCTGGCCCTGCAGTCGGGGAGCTTGCCGGCTGTGCAGGGACCCCAGCATCTTTGCCACACAGGCTGTTCCCCCTGAGACGCCGACGCCCCCAGTCTCAGGATTGAGAGGATGATCTTTTCCTCGACGAAGCCCGGCACTATGAGCATCAGCCTTCTCAGCCCTGTGCTCCTTTCTCCTCCCTGCCTGTCATCAGATGACGACGACGACCGCAGCGAAGCGAATGGCCTGCCAACACTGCTGACATCCAAGCCCTTCTGGATGAGGCCAGACGAGTCGCCCTTCCAGTGCGCCTCACCAGACAGCAGCGAGGCGTCATTCGTGAGTTTGGGAGGGCCGCCAATCGGCGCATTGGCTGAGAAGTCGTTGCTGCCTCTGGACATGCCCGTCAAGCTCGAGTGCGAGTCGCCGGTGTGGAGACCACAACATCCGGAGCAGCAGCAGCCTTTCGGCCTCGACTCGCCCATGCGACTGTTCGACACTGAGGAGCAGACGAACCTCTGCACACCTGACAGCGAGCCCACGATGACGGCCCTGCCCTCGTCCATCTGGCAGACCCCACGTCAGACCGCCGCCCCTTTCCTTGATGACACAAGCGACCATAAGAGGGCCGCCAAGCGGAAGCTGCCACACTCCCCCGTCTTGTTGACCCCTTCCCTCACCATCCGCCGCCAGGACGAGCGGCACTTCGGAGAGGCAGGTGGTCGTCACCCGACGCTGGTGGTCCAGGCGAGGCCTCTGGCGGTGGCAGACGCCCACGTCCTCATCGAGCACAGCGGGGTGGGCGAGTCGGCGGAGGGCGGCGAGTGGGACCAGAGAGGGGGGAAGGGTCTGCTTCTCTACGAGGTGAGGCACATGTTCACCTCGGTGCAGACGCGCTGCCCTCGACGGAACAAGTGAGCAGAGAACAGTACACGCACACGACCCACATGGAACACTTGGATTTTGTTATTTGCGACGTGCCTATTTGTGTGCAGATGAGCAGACAGTTGGCCGTGCTTTGAAGGACCCACCTGAGCTACCGCCCCTTCCTCGGTTTCGACGTGCGCAAGCTGTCCACTCCCCTGGGGGTCTTCGTCAGCCCGCCGCCGTGCAGCAAGACCGGCGGCCGTGCTGAGTACACACACGTGGCCGTCAAGCGGCGCCCCTGAGAGAGCGAAAGACCGAGTGACTGAGTGACATTCGTGCGGCGGTGCAATGCATTCCATGGTATGCGTGCGTCATGGGTGCCCGTCTGTCTGTCTGTCTGCTTGGGATGTGTGTTCATGGGAATGTATGGACAGCGCTCTGCAGCATGCTCCAATCGGAGATGCCATGCGGACCTGTCTGGCTGTCTGTCGAGTGCTCTCAAAGAGAGATCGTATGTGTGTTTGGGTCGTTTGTCTGACTGTGCGTGTGTCTGCGTGTGTGCTTTCATGGATTGTGAAGGTGGCGACCCCACGTGTCACTAGTGGCCGTCACGCAAAGGCAGTGTCTGCGTATGGCCAGCTGGATGGCTGTGAGTTTTGGCCACGTACACTGAGAGAGAGAGGGTCAGAGAGAGAGAGAGAGAGACCTACACACACACGTACCTGCCTGCCTTGACTGATGCAGGCTGCATACTCGTCATGGCCAGCGCTGTGTTGCACGCCATACCCACTCGCTGGGCTGCTGTTGCCGTTCGTCCCAGTTGTGGCTCTCGGTCCCGATTTTGGTCGCCGTACAAGTATGTGTGTGTGTGTGTGTGTAGGTATTTCGTGTGCTTGTTGCTCGCAAAGGCAGGTCGTGTAGTCAGGTCCTCTGCTGCTGTTGGGACGCAGGGATGGATGCTTTTTCTTGTCTATGTGTCTGTAGGTGGGGAAGTGAGCGTGGCGGCGGCAAATGCCACTCGCCATGCCAATCTTCACCTGTCTGTCTATCTGTCTGTCTGTGTGTCTGCCTCCATTAGTTAGTCTTGGGATGGACGGCTGTGACCTTTACACACGAAGGCACGTACACACCTGCCTGCCTGCCTGCCTTGATGTGAAGGGTACTCTGTGTATGGGGCTGATTCGGCTGAATCATTTGTCCACTCGTTTGCATGTCTAGTGTTGAGTTCGTGCGTGAGCTTTTCCCGCACAGCTGTCTATGTCATAGGTCAGCGAGATCCTTTGCCTTGTGCAGTTTGTCGTGTGTGTGCGTCTGCCGTGTGCTGTCAGTGCACTGTGCGACACCAGCTGACTCGTCGAACAGTTATTTATTGGGCTGCACGACAGAAGTTTGACGCGTGTCAGCTCCCAAAACCAAAACCAAATTGAGCGTTCATCTTTTCCCGGTTTGCTTCTCGCCAACAGCTCAAGCGAATAAAAAAGAGTGCTAGAAAAAAGGCCGCTCCCAAGCGTCAGAGCGCCCTGCGTGTCTTTGTTGCCAGAAAGATCGGCACTGAGCGACGAGTGAAGAAGAGAATACGCCTCCAGGATATAAAATGTAGACACCGATAAAGGCAGACCTGGAAGAAGAAACAACAAACGTCAACACCGAATGGGCACTGAGACATGACTCGCCGGTTGGCATGCCTCACCCCGCTCCTTTCCGCCTCCGCCTCTGACGCGAGACGCAGTTGGCGGCATGTCCACCGGGGAGGGGCTGACGGGGATCAACGCACACAAACCCCTCCCTCCTCCCTCCCCTCCAAGCAGTCTGGTCAGTTAGTTGTGGCGGTCGGGAGGAACACTTGGCCTCCCGCCGCCACGGGCAGCAGCAGCAGCAGCAGCATGACACGAAGTAGTCCCAGTTCCACCACCAACTCGAGCTGGTCGGCTGGTGCTGCTGCTGTGGTTGGGGGGGCGGCGGGGAGGGCAGCTCTGGCTCAGTGATGGTCGTGGCCTTGTCGTGGGAAGAGTGGGCCTCCTTGGCGGTGCCGTCGGTGGTGCTACTGGTGGAGCTGGTGCTGCTTGGGCTGCTGGTGTTGGTAGGGGGAGAGGGCTGAGAAGTGTCAGATCTCAGCAGGAGTTCTCCGCTGGGCGTCCTGTGGCGGGGGCTGACGCTGCTCGAGTCTGATGGCGACTGGCTGGGCACGGGGGAGGGGCTTCTGTCACGGGGCGATGGTGATGGCGCTGTGGCGGGGGAGGTGGTGGGTGGGATGACCTCCACCTCGACGCAGTCGTCGTCATCAAGCTGGTCGCAGCCCGCCACGGGCACGTCCCCGACAAACAGGCGGACAGCCGCCTCGCCCGGCAGGCAGGGCTTGTCCCTCACCTTGTGCACCAACTCCTCCAGGGTCATCTTGTCGGGAGTGGACTGCAAGGGAGGAAAGAAGCCACACACACAGACGCAGCAAGGGAGTGTGTGAGCGGCTAGAGAAATGGGCAACGAAGGTACGGGTGGCGTGGCCTCACACACCTGCAGCAGCGGCACCGACGTAATCTCGCCCCTCAATCTCAGCCCCACCTTCCTCCGGCGGCGCTCAACAAACGTGGGCCCATGGGTCTCTCGCAACTTCCTGTCGGACTCCTTCCTCTCGGCATCCCAGCGCCGCTCCATCTCCCTCAGCTGCTGCTCGGCCAGCTCGGTGTCCCTCGCCACCATCTCCCAGCGGCGCTCCCTCTGCGGCCGTCACACACACAGAGACAGACAGAGAGAAGGGCAATGTACCGTCGTTTGCTGGGGTGCAGTGCAGTGTGGCTGCGCGGCTGGCTGGCTGGTCGATGGGCTTACCTTTTTCTGTATCTGCTCCCACTCCTCGGCGGTGAAGAGGCTGCGCACATAGCCGGGGTCTAACATAACATAGGCCTCGTAAGTCTGAGGAAACACAACACACGACAGGCAGGTCGAGGTCATTAAGGCAACGAGCGCCAGTGCAGTCGGGGCGAAGAGTAGGCCTCCTTGGCGCTGCCGTCGGTGGTGCTACTGGTGGAGCTGGTGCTGCTTGGGCTGCTGGTGTTGGTAGGGGGAGAAGGCTGAGAAGTGTCAGATCTCAGCAGGAGTTCTCCGCTGGGCGTCCTGTGGCGGGGGGTGATGGTGCTCGCGAGTGACGGCGACTGGCTGGGCACGGGGGAGGGGCTTCTGTCACGGGGCGATGGTGATGGCGGTGTGGCGGGTGAAGTGGTGGGTGGGATGAACTCCACGTCGCATCTGCGAATGACGGCGGTCGTGCATGGCGACGCTGGTGCAGTGCTGTCGTGCAGTGGCTAGTCGGCCACATGAGGTGACGTGGGGGCCTCGTTGGATGGCGATGGGGAGGGGACGGGGTGGCTGCCGTGGTCTGCCTGGGTGTCGCGGCTGCCGCAGCCGTCATACTCGTTGTTGTCCGCGTCATCGTCGTCAGAGTCTTTTCGTGACGAGCCGCGGATGACGGGACTCGTCACGAAGAAGATGTAGTTGGTCTCCGTCTTCTGTTAAACACTTGCACTCACAGACGGCTGCAGTGAAGGCGGCTCGCTCAGGGTGTGCGGCTCTGACCCCCCTCATATGGCCGTGAGCTTGAAGGCGAAGACGGAGACGCCTGTTTGGCAACCGGCGAAAGGAGAGGATATGCCTCCACAATATAAAATGCAGGCAGCGGTGGTCTGATATAAATGGACACACACAGGGGGGATAGCCATGCAGCCCCTTGTTTCTGTCTGTGTCTGTGTGTCTGGAGCGACGGAAGGACGTGTGTGTCGGTGAGGCTGTTTGCCCACCCAGTGCGAAGATGTCAGTGGCCGTGCCGCAGTGACGGCCCTGCAACACTTCGGGCGCCACGTAGAAGGACCGCGAGGGCTGCATCCGCCTGATTACAATAAATGAATGAATGGCATTCATCGCATAGCACGGACACACACAGACACAGAGAGGGAGGGAGATGGGCGTCTGTGTCTGTGTCTGTGTCTGTGTGTCGTTGGTTGCTCACGTGCGGCCGCGGATGGCGTTGTCCCACTTGTAGACGAAGGCCTTGAGGCGGAACGCCGTCCGCGCGCCGTCCGCGCAGCACACTGGGCTGAGGCCGATGGACCTGATGGACAGGCCGGCATGGCTCACACCCCTGAACCCACCAGCATCCAGACAGACAGACAGACAGGGACACACACGCGAGTGAACGGGTGTGGGTGTGGATGTCTTTGCGTGTGTGTGATCTCTCTCCGCCCGTCGTCGCGCACTTACTCCTTGTGGAGTTTGACGAGGAGGCACGCGATGTCCCTGAGGAACGACGCCACGGCCTGCTCGGGCCATCCGCACCGGCAACTGCAGGGGTGACACACACCACGCCACACCACACACAGAGGCGTTCTATGACCACAGAATGGATGGATGAATCGATGGATGGATGTTGTGAGTTGAGGTGAATCTCTCTCTTTCGCCTTGCTTACTACTGGTTGAAGAAGCTAATCAGTTCTACGATGGGTTTCTGGACGGCGATCTCATGGTACGCCGGTGCACGACCTTACACACCGCCGGCAGCTGCTGCTGCGATGCCCAGTCGTGAATATCAGCGGCTCGCTTGACCTGCAGACAGACACACATACACAGACATATGCACATTGACCCTCCCTCCCTCCCTCTCTCCCTCCCTTGATCACCTCCATTGTGTATTGGCTGTGGGGTATCAGAAGGGCCACGAGCTCGTGGCCCTCCTTACTCTTGACGGGGAGCTCCATCAGCCGCGCAAACGCCGTGGACTGCGACCCATCGAGGTGCCACAACACGTCAACGGCCGCAAACTCACCGCCGCCCACACTCTTGTCACCGACTCCGCCCTCGCCGCCCTCCCCCACACCACCGCCCTCCTCCGACCCCTCCGCACCCTCCGCACCCTCCCCGACGTCGCTGCCGGCCGCTGCAGCGCCGCTCGTGGCGGCACCCCGTGTGCGGGCTGGTGTGGATGCGCGGGTCGGTGTGGCACCCTGGCCGTGAGGCTGGGAGTATGGGGTGGGGATGCTGTCGGGCGGCGAGGGGGTGGGATCGTTGTGCGGCGCCTCGACGTCATCGGGCAGCTCCACACTTAGCTGTACGGTCTCCTCGTCGTCTAGGTCGTCCAGATCCACCACCTCCCGCCACTCTGTGTCGAAGACCCGCACCAAAGTGTCGCTGGGCAGGTGAAAAAACTTGCGCTGCTGCTGATGGAACTGAGCTAGAGTCATGCCCTCACTCACCGACTGAACGCACCGCAGACAAACAAACAGACAGACAGACAACGGACAAAGCAGTGCAACGGTGTGTGGTTTGGGCGCCTCAGCCAGCCGGCCGGCATCACATCGAGAGCGTTGATTGCCTCACCTGCTGCCGAGGCCAACAAGTGCGTCCCTTCAGTCGGACATAGACTGTCTTGGCTTCCGAACTCATTCTGCGATGGTTCGGCAGTCTTCTATCGGCCGCTATAGCCTGCAGAGCGCACCTGTGGTCAGCCAAATGGCCTTTACGCAGCCAAAAACCTCAGATCTCACTCAAACTCTTCTGAAGACCGTCACAGAGCTCGCAAACCACCACCGTGGACGTCTTCTATCCCACACAGTTGCGCATTGAGAAGTCCAAGTGAGGTGCCGAGGAAATGATGAAAATTCCTCCGAGATATAAAATGTAGGCAACGATGAGGGCACACCTGGAAAGAAAACAGAGAGACACGCACAGTGGGCCGGCCCCTGAAGGGAGTTTGCCAATTGAAGACACACGGCTTCCGGTAGGCGCGGCGACTCTGGTCGGCGATGGGGCGGAGGCCGATCGTGTCGAGCGACATGCCCCCGTGAGTGATGCCGCTGAATGCATCGCATCGACAGACGAGGCCAACATGACTGAATGCCTGGTATGTGTGTATCTCGATTTGTTTCCCTTCTCCTCACTCTGCACGGCAGCCGCAGCAGGTCACCTACGAACCAAAAGACCACCGACTCAGCCACACCCACGTGCTCGATGCTGCACCACACACACACACACACACACAAAGGGACGTGTTGACGAGGGCGAGAGCCGCCACACACATCTCTTCCCGCCTTACTTACTGCTCCCTGAAGAAGTCGCGCAAGGGCATGGGAGGTCTCTCGAGGACGACCACATGATACCCATCCTGCTCGAATTCCCCGAGCTGCTTCGCCACAGACGACTCGAGTGAGGACTGGCGCACCGTCTCAGACAGCAACTTGTGGATAAGCACCGGCTCCCGCACCTGCAGACCGAACGAACACGAGACTGTGCTGACTGACAGACAGACCGACCCTCTGCGCACCTCTCCCTCCCTCCCCCCCGCCCCCCTGGACACATGCCAGCCATTCCTTCCGCTCACCGATGCATTCTTGTTGTATCGGCTCAATGGGATCTTCAACTTGAGAAACAGCTGGCCGTTCAGCTCCCCCTCCTCCACGAATATATCGCCGAACCCGGTGTCTGTCGGGCGCTTTTTCCATTGCTGCACACACATAACATACACACAACACACGTACCACAACACATTGCTGCACCCACATAACATACACATACCCACACATCCCTCCTCACCGATACGTCGGTGGCCGTCGTCCCAGGCCGCGGCAGCTCCGGCGCTCGTCCGTTGGGGGCTGTGGTTGGCGCTTGTCGATCGCTGTTGGCTGATGGTGCGGCTGAGGGGGCTGGGGTAGTGCGGTGCGGTGAGAGTGGGAGGGGAGTAAACGCCACCTCATCGCCGTCTCGCAGGGCGTCGACGTCCCGGATGGACGAGCCCCGGACGAGCAGCTGGACGGTGACACTACTGTCGTCCAGCCGGAGCAGCTTCAGCACCTCCTGGCGCAGCTCGTCAATGCTAACACCGTAACGGACTACCTGCAAAGGCAAGGAACCAGAGAAAGGAGAGGCCTTTGCGCCGGATGGATGGCCATGCATCGTCGAGTGCATCGTGTTATTGCCTCACGTGTCTGATGCGGCCAGACGGCCCCCTGATCTGGATGGTCTTGTTGCTGCGGCACGACCGCCCCCACCTCCCCCACCCTGCACACACACCCCACAAGCGCCACAACAGACGTACCACACACAGGTGGACCACACCGCCCATCCGCACACCTGAGAGGAATTGTGCATCTCCGGACGACCCTGTAGATGCTGCTGCCCGCTGCCGCTGGGCCTGCTCACGCCACCCGACGTCCACCCACCACCACCGCCTCCCGACGAAGCAGCGGCTGCGGCAGCCACAGGAGCAGGGCCTGGCTGCGCATGGGGCAGCAGCAGAGGATCCCACCCGTCCGAATCGCTCCAGTTGTCGTTGTTGTCGTAGTTGTTGCCGTAGTTGTGACTGGCTGAGCTGGCCTGCTGCTGCTGTTGTTGTGCTGCCTCTGCCACTTGAGCGGCGTGGAGGTGCCTGGCCAGTGCGGCGTCTTCGTCTGTCTGGTCCCGCTCACGGATGTCCATGATCGTGTTGACAGGGATTCTCTCCTGGTCTTCTCGCGTCAATCCGATCATGGACCAGGCGTCGTCGTCCATGTGGGCCCTCTGAGCACCTGCTTGATGACCCTGTGCAGCCACGCAGCCAGGCATCAATCAAGCAAAAAGACACAGACAGATACGAGACGCCTCCGTCCCTCCCTCCCTCCCTCCCACCCATGCGTGTGTGTGTGTGTGTACCTCCTGCCGCGAAGGCGCCATGCCACTTGTGTACGACCGCCGAGAAGTAGTGCTGGCCGTCGTTGTGCTCGACGGGCATCACACCGATCGTCTCGGGCGTCGGGGTGCCGTGGGTTTATGCCGCTGGACCAACAGGCGTGTGGGGTGGGTATGTCCGTTTCTCAAGTTGTGCTGTCCAAGCTCACTCACTTTGCAGCCAGTCCGGCCAGCAGCCGTGCGATGTCTATGACCATCTCCTCACTCCAGGGGTCGCCCGGGAAGCTGTTGACCCCAACCAGACCAGCACACACACTGTGCGTGCGTGCGATTGTGTGGCGCCGCGCCCTGCCGCCTTCATTGCCTTACTGGAAGTCGCTGAGTGGTTTGAAGGGGAGCACTATGAGGGTCTTGTGATAGTCGCGCTCGTCGGCACGGCAGACGAATCGCGCGACCGCCGGGAAGCCCTTGTCAGCAATCACACAATCGCCTCCTTCTCCTGCAAACACACACACATACACACACATGGATGGATGGATGGATGGATCATGTTCGGGCAGTCCCTCCCTCCCTCATCGATGGATCCCTGGTGTAAAGGGTTTTGGGTATCAGTCGAGCCAGGTACTCCTTGCCCGTCTGCGGGTCCTTATTGAGAATGGTCAGGCGCTCGGCGAAGGACGCACTCGCCGGGCTGCTGGCCAGCTGCGACAGGGCCAGCCGCCCATGGTACCCCGTGCCGGCCTTTTCGTACTCGGTGAGGGTGATCTGCAGATCCGGACCCAATGGCAGCCGACTGCACCGCGCTGCAGGTCAATCAGACCCGACAAGTGATTGTCCTAAAGACACACACGCACACACACACACAGGACTGATACGCTGTGTGTGTTGTTACAGCACATAGATGCATACCGTGTGCATGTGTGCCCTCGCTCGGATCAAGAAGGCCATGGCTTCCTCAGGGTATTGCCAGACAAATGGTCCTTGTCCCTGGTCGGGGTGGCGGTTCGGCCCGCTCTGCAGTCATCGCACAAACGGTGAGCGATGCAGACGGTGGGCCCTCAATGCAGTGCGGCTCTCTCTGCGGTTCTCCTTACCCTTGCCATCACCCGGCGTGGGAAGGAAGAGCACCAACTCCACGATATAAAATGTGGACAGCGATGGGAACCGACCTGATAAGAGCGGACAAAAGCACACACATGAAAACTATGGGCAATCAGAGACATGAACATGGCTCACCAGCATGTCTCGCGATCCTTGCCTGCTGGTATGCCGCCAGCTCGGCGTCCTCCTCCTTGCTTCCACCGCACCACCTCCTTGCTTTTCCTCATCTGGAGCACACACGCCACACACACACAAACACACACACACACGCGAGCGCGTCTGTCTCAAAGAGTATGTGCATGGGCATATCCACACTGAGCTCGCCCACTCACTGACGTGGATATCTCCATGCACGTAAGAGCCTTGCGGCACACCAGAAATCTCTGCTCGTGTCCATCACCCTAGGACCCTACACATACATTCACACACACAGAGACACACAAACGCACTCATGTACTCATGTACACTGCGTCCGTGTTTCCCATATCACTGACCTCTTCGGCGTGGATGGGTCCAGTCTCAGCCGATCCAAATCGATCAGGACCGCCTCATAGCTGCCGTTGCGGCTCCTACGAACGCCTATGTTGCCTCCTGCACACACACGCCCCACACACACGTCTGTCTTTGAGAGTATGTGCATGAGTGCCCCCCGTCGCCCACTGACTGACGTGGATATCTCCATGCACGAGATGCAGCCGGTGGAAGAGCTCGAGCGCCGCGAAAACGCCATCTGCGATGTGTGGGAGCCGGGGGGGTGCTTGCCGCACAACCGTCAAACTGACAAAGTATACCTGAGGCCACCCACATATGCATAAAATGACGAAACATATCGCAGCCAGCCAGTCACGAATGTGTGTATGGGTATGGCCCGTACTGTCAATCCATTCCATCTTGTAGGCGGTAATCCGCTCGTCATGGGGGCCACACAGGTGATAGACGGCCGCGATGTTGACGATGTGTCGGTGGCCGCGCTCAAGACGCTCGCAGTAGACCACCCAAATGTCATTGCCAGTCCTAACAAACTCGCCGTTCTGCACACAACACACGCACACACCCATTGACCCGTCCATCCGCCCGTTTGTCCCTTGTGTGTTGTGTCTCACCCCACCCACTCACTGGTGTAGCGCAATCATGATCCTTGTGCAGAACCTTGACAGCCCACTTGCAGCCGCGCTCGTCCTTCATGGCCAATACCACACCAAACCGACCCACACGTCCTTCTCTCGCACCAAACAGAGGCTATGGTCCCTCTCCAGGCACTCCTGTTTGTTCTGTATCACACACACACACACACACACAGAGAGAGAGAGAGAGAGTGAACAGTGTGCATACTCTGGCTCGCCTGACTGAGTGAATGGCTGAGTGACTTACCACGGCGATTGCCTGGCGCCCTCTCCGCCGGTGCGGCGGCAGCGGCAGCGGCAGCAGTGGACGAGGACAAACCGAGCCTCCGTCGAAGGCCGACCAAGTCTTCAGCGCAGCTGACAGACGACCACAATGAAAGAAAGGCAGGTAGACACCGCGCATGAGCACCGAATGGGTATAGTCAAGGACGGATCAACGCTTCTGCGTGTGCGTGTCAGTTGCCTGGTGTTCTGCCTCAGGTCGAGCTCACATGCCTTGACAAGGCACTGATAGGCCTGAGGAAGCAACATACAGAAACCATGGCACGGATGTCAACAAGCAACCTACCCACTCACATGTATATCTGTGGAGATGAGCCCTTTTGACGTCCTCCAGGGGCTAGCATTGGCAGGGGCCGAACACGGAAACGCCTGCCAATGCTCGGCAACCGGCGAAAGAAGAGGACATGCCTTCACAATATAAAATGTAGGCAACGATGGCCTGATAACAAGTGGCAGACACACACGTCAGAGTTCGATGGACCCTCGTGTGACAGACTCACCATCAGGCCTTCTCCTCGCTTTCCTCTTCTGTGACACACATCCATACACAGAAGCCTGTGACGGGTGCACATTAAGGGCAGCTCCCACCGCCGTATGTGCATTGCGTGTGCGTGTGCTTCACCCACCGAATTCGCGAGTGGGTGTGTCACCCACTCGCCGTCAACCGCCGCTGCCGCTGCCGCTCGCACAGGCCGAGTGCACACTGTCGGCCTACGGGCGGTCCTGGCCACCAGCCGCCGCCGATTCCTGTACACACACAGAGGCAGGCAGGCACATAGAGAGAAGGCACACATACCATACCATACCATACACATCCATCCTTCTATCTATCTATCTATCTGCGTGCGCCGTTTGCTGTCTGTCTGAGTGGCTCACGGGAGCAGCGCACCTCTGGTGTTTTGTCAGTGTCTGTCGAGTTCTCCGAGTATGTCAGGTCGTCGTCCTCCAGATCATCTGGCGTCGGCGGTGCGGCCGGGGCGGGGCCCCATGGCTCGGGCAGCGGGGGCAGCACAGGGGGCGTCTGATCGATGCAGAACAGCTCACGAGTCGGTTTGTCGGGGGGCGGGTGCCGTCAGGCAGGGTCCTGCGAGGCTGGGACCTGGAGCAGCGATCGGAAGTACTTGCACACCTGACACACATACACACACATACACACACACACATACACAAATACATTACATTCACACAGCCAGCCAGACAGCCAGCCAGCCATCAATCAGTCTGCTCGTGCACTCAACTACTTGACTAATGTACGTACCCATCCAGCTGTCGGCCTTGACTTGCTATCATTCGCCATCATGGATGTCACCACATCGATGGTCTCCTTGCTAACCCCACACTCGAGCAGCTCCTTGGTGGCCTTTGGCAGCCACTGGTACGACAGCGTCGTGACCGACCGAGAGCGTCCAGCTCTGAACATTGCAGGCAGGCAGGCAGGCAGGCAGGCAGGCAGAGAGGCAGGGAAGCGGTATCGTGTGTTGTGTGGTGTGGTGTGGTGCGCGATGTGTGTGTGGCGGGATGGATGGCTCACCGCGGGGGATATGTCCTTGGAAACCGACGATGCCGTTAGCAGCTCGTACATCGCTAAACCTGCAGGCCACCCGATCCCCCCAATCATCGTGTCGTTCAGTAGTCGCGTATGGATGTGCGTGCGGGCCTTCCCTGCCGGCCGTGGCTACTAGACTCACCTAAGGCGGAGGTGTCGGTGGATGGGTCACACAGCTGGCGCTTGAGGACCTCGGGGGCCACGTATGTGCGGTCACTCGACACCACGCTGCACCCCAGCAAGGCCAGCCGATCGAGGTTTTGTACACACACACACAGAGAGAGAGAGAGAGATCATGAGAGATCATGAGCAATAACACATATGCAGCCCTTAGGTGGTGTGTGCGTCGTACCTTCTGCCTTGGCGGGCGTCGCTCAAGTCTGTCAGGACGGCCGTGACATATGTGCCCCCGTCGCTACAGTCGACCGGCCGCACGCCCATGGTGTCGAGGCACAGGTTGGCCAACGTCACGCCCCTGATCGAACACACGAAGAAATAACGAAGAAATAGCGCAGCGCAAGGACAGACAACACACACGGGCGGGGCACACACACATGGGCACTTTGCCTGGCCGTTTGGTTCGTCTTGTTGCTTACCGCGGCTCCAAGAGTGCGAGCAGCTCTATGATGTCACCCAATACCCAAGCGACCATCGCCTCGGTCGGAGGGCGCCAGCCATTCCTACATAGTCCACACACAGACACAGAGACAGACACATGGAGAGGGAGAGGGAGAGAGCGGGGTGTACGGGCGAGAAGCGGACGACATCAAACGAACACAATGGACTTTGACAGTTCCTCACCTCTGATAGAGGAACTGCCGCAGACCCATGAGTGGGCGATCGACTATGTGCTCAAAGTGATCGGCTGTGTCCCCGTGACTGATGAGCTTGCAGACCCCAGGAAGGCCGTTGTTGGTCGCCCACACATAGATCTGGACACCCCTCCTGACCTGCACACATACACACACATGCACACACATTCATTCATTCATTCAGGGAATGCATGCTCTCTGTCTGACTGTCTCTCTGCCCCTCTCTGTTTGTCTGAGCCCCCAGCCACCCACCCACCTCTGCCGCCTGGGAGAGCGGCGTCAGGTGGGTGATGAGCCGGTGGTCGCCCACACTGGAGCTGAACTGAATCGCCTTGTCGAATGCATCGTGGCAATCCATGTCCATGCCCTCCATAATGGCAGCCGGCGTCATGCCCTCTAATCCCCGCCCACCATGGACACCGGCGCCCTCAGACGCACCCCGGCTGCCCCTCCCCACCACCTCCTCATTCACTGCACCACTCCAGCCAAGAAGCCCGCCCCTTCGGAACACGTCGGCGCGCTCGGCCGACCCACCTGGGTGCCTCGGCACCGCCTTGCCGGCGCTCATCACACTAGACCCCCTCATGTCGGGAGCGGCACCACCAGCAGCAACGCCGACGAGGTGTGCACCAGGTGGGCTTCGTGTGATGTGGGAGTCGGCCGCGCGACGTGACACCGATGCGGAGTGAGAGGGGGCCTTGAGCAGCGAGGAGAGGATCGATGGATGTGGGCTGGACGAGGGCGACAATGACGTGGGGGACCCTGAACCAACACAACACAACACAACACAATAAACGACGTGGTGGTCCCTCCCTCCCTCCCTCGTGCGTCCATTCCCCTCCCACCCACACACACACACCTGTCCATCCCGTCCGGTCATCGGGATGCTGCCTGCCGTGCCCACTACCCCAGCCGCCCAGCCTTCCCAGACGAAACTCTCCCTCATCCCCCCCCGAGCCCTCTCCCTCGCCCATGGCCTCCACATCCCCCGAACTGCGAGGCACCGCCCTGCCCGCAGGCGCCCCTCGGCCCGCTGGGGCACCGCCACTCGGCTGCGGCAGCGGCTGCTGTCGAGATGGCAGCTCCGGGAAGTTTGCGCCCGATGCCAGTGGGGATGGGCTGCCCCCCATCTCCCCACCAGCATCACTACCGGGCCTCTGCTGCCGCACCATCCCCGGCTGCTCCACAATCCCCGGCTGCTGCTGCTGCTGCTGCTGGGGTTGTTGGGGACGCATCGCGGGTGGACTCTGATGCTGCTGCTGCTGTGTGCCGGGCAACGGTATGGAGAAAGCGCGCGCGGTAGTGGCCAGTGCGTGTTGTTGAGCGCCTGGAGGGGCACATCAGGAGGCCGGCTCGACGGGAGGGGATCCATCAGGGATGAGTCTGACACACACACACAGACAGACAGACAGACAGAGAGGGTCGAGTGGCGAGCCTTGTCCCTTTCTCCCCGTGGGTGGGTGCCCTTGTGTGTGGATGTGTTGTGTGCCTCACCTCTCAGAGTACTTTCATTCTGTGCCTGCTCGCCCCCTCCCCCTGCCGCTGCCGCCGCCGCTGGTTCGACAGAGGTCTCGCCCCCACTGACATACAACACAGAGAGGGGCTGTGAGTGAGTGAATCAGGGGATGTGATGTATGCACGCACCTGCTGCCTGAGTTGGATGATGACAATTTCTCCTCCAGCGGGTCCGTCTGATCTGCCGCTGCCGCTACAGCTACTTGAGCACATTGCGATGCCGTTGCTGTCACGTGGAAGCCCGATGGAAGCACCAACGGACGCAGGAAACGGTGCTCCAGCAGCTTCTCGGCGGTGGGGGGGCAGCAGGGTCCTCCTCCAAACACACCTGCACGAAGTCCTGATGTTGGAAAGACAGATCCGGACACATGTGGTGGTGGATGCCATTGTCTTCCCTGTGTGTGAGCGTGGTACCTGGAGTTCGGGTGAGGCACTGTGTGGTATCTGAGGCACAGCAGCCTGGTCCGACGCCGACGATGCGTCCTGGGGCGACACCATCTCGGCCACGAGGCGGCCGAGCGCCAGGATGTCAAATCCTGAGGCAGGCAGACAGCCAGGGAGACAGACCAGAGAGGGTGGGGTGAGCACGTGAGAGTCTGTCTCTGTGTGGCCGTGCAGTACCTGTGTCCCGCTGTGTACTGCGTCGGTGGCCAAATCCCGCCAGCTTGGCCGTGCCGTCAAATGCTTCCACCAACACCGTAGATGTGCTCAAACAACTGAACAGAAGACACTCAACGGCAGCACCACCCACCCATCATGTATATGGATGTTCCCCGCCCGCCACTCTACTCACCCGTGGGCTAGTCTTTTGCTGTGAAGGTAGACGAGGCCGCACAACACGTCCACGACGCGCTCCCGCGCCTTATCCTCCTCGAGCGGGCCGCCAGCCCTCAGCCGCTGGGCGAGGGGCATGTTCATGATCTCCTTGCAGATGTGTGTCGCGCCAACCTTCTAGAAGTGACCTGCATGAACGTCACAGAGAAACGAACAGAGATAGATACGTCTGCAGAAACCGCTCTTGTCTATTTTCGTCTCGTCGCTGGCTCACCGATGTACTGCACGATGTTGCTGTTGTGCTGCAGACTCTTCAACCGCACCTTCTCTGGCAGAATGCGCTCCCTTGCCTCGCGTGGCGTCTAGCTTGTGATGACCGTCACGGCGACGTTGCGGTCCTTGCCGGCAGGATCATAAGAGAAGAAGACCTGGTCGTCGGGCTGCCCCTGGAAGGGGCCGATCTTGTCCATGAGCCAGACCTCCATCATCGGGGGGGAGGATGGGGGGGCTGTGCAGATGGGAGGGAGACGGGGCTCGTATGATTGGTGTGGCATCTCTCTCACCTCTTGTGCGGTGGGTCTCTTGATGGGGTCGATAGGCAATGCAGCCACCAGCGTCTGCCCGGCTCGTCATGTATTCGTGCGAACGCTGAACACACGCAGCATGTGCACAGAATGCATGTGAATGAGACGCCTGTGTCGGTCGCGTGGTTTGTGTGTGGCTGCCCTACGCGCTCGGTGACGGCCTCTGTGATATCTAGCCCCTTGCAGAACTGAAACATCACCAGAGCTGCCCACAGAAGGAAAGAGAACCCTTCCGTGAGAACTTCATCTGTGTTGTGTTGTGTTGTGTTTTGTGTCATTGTGCCTCCCTACCGATTTCGAATATGTCCTTGGGCGAGCCACAGGGAACACCAGTGTTGGTCTCGGGTGCGACGTAGTAGCGGTCCCCTCTGCGGATGCTGCAAAGGCAGGCAGGCAGGCAGGCAGGCAAGCAGGTGGGTGGGCGGTCGACACACGCAAGAAGGAGAACTCTTCGTTCCTTACACGGTGAATCCAGTGAAGCCCGTATCCCACTTGGTGATGAGAGGCGTCAGGTAGGATGGAAAGCGTTGAAGTCCACCAGCGGCCGCATGCCGATCGTGTCCAGCGACAAACTGCCATGGGTCATGCCCGTGAATGACGCATAAACGAGCAAACATGACCGAATGGCATCTCTATATGTGTCCCTTCTCCCCACTTGGCGTGCATCTTGACCAGCCAACCACACTCTCACCCATCGGCACGCCGCGGCAGCTGTTCACAACAAACAACACAACACCGTACCTGCGCAGAATCCAACAACACCGTACCTGCGCTCGAAAACCTGAACACAGTCAATGGCAGCACCCCTATATGCACGCCCCGGGCAGGTAGATGAGGCCAACCAACACGGATTCTTTCCTCGCTGAGCGGACCGCGAGCCGTCACCCGCTGTGCGGGTAACCGGTGTGCAGATGTGCATCATCGCCTCCCGCTTGATGTGACCTGCATGGACGTCAAAGAGATATGTCTGCATAAATTGCGTATGGATGGATGAGGTGAGAATCTCTCGGCTTCTTCACTGTTGGTCAAAGAACCACACCATCCATGGCTGCCGGTCCCCTCTGCCGAATCGGCACAGGGCTGCCCTCATCGTCATTGAAGGTGGCAGCACGATGGCGGCGTCCAACTGCGTCAACACAACACGGCACGCGTACATCTTAATGCTGTTGTCTCTTCTCCTCTCATCTCACCTGAGCATGGCGGCGCGTTTGCAACTTTGCATTGTGGCTGTTCACACACATCGCACTTCATCGCTATCCCTCATGACAGGTCCTCCGAGTCGGAGCTGCCCGCGGCTGACGAAGCCGACTTTCTCAGACCGGGAACTCGGGCACAACCTGCAGCCTGAGGCCACATCCACACAAGTGTTGCAAACATGAAGATCCGCTCGACAGGTGATGGTCTGCCTTCGGTTGCAACATTCGAAGTAAGTTCGGTCTTTGGGGGCAGCCAACGGAAAAATAACGGAAATACCGGCGTCCCCGGAGAGAACGTCTTGTAATTTCTTGCCGCACACTCTGTCTCAGATGCGCCCGTGTGGCTTAATGAAGGACCTTCACGGGTTTCCTCGCCAGCACACGTAGTCACGAGCGCGTTAGAGTCTGTCAGACAGGCAAGGTAAGGCAAGGTCGCACACTCCCCCCCTCCTCTGTTTGCGCTGTCGTTGTGGGACAGTGTCATTCGTTGCCCTTCATCCTCTTCTCTTCCCTCCCTCCCTCCCTCCCATACTCACCTCTATCGTGCATTCGGGGAAGGATCATTCTCGCCAGCTCATGTCCCTCCGTCAGCCCTGCGTAAAGGGTGACTCCACTCTGGGCTCGGTACGCTCCTGCCTGGGAGGCCACCCTCCATGTTTATCGGGATGACGCATCCGGCCATCCTGCAGATACTGCGCGCACAAGCGATGCACACGGCGGGTCAGTGCGCATGTCTCTGCGCCTTTTCTTGTCTTTACCAGCATTCTGTCTCATCGCTCCCTCACGTCCCTGTGGCTGCAGGATGGGTCAAGGGATGGCTTGATGCCGCTGACGGTCTGCCGACACATCTCCTTCATCGCTGTTCCTCAGGTCCTGGGCGGCTGGCCAAGCCGAACTTCTCAGGTGACCTGATCCGGACGTAGCAGCAAGCCACACGCACACAAGTGTTGCAAATGTGACGACCTGCTCATTGGGCGATGGTCTGCATTCTGAGAGAACCACCTTCTGCTTTTTCCGACCGTCGGCAATGAAAAAAGTGTGGAAAAAAAAGAAATAACGAACGCATCTCGTCTCGTCGAGAAACGCGTCTGTACTATAATTTCTCGCCATACTCGCGTTGTCCCTCTCTCTGGAGGCGTCCCTGTGGCTTCCCGATGACGGTGTTGACAGTCTCCGTGGTAGGCTTTCACGCCATCGCAGGTATCAGTACTTGAGTACTCCATACATGGTTGTTTGCCTTTCCTCTCTCTGGCTTGTTGAGTTGGCCCTTTTTCAGTCTTTCTGCGATTACCTCTGTGTGTGTGTGGGTCATGGCTTGCCAACGGTCCCATTGTGCCGTGCAAATTCGTCTTTTTGTCCCTCATCCGATGCATATGGGTCTCACGAAAACACCACCCGGATCATGCACGAATCCAATTGCACGAATCCGTTCCCTCCCACATCCACATTATCTGCCTTGCACCTTGCCGGCAGTGTCACAAAAAGAGATGCAATAATTAGAGGACACCGATATCACGACCACGCAGCCGCCGACTAAATGTGCAAATGGATGCACAGGCAGACAGGCGGGCGGAGCAAATCGACGAATCCATTCAACACAAGCCACAATTCGGGAAAAAGAAGCAAGGGCATCACGTACACATGCCCTCCGCCTGAAGGCCTCCTGGTCGGTCGACGTTGCTAGCCTCCCGATGTGAGTGTAGGAGGTTTGGGGTGCAACAGGTCCCCCTCCGTGTGGCGCCGAAGGAAATCGTACACCTCCTCAAACACCTGCAAACCCACACACAGGTGTGTGCTCTGCTGGACGCTGGATCGTTTTCTCACCTTCTCGTTCCCCTGAAAGACAGGGCAAACAGCAGGGCAGGACATATGCACAGGACCGAGGGCTCATCAGTGTTGGCCCTCACTTACCGGTTCGTTGGCGAGGTTGTGCCACATGTCGTTGAGCAGGCTAATCTCCCTGACCTGCACACGACACACACACAAACACACACACACACACAGGCACGCAGAGAAAAATGGAAGAGGTGTTGGTGCACTTCGTGAAGCCCTGCACTGGTGCTTCTGCTCATCACCTCAGACGAGACCAAGTTGACGAATTTGCTCGATCCCTCGGGCTCGCACTGTGTGTCACGCTGTGAGTGGATGATTAACAGGGGCGCCGTCAGCTGAGGCGCGCCTTCAGCCACTCTACCGGACAAAAAGGTGGAAATGAGACCCAGTGTTCCCCCCAAATAGAATCCTTACTTGTCTACTGCCTTGAGGATTTCATTGGACATGCGGGCGCGGGCCATTCCCTTGTAGAACAACGGATCCTTCGCTCTCGCTGCAGTGATCTCCTCGAGCTTCGCCGGCTGAACAGACCAAATCAACAAACACGTGGCAGATTCGGCAAATGCATGCAGCTGGCTCTACCTGCTGCCTTGCCAGTGGCAGGTGTGGGATGGCTTTGCTGAGAAAATCCACCAGCGGCAGCGCAGCCTTGTTGCGCTCCTTCTCGGTCTCGATCGACAGCATGGGAGACAACTGACAGACAGAGAAAACAAGACCACCACCAAAAGCGCATGAAGTCTCGGGACAGCGATGTGCGTACCAGTATGACGCCGGCGAGCGCCTTGCCTTCCGGGCGCTCAGCCATCAACGCCGCCATACAACCACCCATCGACAAGCCCATCAGAAACACGGGAACGTCCCTGGAGGCAGACACGCGCAGAAAACATTAGTCCCACGAATGCTTCAGATGGAAGTGCCATGAAAGTGCGCAGCTCTCACTCCTTCTTGTTGGAGAGTATCTGCTCATTGAGGAACTGTATCCCGTCATCGATGAAGTCGTCGAACGACTCAACATTCGCCCTGTACGCGCACATACAACACTGCATGACGCTTTGGCGTCTTCCTATTCCGTATCGGGCAAGTACCTCATTCTCTGCCACCCGTCAGACAGGCCAAAGCTCTGGTGGTCCCATCCATACACACCATAGCCCGCATTCACCAGCCTGACGCAGAGAAACGACAAGAAGCAGGGCGCCATCATGTGTGGCACTCTCTGCGCCCCTGCTGTGCTGCCTCGTGTGGTGACTGACCTCTCGACCCACGACCCCTGGTAGAGCTGATCTCCCAGGGTCAGATACTCGAACCGAAAGTGCGTACCATACCCGTGCACGCCTGACACACACCGCCAATCAGACAGGTGCAGGATCGCGCGTTCTCCATCGCGCTTACACAGAACGATTCCCTTGGGGTTTGCGGCCTCATAGTGGTATGTTTGGATGGTCAGCCCCTGTAGGCACGGCACAGACCCAAACTCAGAAGATCCATCAGTGCGGGGGTCTTTGCTCACTTTGGAATTGACAAAGGTGTCCACAGCCGGGTTGCCAATCGCTGAAAGACGCGCAGCCACGTGGCACCATGACGTGGCACCAGCCCTCGTCCATTTGACACAGATGTGCACTCACCTTCTTTCTTTTTGACGTCTTGATTCTGCAGCCCAAGACGCTGAATGTCGATGCTGTCATCCCAGCACGACATGGCGTGGCAAATGCGAAGAGATCAACGCGTCACTGCAACACCCCGAGTTGAAGCGCCGTGTAACACAAAGCAAAAGCGCTGTCGCACGCACCCTGCATTTTGAGAGCCCTAGGAGTCTTGGTCCCTTTCAGCGGCTTTCCCTTTTGGCCCTGGTCTGCCATCCGGTTGTTTGTCGTCTCTTAGACGCCCCCCAAGACAGCCCGCATCGCATGATGTTCAGGCGAGGCTCCCTCCCCGAGGGCGGGTCAAAAGGCCGACCAAGGATCCTGACCTACAGCGCAGGCAAGGGTGGACCGGACGGCAAGGACCCAAATCAAGTGAGGCTCGATGCTGCCAGGAGATGCACTCGGCAGATACAAAGGGTGCCCATCATGACGCATGAATGGTTCCATCTGGTGGACAACATTGAGCACCTCTACCGCTTGGCCTCGCTTGAAAGCCTGATGCCCCACGTGGAGACCATGAAGGAAGCGGAAAATGGCAGTCGCGCCGTCGGTGAGGACGATTCACGCTCCCTTTGCGGTGTCTGACTGATCTGCGTTTGCTTGTTTTGTCAGGTCGTGCGAGCGAGGGCACGTTATGGGATCAGGACATCAGGGAAGATGTTATACGAATCATGGTGGAGGAGGCAAAGGTCGACCGAAATATCTTCACGCCGGCAGGAGACAGCATCGATTTCTGTTGCGCTGCCATCTCTGCAGGTGAATTTGTGTCTGCGTCTGCTTCACGAGTTCAAGCAGCTGCAGAACAGACCTGACGAGATGGACAGGCACATAGACAGGGCATGCGACAAGGAGGGCATGCCAAAGGTACGAGAGACGGTCCCGATATGTTGGCTTGTGGGTGGAGTGTTATCTATGGACCACATCAGTCGACTGTTTTGTCCCGCATGGCTGCTTTTGAAGAGGCGTTGGGTCTTCTTCTCAGGCAAGGTAAGCACGGCTGACATCAAGGGATCCTTACAGAGTGGTCCTGCCTCTCCTGTGTGTCCAGGCTTCACTCATGTCGAGACACTTCAGCTGACTGATGTCCCCCTCATCGCGAGACACATAGAACTCGTCCTTAGGAATGCAAATAAGAGGCCACTGGTATACTACAATAGCAAGAAACAGACAAGTGAATATCTTCACTTCACTTGTTCCTCAGGACTGTGACGCCTCGGCCGATCCAGAACCCCAGCGATTTCGAGAAGACAGCTCCACCAGCAGCAGTGCATCTCTGAGCGGGAAACCTGTGCAGTTTGTTTCGACGAAGGGCAGCTCGTCTGAGCTGAAGCTCGACGGCCACAGACGGGGTTCCGATGAGAGGAGAGGATCTGGCCTGAAGATCAAAGCGTGGGACATTGAGGGCCAGAATGGGACACAGCGACCACTGAGGTTGCAGGAGACAGTTGTGCTGGCGTATTTCCATTCCGTGGCCCAGCACATAGAGAAGCTCAACGAGGCAGAGGTGAGACAAGACATGTCGTAAAGGGATAGACAAATGAGACTAGCGCCATCTCTTGCTTGTTCGTCAGGTTGTGAGTGTGCTGTGCGACTGTGGTTTGCTGGAGCTCGTGCCCAACCATATCGTGGCGAACTGTGCTACATACCCCAGTGAAATGCGTGTAAGATTCATATGATCCGTCTGTATTGTGACGCGTGTGCTCTTGGTCTGGCTTGCATATAGGCTCTTGCTCTCGAGGCTGTGTCCCTCCTGTGTGCGAGTGAGGAGTTCCAAGCCAGATGGAAGGAGTCCTTCACCAAGTAAGCTGACACATGTAAAGGTGCGTATTCGATGCATCTCAAACCCTTGCGCAGGGAGGGTGGTACGGGAAGGAAGGCCGCTTTTCTCGCCCTTGAGCCGCTCGCCAAAGACATACTGCTACAGAAACCGGACATGTAAGCGCTCGTGCGAAGGAAGGAGAGGGCGGACCATGCATATTCTCGGCTGTGTCAATTTAGGAAAACCTCTCTGCGATGTCTGCGGGATTTTATTGCCAAATTGAAGAGACATTGACAGCAGGACTCATGTCGAAAGCGAGTGGATGTCTGTCCAACAGGCTCTGTGATGTGCATGCTTGGAATGTCGCTTATTTTGTGACATCGGTTGGCGTAGAAGATTCGACCCTCGGTGCAATCCTGACCCACGCTTGTCACAACCCGCTCGCAAAGACTCATCTGGATGATTTTCAAATTCAAACGGGATATGTGTTGAAGTTGAAATCACACACATGGGTCGAACTGCATTTGATTTCTTTCGGCCATTCGTAGCTATCCCATCTTGGTTTCCATTTTCGTCAGCCGTTCATCCATTCTTTTCAACACTGAGAGGCAAAGCAAACCCAGACAACATTCCGTTGAAGAGTTTGCGTTAAAAAACCTTCTCTTACTTGACAGCATCTCGGCTTGAGAAGAGTGAATCTCGTCTTCGATGTATTTTTTGAAGTGCGTGAGAGCTGCAGTACATCGAAAGAGGCAAAGTTCATGCTCACCTGGCTGCCTGCCTGTCTTGTTTACTGTCATTGTCACCTGCTAGCACCTCACATTGAGACGACTGGTTGTGCTTGAGGGCTGCAGAGCATATAAAAAAAAGAAAAAAAACCTGTCTGATTGTGTGTGACAGGTTCGTCTCACCTGCCATGACGTCAGGGAAGTTTGAGTCGTGATGATCCGCGGCCTCCATCCACTTGTCGATGCTGTCTTTGAATGATTCCTGTGCACAACGCCTCGTCTTGCTTTCTCCTCCTCGGTGTCCCCCCGATATGGCTTTGGCAACAAACATATAAATTCCAAAGGGAAGAAATTGGAGAGAGTCTATTGCCGGACCGTTACTTGGACCTTTGCTTGAGCATAGACCATGAGGAGAAAAAGTGGCGCGAAGAGGATGATAAGGGGTACGCAAAGTACCTGCCAGTACTTTCCCTCCCGTATGCACCGTTGAAGCTTCCCCAGCTGACGGTAGATGGCTATTGGAGTGAAGGCGACGGCAAACAGGAGCGCGTCGATGGTGTAGTAGAGGGCCTTCATCGACCAGAAGGCAATGCGGCAGAGTGCCGACTGCCGTCCGCTGATGAGGGAGGCGACATAGCGCAGGGGCTCCGACACGACCACAGCTGCACACACACAGATGCTCACATGCGGTGGGTGCAGCTGATGTCTCTTGTCGGTCGCACCGACCGATGAGATCGAATGGCGGCGGCAGCCGCTCGTGGTGCGGCATTGTGAGGTACTCATTCAACACGCGAAGGCGCAGCAACCTGCAGCCATTCACGGAGAGAGAGAGAGCCTTATGTGTCTGTCTGTCTCGCTTTGTTGTCTCTCCTTACTGGTATTGCGCAGTTTGTGTCTCCTCGATGGCCGCATACGTCGACGCCTGACATAGAGAGAGACACATACAAGAGCATCGCTCAACTGTTGGCACGCTCATGTCCCTTGTGTGTGTCTCGTGCCTGTCTTACCATGATGGCGATGAGCAGGTTGAGCTATCGATACAGACGGGCAGAGAAAGAGAGACAACAACAAAGGGAGTCATTGTGTGTGTGGCTCGTCCATCGGGGGAAGTGAGTGGTGTTGACTCTCACGTACGAGTATTATGGAGGAGAAGATGACGTATGTGAACAGCAGGACGGTCCCCAGCGTGTCGTGGCTCTCGATGGCGTTGGTCAGCGCCTCATTGAAGTCGCCAAGACCACCGTAGAAACTGATGGAATGCAGCCAACCAACAGCACATGACGACTGGCGCTCTCTCTCTGTGTGTGTCGGTGTCATCGAGTACAGCGTGAGCGTGGCTTTGGCGAAGGAGCCGAAGTACTGGTGGTCTTCGTCGGACGAGAGGAGGGTGAAGACGACCGCGAAGACCAGCAGGATGTAGACGTACAGACACAGAAACATGCTGATGTCCGAAAACATTCTCACAACCGCACTGACACAAACACCCCCATCACACACACCATCAGACACCTTTCTCTCTCTCTCTGTGTCTGTGTCTCTCTCCCTGACAGTATGAGAGGTCCCACGGCTGGGTGCAGGCTGGCCGTTTGGAGGAGGCGCAGCGCAAAGAGGAGCGCTATGACGATCCCTGAGCTGACCTCCGCCTCCTCCGACCAGCCAGCGAAGTGAATGGCTATGAAGGCGATCATGGCCAGCGAACTTCCAGCATCCACCCAGTTCCTTCATCGGCACACACCGACAACACACAAATGGAGCCGCCAGCACGAAGCCTGAGGCGTACCATGAGTCGGCCCAGTACGCTGCCTTCAGCCGGATGAACTGCACACACAGAGGACGAGACATATTGTTGTCGATCAGTGAGGCATACTTGGAAGATTTCCAGGAGGACAAAGCCGCTGCCGGTCAGCACTGAGCCCCACAGCCACACCGCCGGCCACTCCAACGGCATCATCATGCCGCTGTCTCCCTTGATAGACTCGATGTGCAGCAGCACAAAGGCCACCCTGATATCACACAGACAGATAGAGATGCTTCTCTCTGCCTGTATCCTTGTCCATGGCTGCAGTCTCACATCAGCAGCATTGACAGCACCGGCTGATGAAGACATCTCGGGGTGACAGCTGGATGCTCGACACTTCGTAGCCTTCCTTCCAATGCTCTGTGACGAGAGGTGTGCAGTTGGCTTTCGCAATCATTGGCAGGGAGACGGAGGAGGCATGAGCGGACCGACAGAGAAACGAGGAGATCGCTTGTGCGGCTTACCTTGGGTGACGACAGAAAGGGGCTCTGCCGACTCGAGCGCCGCAAACCATTCTCTCTCTTTGCCTGCAAGTGACTGTTGGAAGTTTTCTTCTGTTGTATCGCTGCAGAAATTGGCTGTGAGCGCCTGAACCAATTTGACAATCAATGCAGCAGTGAAGACTGCTGTGCTCTGTGTGTCTGTCAATTGACCTCCTGCCGGTTGGAAGTCCTCTCAAGGTCATCTGTGACGGAGTCCTTCGGTCGTGACTTCATCACTTTGCGAAAGACGGCACAGCAGCGAAGGCTGTCGAGGCCCAGCGACTCAGATTTGTCCTTCAAAATTCGCTTCGCCAAGGGCACCACCTTCTTAAGATCCTCGGCCGACACATCTTCCACTTTCACGCCTCGTTCGAGCAGCTCCATGACCATGTCTCCAGCCACAGCAAGGATCTCTACGACGACTGACGCTTTGTGAAGGGCATTATCTAGAGACGTCTTTCCCCTCTGTCAGAGTCACGACAAGCGACAACATCGACACAGAGCTCGATCGGTGCAGTGCAGCCTACGTTGTCTTTGATCTTCAACAGCTGCGGGTTGATCTTCAACATCACCGCCGCCACATCAGCACGGCCAAACCCTGCAGGAGAGCGAAGAGAGACACCTCGAAGACTCATGCACTCGTGTGGTTGTCATTTGCAGGGGTGACTGACTTGCTGCCTCATGAAGAGGCGTCTTTCCATCCTGAATCATAGCACGACCAAGACACACAAGCTGTCCAATCCATCACTCGACATTCCCTCGTCCATACGTTGTGTTTAGCCTCCAGCAGCTCCTTGCCGCCCCACTCGACAAACTTCTCCACAACATCAGCTGACCCGAAGACTGCTGCCAAATGAAGAGGCGTCCAGCCACCCTACAGACACAGCATGAAGATTGCAGCGAAGACACCGGTCGGCGAATGGGCAGAATGAATGTAACTGACGAGCACGATACCCGTTTCAGGTTGAGCAGGTGGCGTCGGTTGTCCAGCAGCACCTCAAACACAGCCACATCCGAGCACTTGTCTGAGAAGCACACACAGGCCATGTAGCCGCATCATGTGTGTGTAGTGGTGCGAAGAGGCGTACTTGCGGCATAGTGGATGGCAGATCCCCAAGGGAACCACTCTCTGGTCGTCAGTGCTTTCTCGGTTTGCTCAGGCGACAGACCGGCGAGGGCCTTCCGCAGACCCTCCGCATCCTCTTCATCGATGGCCTCCTTGATGCTGTCTCTCAGGCCGTACGTCGGTATCCAATTATAAAAATCGTCGGCAGCTGGGGCACCCACCAGGGGCACCTGCAGATGACACACACAGACGTCCAAGAGACCTCTCAGAGTGTGTGACCGTGCCGCTGTCCGCATCACAGCCACAGACCTGCTCAAGGCGTCTCGGTGCCTTGGTGATGTCATCGGTGACGTCCGGCAGCTGGGGCTCCATCAGCCCGTGCTCATCGTCCTGCAGCAGAGGGACCTGGTCACTCGAGGCCGCCGCTGACATCTGCAATGCCTTGAGGGAGGGAGGGACACAGACATCAGAGGCCGATGGCCACACACGCAGAGATGCACTAGGAGCATTGCAAGGTGACCTTGGGATGGCCCGTCTGTGTGTGGTGGATGGCCTGCTGTGCGGCAGCGTCGCCCTCGTCGACTCGCGGCAGCTGGATGTAGCACACCTCCTCAGCAACACTGGGGCGGCTGTGGCCGTCTCTCCCATTGCAGCCCTCCTGGCCCTGCAGCCGGGGAGTGCGCTGGCCGTGCAAGAAGCCCAGCATCGTCGCCGCACGGCTGCCCAGCGCGAGACGCCGCCGCCCCAGTCTCAGGCCGTGGCTCCCAACAGATCTGTGGGCTGAAGTTGTTCTCTGAGGCCATGAGCAATCTCGGCCGAAGCGGAGCATCCAACGCAAACAACTTGAAGCTTTGCAAAGGAGTGGCGGCTGGCCGGCCGTCGACCCATTGCGTATGTGCTTATGAGTTATCCACACAGATTCGCATCGGACGGCTCACACACCTCCAGTGTCTACACATCAGTCGAGGGCCTCCATGCTGCCCGCCTCCCCCTCCCCCTCTCCGCCGCCCGCCCCCGCGCCGTTCTCTCGTTCGTGTGGTCCCGCCTGCCACTCATCGTCACCATCGAGATCTAAGTCATCATTCTCGGATAAACCTGACAGCAGCCATTTGTGTGTGTGTGTGACGATGTGTGTGTTGTCTGTTGGGTGGCCGAAGGGCCTCACCTGAGCCGCCGTGGCCGATGAGCTGTTCGGCGGTGCAGCCCAGCATCTCCTCGAGCCGGCCGACGTGTGTGAAGGACCTGTCGTCACCACACACGCCATCCATACCAATGCTGCCGCACCGATGCGGCCATGACGACCCACACACACGGGCAGCCAAGGACAGTATCGACCCAGACAGACAGACAGTCCATCCCCACCCCCACAGCTGTGCACTCTTACGTTCCGTCGGCTTTGGCTTTCTCCCGGGCGGCCTGGCGCTCAAGATCCTCCTCCCTGCGCCACCCACAGTGGAGAGTCACACACGCAGACTGAGGGAAGGGGGGCGGCCAATGGATTCTGTGTGGCTCACTCGTCCCGCTGTCGGCGAATGGCCTCCTCCTCCCGCCTCTGCCGCTCAGCCAACTCCTGCACCATTGTGTGGCAGACAGACAGGCAAAGAAGCCATCGCAGTGACTTTCTCAGTCGGTTGGTGTGAGCGTACCTGTTGGTGCCTCTCGCGCGCCATGATCTGTTCGACCCGCCTCTGCCGCCTCTCCCGATTGGCCTCACTCTCGGCTTTGCGCTCCGCGACAACGGCCCTAACAGACATCCGCAGACAGACACAGTGACGGAGAGACAGATTTCTGTGCGAGGTGGTGCGATGACTGTGAGCTCACAGGTAAGTCTGTCGTGCGGCGTTGTACTCCTGGACGATGAGCTGGTCTGCCGGCACCAGGCTGTGGGCGCGCTGCAGGTCACTCAGGGCGGGCTGGTAGTTCTTCTGCACACACACATACAGACAGACGACATGAGGCGATTGAGGGGACGCCTCTCTCTGTCTGTGTGGTCGTACGGTGTGCAGGAATGCCTTGGCGCGGCGGAAGTAGGCCTTGGCTTCATCGGGGTGGTCTGACGGACACAAACACACACAGCCGTGTGAGTGTCTCGTGTTTTGGTGCATTGCATCGGCCCACCTTTGATGACGGCAGTGCAGAGGTCGATGGTCTTGTTGGCGAGCTCGAAGGCCGCCTTGGCGTCGCTGTCGGCTACGCGCTTCAGATACCCCTGCACCACACACACATCATAGCCACAGTTGGGTGTGCACACGGCGACGGGGGAAGGCCCATTTGTGGAGCTGACCAGGGCCTGATTGAGTCTGGCTCGCTTGAAGAAGTCCAACGCCTTTGACTGCTCGTCGGCCGCCCAGCTGTTGAGCACTGCACCCCACACACATACGACTGTGTGCGTCAGAGAGGGAGGCAGAGAGGCCGGCTGACCCGCTTGGCTCGGTTTCTGTCCCAGCACTTTGTTGTAGGCCGTGACGCACTGGCCGTACTTACCCTCACCCAACAGACGACTCCCCTGACCACACAAACCACACAAACCACACAAACCACACAAACCACACACAAAGGACAATGACAGCCGTGCTGACACGTCGAAGCCCATGTGTCTCTCCCTCTCCCTCTGACCTCGGTGAGGTGTTTGGCGCACTCTTCAGCGAAGTCGGCGAAGTCGGTTGTGTGTTTCTTGGCCTTTGGCGGCTCCATAGAGAGTACGGTGATCTTGATCCACAGGTGCTGGTAGGGGAAGATGCGGCACGGTCCCGCCGACCCGCCCGACCGCTGCAGGGGGTGGTTGGCGTGGTTGACCTGCACACACAGTGACACAACGGACATGCCCACTGGTGTGGTGTGTGGTCTGTCGTGTGAGTCACCTTGAAGACGGCGGTTTCCCCGGTGGTCATGCTGTCGAGGATGGCGATCGAGTAGCTGCAGTCCGCCTTGCCGCCCGACCCGATGCGCAACTTGCGGCCCGACGGGGCGTCTTGAGTATACAGACGGCCTGCACACACACAGACACACAGAGCTCTCCTCCCTCTGTCTGTCTGTCTGTCTGTCTGTCTGTGTGTGTCTGACCAAGGCAGTTGTACCACTCCTCGACCACATGGACCTTCCAGCCCACATCGACCGGCCCTTCGCCCTCAGAGCGCCCCCCGCGAGACCCCCCCACCATGACGTACTTGATGATGCCCGCCCCGCTGTTGGCGTCGCCCTCGGTGTCGTCCCACTCCTCTATGACCTCCCGACCCACACAGGCCGCCTCGAGACCCGAGATGTCCAAACACTTCCGGGCTGAAGCCGACGGCCAGCAAAGGAGAGAACGCAATTCTGTTCTGTTCTGTGTTGTGTTTCTCAGTCAGCAGTGTGTCTGCGGCTGCTTACGCTTCCTAACAGGCTCTGCGCCAGATGCTGACGGTGAGCCATTGGGCGTCCCGGAGCCAACACCTGACGCACACACACACACACACACACAGAGGGAGGGATCTCTCAGCTTCTCACTGCAGACACTCGCGGCATAGAGAGCCCGACGCCCACAGTGTGTGCAGGTGTGTTCCGTACCATTCTGTCGCCCTTCTGCGGCCGCATCTGTGTGTGCGTGTTGCTGCCCCCGCTGCTGATCTCGGTCCGCTGCAGTCTTGTTTGCCGTCGGTTTGGCTCCCCAGTCGTCACCGTCGGCCTCAGCGGCCGCCCTGACCTCCTCGCCCTCTCGGCTGGGCGTCATGGCGCCGCCCGACCCGCTCACTCCGCTCACTGCCGTGGAGTCGCCTGAATGGCACACAGACAAACACACATACATCGAGACCAATGTGCCGGTGGATGAAGGCTGCTTACTGGGGATGTGCTGCGGCTGCATCTCACCCTGTGACCACTTGGCTGGCGGAGAGGGTTCGTTGTGTAGGGTTTATGACCCTTCGGGGTTTGTCAAACCCTACATTCTGCTCGTCTGGAGAATCCAAGCAATCTCCGCAGACTTCTGCAGTGAAAGGGTCAAGCAGGAAGACGAATCAGTCACTGACGCCGCCGCAAACACCACATTCAACGCTCACAGGCTGCATGACACCTGCACACACAAGCAATCCAGGCAAACAGCCGTATGAGTGAGTCAATCATCAGTCAAACACCATATTTGCACTGAGTGAGTCAATGAATGACCAGTTTCATGTCACTGCTTCCCTACTCAATCATTCGTGTCTCTTTGACTCACTTTCATGTATCACACCATGAAAACAGCCCATGAAGACTTTGTACAGGCAACGTATGGACGGGCTGTCTTCCCGCCGGCGTCAGTGGGCGGAGCACACAGCCATCAGAGCTGGCTATCAGCCTGCCTCATCACACATCCGAATCACTCAAACACGTCACAGTGGGCTGCTTTCATGGTGAGTGTGTGTACAAGACAGACAGTGCAGGTTCATTGAGTCAGTGTCCGTCCCATCGGTTGACACAGATCGTACACATGCATACAAGCCAAGCACAGCTCTACACAAGGTGCAGAGTCGACGAGGGCGACGCTGCCGCACAGCAGGCCATCCACCACACACAGACGGGCCATCCCAAGGTCACCTTGCAATGCTCCTAGTGCATCTCTGCGTGTGTGGTCATCGGCCTCTGATGTCTGTGTCCCTCCCTCCCTCAATGCATCGCAGATGTCAGCGTCGGCCTCGAGTGACCAGGTCCCTCTGCTGCAGGACGATGAGCAGGGGCTGATGGAGCCCCAGCTGCCGGACGTCACCGATGACATCACCAGGGCACCGAGACGCATCGAGCAGGTCTGTGGCTGTGATGCCGACCGCGGCACGGTCACACGCTCTGAGAGATCTCTTGGACTTCTGTGTTTCATCTGCAGGTGCCCTTGGTGGGTGCCCCGGCCGCCGACGATTGGGAACCGACGAAAGCCCTCAGAGACACCATTGAGACGGCTATCCTTCGGTCAGATGCGTCGGGTCTGCGGGAGGCCCTCGCCGGTCTGTCGCCTGAGCAAGCCGAGAAAGTGCTGACGACTGGATACGGCTACTCAAAGGATGACCATGCCGTCCATTATGCCGCATGTATGCCTCGTCGCACCACTGCACACACAATGCAGCCACGTGACCCTTGTGTGCTTCTCAGGGGAGTGTTGGGACGTGGCTGTGTTTGAGGTGCTGCTGCACAACCGACACCACCTGCTCAACCTGAAAAATAAGGTATCATGCTCAACACTTACACTCATTCTGCCCATTCGCCGACCGGTGTTTTCACTCCTATCTTCATGCTGTGGTTCAGCATGGCCAGACGCCTCTTCATTTGACAGCACAGAACGGGTCTGTTGGTGTTGTGGAGAAGTTTGTCGAGTGGGGCGGCAAGGAGCTGCTGGAAGCTCGGACCAAGGTAAGGACGAGGGAATGTCGACTAGTGCATTGGACAGCATGTGTCTTTTTGATGCTGTGATTCAGGATGGCTGGACGCCTCTTCATTGGGCAGCAAGTCAGTCACTCCTGCAAATGACGACCACACAACTGCATGAGTCTTCGATGTGTCTTTCTTCGCTCTCTCCTGCAGAGTGGGGCAAGGCCGATGTGGTCTACTGGATGTTGAGGATGAACCCGCAGCTCCTGAAGATCAAAGACAAGGTAGGCTGCACTGCACCTGTCGAGCTGCGTGTCGATATTGTCCCGGCCCGTGACTCTGACAGAGCGGAATGACGCCCCTGGATGATGCCCTTGGCAGACATCCGTCAGCCGTCGTAGCGATGGCTGCCGTGGCCGGAGACGTAGCCATGGAGCTACTCGACCGAGGCGTGAAAATGGGTGTGAAGGCTCAAGGACTCAATAAGGTGGTGCCCGTGGCGAAGGGGTTCCTGAAGGAGCACTCTGATTCGCTGGGCCTCGACAGCCTTCGCCTCTGTGCCGTCTTCCGCAAACTGATGAAATTGCGCCCGAAGGACTCCGTCACAGACGACCTTGCCAATGTTTCCAATTGGCAGGAGGTAGATCATGACGGACACACAGAGCGCAGCAGTCTTCACTGCTGCATTGATTGTCAATCGGTTCAGGCCCTGACAGCCAATTTCTGCAGCGATACATCGGAATACCGCTTTGAGGAGTCACTTGCAGGCAAAGAGAGGGAATGGTTTGCGGCGCTCGAGTCTGCAGAGCCCCTGACCGTCGTCACCCAAGGTAAGCCGCACAAGCGATCTCCTCGTTTCTCTGTCGGTCCGCTCATTTCTCCTGCCTCTCTCTGCCAATGATTGCGAAAGCCAACTGCATCAATCTCGTCACAAAGCATTGGAAGAAAAACTATGAAGGCTGGAGGGTCAAGCTGTCACCCCGTGATGTCTTCATCAGCCGCGTGCTGTCAATGCTGCTGATGTAAGGCTGCAGCCATGGACAACGATGCAGGCAGAGAGAAGCATCTCTATCTGTCTGTGTGTGTTGCAGGGTGGCCTTTGTGCTGCTGCACATCGAGTCGATCAAGGGAGACAGCGACGTGATGATGGCGGGGGGCTGGCCGGCGGTGTGGCTGTGGGGCGCAGTGCTGACCGGCATGGGCTTCGTCCTTCTGGAAGTGTTCCAGGTGAGACAGACCACAGGAGACACGAATGACTGATCAACATCATCGTTCTCTGTGTGTGTGCAGGGCTTCAGACGGAAGGCAGCGTACTGGGACGACTCATGGTACGCGTCAGGCTTCGTGTTGGCAGCTTGAGTAGTGTGCTGTTGGTGTGGGCCGATGAAGGAACTGGGTGGATGCTGGAAGTTCGCTGGCCATCATCGCCTTCATTGCCATCCACTTCACTGGCTGGTCGTCGGAGGAGGCGGAAGTGAGCTCAGGGATCGTCATAGCGCTGCTCTTTGCGCTGCGGCTCCTCCAAACCGCCAGCCTGCACCCAGCCGTCGGACCACTCATACTGTCAGTGAGAGAGACACAGAGAGGTCATGTCTGATGCTGTGTGTGATGGGGGTGTTTGTGTCAGTGCGGTTGTGAGGATGTTTTCGGACATCAGCATGTTTCTGTGTCTGTACGTCTACATCCTGCTGGTCTTCGCGGTCGTCTTCACCCTCCTCTCGTCCGACGAAGACCACCAGTACTTCGGCTCCTTCGCCAAAGCCACGCTCACACTGTACTCGATGACACCGACACACACAGAGAGAGAGAGCGCCAGTCGTCATGCTGTTGGTTGGCTGCGTTAGTTTCTACGGGGGTCTTGGCGACTTCAATGAGGCGCTGAACAACGCCATCGAGAGCCACGACACGCTGGGGACCGTCCTGCTGTTCACATACGTCATCCTCTCCTCCATCATACTGGTACGGAAGGCTCAGCAACACTCGTCCAGTTAAACGAGCCACACACAAGGAGTCCCTTTGTTGTCTCTCTCTGTCCGCCTCGATAGCTCAACCTGCTCATCGCCATCATGGTGAGACAGACACAAGGGACATCGAGCAGATCAATGGTCCTGTGTGTGTGTCTCTCTCTCTGTCAGGCGTCGACGTATGCGGCCATCGAGCAGACACAAACAGCCCAATATCAGTGAGAGACAAGCAACCGAGACAGACAAGGGGGACAGAAAGACACACAGATGACAGGGTCAGGCACATAAGGGCTCTCTCTTTGTCCGGTGGTGTATGACTGAGTGCAGGTTGCTGCGCGTTCGCGTGTTGAATGAGTACCTCACAATGCCGCACCACGAACGCCTCCCGCCGCCATTCAACCTCATCGGTCGGTGCCACCGACAAGAGACACAGCTGCACCCACCACACTGTGAGCATCTGTGTGTGTGCGCAGCTTTGGTCGTGTCGCAGCCCCTGCGCTATGTCGCCTCCCTCATCAGCGGACGTCAGTCGGCACTCTGCCGCATTGCCTTCTGGTCGATGAAGGCCCTCTACTGCACCGTCGATGCGCTCCTGTTTGCCGTCGCCTTTACTCCAATAGCCATCTACCGTCAGCTGGAGGAGCTTCAACAGTGCATACGGGCTGGAAAGTACTGGGAGACATTCAAAATGCTTCTGATCATCCTCGTGATGCCCTTGTGGCTTCTGTACGTATACGCCACAGCAGAGGTGAGAGTTCCAAATGCATTATCCCCTCCAGCAATCGAATCTGTGTGTGGTGCCAAAGGAATCGTCCGAGGACACTGAGGAGGAGAAAGCCGAAAAGAGGCGTGACGCACGGGATGGTTTTGGTGGATACAAAGATCGCATCGACAAGTGGATGGAGGCCGCGGATCATCACGACACGACATCTCCGGACATCATGACTGGTGAGACACGTACAACACACTGACAGACCCATCACATCAGAGGATGAGCACGGTTTTTTCACTGTCCTGCAGCCCTTCGATCCGAGATGCTGCCAGGTGACAAACACTACATGCACGAACCGTGCGCACATGTCTTCATCTGCTTTTGTTCTCTTCATTCAGTCTTGGAGAGGATGCAAACCGAAATACAGACACAACTAAACAGATGGATAAGCGACAGACCGAGATGCAAGCACAACTTAAACAGGTGGACGAGCGGTTGACTAAGATGGAGGCGAAGATCAAGTAGAAGTGACAACAGCTGCATGGCTCTCGGGCGGACGGAGAACACATCAAGTGCGATGCATGGCCAATTCACATATGCACGGAGACAGACATCGAGCTAATCGACTGAATTCACACATCGGCCCATTCGCTGCGTTGGTCGCCGGAAGAGGAGGTTCTGTCCATTTTGGTCCACTGATGATCAGCGTCGTACAGACCGCTCTTCTCAAAACCGATTACATCACTCAGACCCTTTTTGATGAAGCAGTCGACGTCTGCCCACCACACACAAACCACCTCTCTAACATCACACCTCACACACAACACATCCCCTCTCAGCAACCTGTACACCAACCACAACACAATCGAGGTCTAGCTACCTAATGCTCCCTCGTCCCAATCAGTCCCAACGGCTCACAGAAGGACACCCGGCCGCCGCCCCTTTTGCCCCCGCCGCCCGCCGTCTTCCTCAGCCTCGGCGACAGCGGCATGGGCGGCATGGCCTGTCGGTCCGTCACCACCCTCTCGTAGACGGCCAGCAGGGCCGCCTCGTTGGCGAACAGGTCGATGGCTGTGTGGGGGTGCTGCTTTGTGTGGTGGGGCGACGAGAGGCCGAGGGCGGCGGATGGGAGGAGGGAGGAGAGCGGCGGCGGGGTGGGAAGGAGACAGACAAACCTGAACGAAAAACACACAGATGGTCAGACAGACTTGTGAGGGGGCGCTGTGTGTGACCTGCGGTATTTGTCTTCGCCAGTGTCTCCCTCCTCCGAGCTGTCAGACTTCCCTTCTCCCCTCCCCATTGCCTCCGCCGGCGCCGCCTCGGGAAACGGCATTGGCATCGGCACCACACCCTCCACCTCCCGCTGCCTCTCCAGCCGGTCGGCAGCAATCATCCGCCGCTGCTCCTCAGCGCCCAGCAGACACTCTGTCATCATGTCGCCCACGGCCCCCAGCCACCCGTCGGACTCACTCATGTCAAACGAGGCCAGGTCGAGCGCCTGCACGCAATACTGCCGGGGGGTGGCGGAGCGCTGCCACACGGTGACGAGGGAGGGCATGGTGGGGAGTGCGCTGGCTGCCGTGGACGGCGGCTGGTGCAGAAAGGTATGGGTGATGAATCTGTAGGGGTCGGCGTTGAGCTTGTCGGACACGGCGTCGCAGAAGTCCATCACCGCCTGCACCTCGTCCACTTTCTCCCTCCCGTTGTCGCACGACGACGAGGCCGCGGAGGCCTCATGGCCGTCAGAGGTGGTCGAGGGCGTCATGACGGGCGCCTCGATGGGGTGCACCGACACTCGTGTGCCGCACTCAGCGGGGTCGATGGGCCTGTCACGCATGACGATCGTGTGGGCGTGGCTGCCGTGGACAGACAGCTCCAGCAACGCGCCCATGAAGGCCACGCCGCGACTCCGCCATGCAGACGAGATGTAGTACTCCAGACGCTTGGCGAAGAAGTCAGACGGGCAGTTGTCCCACTCGACGTGCTCGACGCGATAGGCCGGCCGGAGTGTCCCAGAGGGGCGAGAGGAGTGGGAGTGGTGGGGGTGGGGAGGGTCGGTGAGGAGAGGGGGGCCGGCTGTGGATCTGGATGGTTCGCTGTCAGCTGTGTCGGCGATGATGGCGAGTACGTCGAGGAAGCCGTGGGAGAGGGCGTTCTCCTGGATGAAGTGGGGCGTGCGAAGGAGCGTCACCAGCACCTTGTTCGGCGCCTCACATAACGCTGGTAGACACACACAGACAGAGAGAGGCCCCATACACGAGAGCACGCAGTTGGCGTGTTTTGTCCACCTGTGAGGTCCTCTTCAAGTCTGCTTGAGTTGAGCAGATGCACGTGCAGCCGACGCACCGGCCTCTCAGGGAGCGGCGGAAGGGCCGCCCGCAGCCTCGCCAGCTGATCCTCATCGGCGTCAGCCTCCTTGTCCCGCTGAACGCAGACAATGCAGTCGCCGAGAGCGCTCCCAAGGGACGGGTTGTTGCCCATGGAGGGCTACTGACCTGCAGGCAACCATCACACAACCATCGGAACGGGGATTCCATGCCATGAGTGCAGCCAGATCTGTGCCCCTGATCTGCTCCCTCACCATTCATCGCTTCAATCTGTATCGAAAGTGAAGATATCAATACCATGCTATCATCGATGACTCCTTCTCTTTTCTCTTCCTCCGTCTTTTGCGAGCTTAGATGGGAAGGAGGAGGGCAGAGGAGGGCAGTGCTTGAGGTTTTCCGCTTCGAGGGGAGTTCACCGTCCCGCCATCTTCTCGCTTCATCTGGTTTCTTCTTCCCACCGTCCTTCCGTATGACATCATCAGCAGCAACCGGTGGTGAGAGGACGCTTGTGCGGCTGCCGGTGTACGAGAGCGGCGTGACCGGCGTCGGCTGAGACAGACACAAGCGCACCTGGCAGGCTCGATGGTACGCACGCACGCCGACAATCACACTCCCACACCATCCAAAGGGCCTTTGTCCTGTGTGTGTGTTTGCATCGTCATCGTAGGTACGAAGACGGGAAGCAGCGTATGGAGGAGTTCAAGGCGTCGGAGCATGGCTTTGAGGAGGCCAAGCAGCGGGCCATCGAGCTGCGGCAGGCCAAGGAGGCTGCTGGCCGGGCGGCGCAGAAGCGCTATGGGCCGGTGAAGAGCCCGGTGCGTGGCGTGCACTATGACAAGAGCATGCGGGCCTGGCGGGCCGTGTGGGACGAGGGCGGCAAACAACGGCGGAAATCTTTCGCCGTCTCAACGCTTGGCTCCCAGGTACACACATGCCCCCCACACACGTGTGACCCGCCACAGCCACGCTCTGCACCACTCAGAGAGTCTCTTGTGTGCTGTGTGGTGGAGTGGTGCAGACGGCGTTTGAGATGGCGGTTCAGTTCCGTCTGTCGAAGGAGGCATCCAAGTATGTGTTTGTGCAGCGGGAGGACGAGCTCGGCGAGCAGGAGGTCACCGGCGGGGCAGCGGCCGGGAGCACCGACAAGACGACCACAAAGAAGACCAGGACCCAGAAGAAGGCCACCGCGAGCAGCGGCAAGGGCGCCTCCGAGTCGAGCTGGACCAAGAGAGGAGGCGGGGGGAGCCAGCGCGTCAAGAAGGACATCAAGAAGGAGGGGCATCTCAAGAGATGAGATCTCGGGCGTCGGGTCAGATAGCTGCTGGATGGGGTTGTAGCCAGGTCTGGGCGAGGCTTGGTTGGCTGGCTGGCTGTACTGCCTTGGCTCTTCCTTGCAACGCGTCCCTGCACGATGGTGCTGGCGCTTTTGTCACTCTGGTTGTACAGTGCGGATGGATGACATGGGCATTGGGGGGAGGGGGGAGGGGGGGAGAGACCTGACGCTGAGCGCAAGGCGATGGCCATGAACGTTGATTCAATCAGCACTTCAATTAATTCTGCGATGCGTCCGATTCGTTCGTTCAGTTGAGTCATTCTATGTGTGTGTTTGGTATCTTTTCTATTCGCCGCCGTTCTGCTCGGCCTGGTCTTGCACATCGTGGTGCAGGTCGTTGGGCTGTGCGGGTGAGAGTTGCAGGTTGAGGTCTGGCACCTGGGGCACGCTGTCGGTGATGGAGGGAGGGGTGCGGGAGACGCCCTTGATCTTGCCCAAACGCTCGAGCAGACTGTGGCGGATGATCTTCAACTCCCTGTGAGCAAGCCACATGGGCATGTGTGCATGGCCACATTGATGTGGTTTGGGACTGTCTTGTGTGGACTACTTGTGCATGGACAGGCCTTTGGCAATCACCCAGGCCTCGTCCCTGCACACAGGAGAGCAGAGGAGCGAAATGTGTCTCGTCTGTGATGGTGTGTGGAAATGGTCGTGTCGGTGGCTTACAGTAGTCCTTTTTTGATGGCGTATCGCGTCAACGTAATGGTGTGCTCACTGCTGGACATCTGGGCCTGCAGAACAGACAGACAGACAGACAACCAACCAACGAACGATCCACCCATCCATCCATCCAGTGAGTGCAGCCTCTCCATGTCTCCCAGACAAAGCTCCACTGCCTCACCTGGCCCGTGATAGCCCAGCGAGAAGTGCCTTTTCCGACCAGCTTAGCCAACGGCATGGCATTCATCTGACGCGTATAGACGGCCACACATCCATCCAAACCCTCTCTCTGTTGACATGTCTCTTCTTCTCACAACCCACCCCACCCCCCTGGTCCCCTACCTGTGTAGTGGGGTCTTTTCCCGTGAGTGTCGTCCAGTGTTCGCGGATCCCAGGCTCCCCACGCTCAATGGCCTCCAGGGCCGACTTGGCCAACAACAAATCACGAGCAGAACCTGCACAGACAGACACAAACCCCCCCACACACAGAGCTGTCCTCCCCCCTCTCCCCTCCCCCTTCTCTTCATCGTGTGTGTCGTGCGTACAGTCCACCACCCACCAGTCTGCTGGGCCTGCGCCGTGATGAGCTTCAATGTGTCCTTGAGGTGAATCCCCAGAGACATCAACCGCCACAGCACCTCACGCATCTCACTATTCAGCCGGTCCATCTCCTCCCTGGCCTTGTCCACCCAACCGTTCGGCTCGCCCTCGCCACGCAAATCCTTCTCCCAAGCAGCGGGCCGCGGCTTGACATATCGGTGCTCACGCATCTGCAAAACGGGCGAACCGAACTTGGTGCGCGACGATACGGGGCGGGCCTGGTTGATCTGGTTGGTGTCTCGGCGCTTGCTCAAAGGACTCAGGCCGTCGCTGGGGCGGCCGGGGCGGCGGTTTGTGAGGTTGCTGAAGGGCGACAGGCAGCGCTGGTCGTTGGCTCCCTCCGAGCCGCGAAGCTTGGCCCCATCCCCCTCCGTCTGCGCCTGCTGCTGGTTCGTCTTGCCTCTCACAGTGGTGGTCTTGGGTGCAGGCGGTGCGTATTTGGGTGCGCATTTGGGTGCGTGGTATGCCGTGAGGGCGGCGAAGGGCGCCGCGCTATTTTTGGGCACCACCAGAGTGAGACCGTTGGGAGCAGCCGGGCGCACCGTCGTCGGGAAGGAGAAGCCGTGGGGAGACCTGCCGCCAACTCTCGCAGAAACACCAGCCACACTATTCTCTCCAACTGCACACTCAGACAAACAAACGAGGGGGAGACGTCTTCACCATGCAGATACATGGGCGCATCTCCCCTCTCTCTGCCCTCACCTGTGCGGGTGCGATTGCCATATTCGCCCGAAACGTCGCCATCAGGGATGGCCAGTGACAGCGAGGGGCTCGGATCGAAAGAGAAACGGCGGCCTGCGGTGCTGCCGCTGCCGGTCACCTGTCGGTCCACGGGCGGTGGTGGCGGCTGCTGGAGGGGCTGCAGGGGAGCAACCACCCCAGGCAGCGTCGTCTTTGGTGCGAGCGACAGTGAGAGTGGGAGTGGGAGTGGTGCCATCTGCGGCGGGCTGGGGTTCTCCTCCTCGAAGCGGACCGTCTTTGGCGAAGAGGGAGACGCGCTCACCTGCCCCTCACCATCCTGATCGGCCTCGTCAACCTGGCCTTCGCCCTGCCCGGCCTGATCAACCTGATCAGCCACACATCCAATGACACCATGAGTGCATTGTGCACCCCTCTCTCTCAGTGGTGTCATGCTCACCTCGCTGTCCTCCTCAATCAGCCCCAGGTCCAGTCCTCCTCCCTCCTCCTGGTTGTTTCCTCCATCCATGCTAGAAGCGCTGCCGCTGTCCAGGCCAGGCCCCACCGGCGGCGAGTTGGTGAAATCGCCAGGCGACGACTTCCCCTCTGCGATGGGCTCCAGCCCCATGGACGGCGGGCGGATGGCGCTGGGACGGCTCGGCAGCGGCAGAGACATCAGCTTCACCCCGCCGTCGCTCGGAGGAGCCTGGCTCATCAGATTCAGTCCGCCGTTGCCCAGAGCCTTGGCCGTGATGTCGGTCTGGATGGCCGGCGGCCGTGGGGTGATGGGGCCGATGCCGCGCTGCCCCTGTCCCTGCTCCAAACGCAGCGAGGTGCCAGCAGCCGACTCGGCTGTTGACGGCGTGGGCAGCGTCAGCTCCGTCGAGGAACGGGAAGACCCAGCCACGGGGCGACTCACCACACCGACACCCAGACCCTTCCGCTGCAAGGAATCAGCAGAAGAAGAGTTGCGGTGCAACGACCTAGTAGAATCCGTGTCGATCAGAAGCTGGTGCTGCACTAAGGGCCGTACTGAAATGTTGCTGGTGCTAGGCATGCCCAAGGGCGAGGGGGGCGCCGAGGCGGATGAGTTCGATATGGTGCGGGTGCCGCTGCTCGTGGCAGCGAGGGGATCCTCGCTCTTGAAAAGGGCCTTCTTCGATGACTCGCTGCGAATGTACGTCTCCACCTGACGGGAGCGACACACAGGCAGCGACAGAGAAGAGGGGATGGCGAGTGCGTCGGCGGCTTCTGCACTGTGTCATCCGCCTTACCACAGTCAGCCGACGGTCGATGACACGGAGGGCAGCAGCGGTCTCCTCCGCCTGTCTGCATGCGTCCTGCTGAATCCTGAAGCCATCAAACACAGGAGCGGTCATCCGTGTGCCCATCTGCACTGGTCCCTGCCCCGTGTGCCCTTGGTGGCTCACTTGGTGATGGAGTCCTCGACCTTTCGGAGTCTGGGTTCGATAACTATCAAGACCATGTCCCCAATCGTTTTGGCTTGCTCGAGCTTCTCCTGCGCCGTCATGCCAGTCGTCATGGCTGCTGATTGGTTGTGGTATCTCCTCTGGGCGTCTGCCGGTTGCTGTGAGAGATGGGCGTTGTTTGGCGTTGCTCTGTTGCGTCGGTGACCGTTGCACTTGTTTGCTGCCACGAAACTGCACTGCAGATGGCTCTTGCACTGTCTATTTCAGCTAACAGTTGCTTCGAATCGAGGAAAGACAAGCTTTTCCCTCGGTTTCAATAATAGCGGGGCGGCATGCATTTTGCGAGCTAAGCGACCAGCTCTTCTGTTGTTCGTTTTGTTAACCTCACGGGACGGTGCCTGATGTGGTGAATCAGATGAGCAAGGGCAGCCCGTTGAAACTGGGCAAGGCGGGCCTGGTGATCGTTGGTCTGGGCAATCCATCGCCTGTTACGCAGGGAGGACCCTTCGGCATCGTCAGACACAGCGTCGGTCAGCAACTGACACACATGGCTTCTCCGAACCAAGATCTGCTCTCTTGTGCGTTTGCCAGGCCTCGCCTTTGTGGATTACGTTCGGGAGAAGCATGGCGGTGGGCCGTGGCGGAAGATCTCGGCGGGCCTCGCAACCATTGCTGACGTGGTGAGAGGACACACATGAGAACAGGCCGGCGGAATGAATCATGGCAGGTGATGTGGTGTGGTTGATTGGTCTCTGGCCAGCCTCCTTGGCGTGTGACGCTGGTGAGGCCGTGGACGGCCATGAACTTGAGCGGATCGTGTGTGAGCAAGATACTCAAATACTTGCAGACAGACGCGCACAGCCTGCTGGTGAGGAGAGTTAACAGACGATACTTGGGCTGCAGGCCGTGTGGACTTGTGTGTGGGCGAACTCCATGTGTGTGTGTGTGTGTGTTCAGGTGGTGCATGACGAGCTTGAGAAGCCTCCCGGGTGGTTTGGCATCAAGGAGGGCGGCAGCGCCAGCGGACACAGAGGTAGATAGGAGTAGATGCGCAGCGCAGACACGAGCTGCTGCACGTCTGGCCTGTTTTGCATATGAGCAGGTCTGATGTCCATCACCGATTCACTACGCACCGAGGACTGTAAGCAGCAGAACCGCGCAAAGCCCCCGACCGTCAGTAATTTATCGCCGTCACTGTTCTTCAGATCACCGACTTCGCATCGGCATCGGTCGGCCGACAGAGAAGGCAGACGTTCCCAAATACGTCCTGAGTAAGCGGACGACACTATCGAAGTGTGCTGTGCTTGGACGTCAACCCCTGTGTATGGGTGTGTGCACAGGTCCGATGGAGGCCCATCACGGCATGGACGTCAAAACCAAGGTCTTCCCAGCCGCATGGGAACTCATACAAACCAAAGTAAGTACGCACACAGGCGGGACCCTCGCAGCTCCTTGCATGTCCTTTTGACCGTCTGTGTGTCTGTGTGTCGTCAGTACATCGACAATCGGGCCATCACCCAAGGTGAGGAGCACCAGCATCAGCAAGCACCGGGCCGCTCCCGCACAGCTCCACACCCACACAAGCAGCAGCAAGGCAAGCCATCGCCAACAGCAGCAGAGGGGCGGCAACACCAGAGAGGCAAGGGTGACAAGGGAAAGGGGGGAGGAGGTGATGATAGTGAGAGCATCCCGGCTGAGGCTGCGGGGCGGCACAGGAACCCCAACACGGGCCCTGGGCGCAAGAAATACATCTCGCAGCAGGAGCTCAGGAAGCTCGTGCTATGGGACTGACCGCCCGACCCACTCACAGCCACCAGCCATGTATGTATGTGATCATGTGACCATGTGACCATATCATACGACGCACTCACTCACTCTCTCTCTGCCTGCCTGCCACACACACCACCCTCCCTTTTGGTCCATCGTGCCTACACGCCACTCTCAGACACTTTTCCCTCGTTGTGTACACATCCCTCTCCCTCTCTCTCTTTCTGTGTGTCTCTCTCTGTGCCTCTCTGTGTGTGTGCAGGTTCGTTGTATGTGAGACAGAGCCCCTTCCCGTTAGAGCTGGCCGGCGAGAAGTACCGATTGAAGGTCGGCAAGCCCCTGCTGGGCGGGCTCTGTATGCCCAAGGCCAACGCCAGCGTCATGATGAAGCGCGGCAAGCGGCGCGAGACGAGGATGCAGAAGTTCTTGCGACGGCTGAATCGGCACAACAGGGTCAGGTTCGCCGCGACCAAGAACGTGGGCGGCGTGTCGGGATGACGACCTCTGCGTGTATCGTTGCATCCGTGTGTCTGTGTATCTGTGTGTCTGTGTGGGTGGGTGGCCGGGGATGAGGCCGAGTGAGTGGTTTCACAACCCAATGTGAAGTCCCTCACTTCGACATGGTCTGGGCACCCTCACACACGGCTACAGAGAGAGAGAGAGAGAGAGAGAGAGGTGGGTGTCTTATGCTTTGATGTCGATTATCGGACTTAGAGCACTTGTGTCTTGAGAGTACCATGTTTGTATACGCATTTTGTGTGATGCCATGCTTGTTGTACAGACTCGACTCGTTCACTCATTCACTCACTCAATGATCGACACGTGTGCTCGAGTTGAGTCGAATTACTGGCACATTGTGGTGTCTCCCCTCGCCACGGACAGAACAGCAAAAGGTCCAATAACCGCCCACGCACCGCCCTCCCGACCACCCATACCAGTGTGCAACACATGAGGCAGTCTCCCTGCCCCTCTCTATCTTTATGTTAACTTACCACAGTCACACAATAGCTTTCTCGTGCGGACTGGCGGCCCATCTGACTTCGGCCGGCATTCTCTCTTCAGCGACGGCCAGAAAGCCCGATGCAGGGCACGCTGGCAGCCACACAGCCGACAACGCCGTGGCGAAGGAACAAAGGACGCAGATGCACTGAGCACTGTTACAGCAGTTACCGATCCTTCTGTATGCCTTTCTCGGACGCTTTCTGTCTGTCTGTCTGTCTGTATCACCATCTCCATTCTACCGGTACGTGCCGGTCTGAACGAGAACGTGTGGACGGCGAGCAGTGGTGCTGCCGCCACCAGTTCCGCGCACCCCGCCGCACGTACCGGCAGAACTCGAGCCGCACACCACCACGACACGCAATCAGCAAACCATGAACCATGTTACCCACGCAATCATCCTCTCTCTCATCTGTCGTTGTGCGCCGAGGGCTGCCTCGATCTGCCGTGTGCGGTGGGCGGGGGCGGCAGCATCGGGTCGCAGTACACGGGATACACAACGTCCTCAGCCACTACCTGACGCACCCCACGAGTCCTGCACACACACACACACAACCAAACACGCACACCGATCCATCCATCTGTGTGTCTGTCTGTGTGTGTGTAGGTGTCCTGTGCTTACACGGGGTGAATTTTGAGTATTGGTGGGACCTCCTTGATGTCGTGTGTGGGCCTTAGGCGGATGATGCGCGGCCCGCTGCACGTGACGCCATCCCTGGCCATGGAGTCGTGGCCGAACATGGGTTCGTCGGGCAGCTCCGCCGATGAGATGGGCGGAGGGGGGACGGGGGACTGCTCGGTCAACGGCATCGACTTGGGCACCTTCACCACCTGCAGAGATGCATGTGTTCAGGGCCCTGCAGTGGACTGATCCTTTTCTTTACGCCGCCTCACCTTCCACATGAGGATGCCCTGCGGAGGGAACTCAGTCAACAAGATCTGAATCACCAAGAGAGGGGACAACAAACAAACCACTTTTGGTAGCCCTCTCGCATCGCATATGCATCGCTGCTCACCATTCGTTTGAACACTTTGTGCCCCCGGAATGCACTCTCCGTGAGTGCCTCCGGCGGCTGGAACGGCCCATCCAGCCGCAGAGTGCCCGCCCTTCCCCAATGCCGCAGATCATTGCCATCGCCCATCACATAATACTGACGACGCACACACACACACACCATCCCATGAACTCCAAGCATCATGCATCTTCATGCATCTTTCTTGCCTTCATCGCCTTCATCGTTGGCCACTTACATGGTGTTGGTCGATGTCTGCATCTCCCGTTTCGTGGCTGACGTGCACGCACACCTCGATCAGCGATGCGATGCGGTGGTGTGCATGCGCATGGTGTGCAGCCGGCGGCCTTGGCGGGGGAGGGGGTGGCGGGACCAGCATCGGCCCACCATGGAGGGGTGCGTTGAGGGGCATTGGGAGCCGTGGTGATGGCAAGAGGGGCGGATGGGAAGACCCAGATACCATCCTGTTGGGCTGCAGCATGGATGGATCCTGGACAAAACAGCCTTCTCACAGTGTCGTACAGTCAGCAGAAGGCTCTTATACTCGGAGCGATGCTTCAGGTTCGATCATCTGGGTTTGATACCCTGCAACCCTACCAAACCCTAGGCGGGCGCGGAGAGGTAGGTCAGATCTGCCCGTCGCTGACCGTCAGAGCCCTTATCGTCCATGATGATGAATATCAACAACATGACCAACGTGTTCCTGCAGCGAGTCGCCTCTCTGACGGCCTATTTCCTCACGGGCAGCACCTCTCCCCCTCACCGGCACTACATCTTCGTTGACGGCGAGTACGTGGAGCCATGGAGGAAGGTCAAGGGCACCGAATTCATTGTACAGGTGCGCCACCCAGCGCATACAAGAGAGGGTGGGTGATCTGTGTGTGTGTGTGTGTGTGTGCTGTTCTCTGCGGTGTAGCTGTGCATGACGGGCTGCACGAACGTGTGTTTCCTGCTGCCGGCCTACCAGTCGTATCGGCTGGGTCTTCACTTCGATGCGGTGATAGGCATTGGTGTGACGGTGACGTCGGCCCTGTACCACGTGCTGCAGACCATAGATGACGAGCTCGAGTGCCCTTACCTCGGAGGCAACGAGGGGCGGGTGAGCACAGAACGAACGGATGGATGGATGGATGGATGTATGTGTCAGTGGCACATGGCAGACAATGTGTTTGCCATCAGCTCGTTCGTCAACCTGTTCATCCTCCTGGCACAGGTGAGAGAGAGGGAGGGGGGTCCACATAGCTACGTGCCTCATTTGATGGCGTCGGTTTGTCTGTGTGCAGGTGGAGAATCCCCTGACGCTGGACGGGCTGAAGCTCAGCGGCCTGTGCTTCGCCATCGTGGCGCAGTGCATCGACACGTGGAACCTCACGTACGCACCACAGCCGCATTGCAGATCTCGAACAGGTGCCCACCCACTCGTTTGTCGTTGGCCCAGGTACACGCTGGTTCCCATCGGTGTGAGTGCGGTGCTCAGCCTGCTCTGGATCGTCTTCGGCAGGAGGTGCGCAGCGATGCATGTATGGGTCGATCGCTGACAAACGATGTGTCCATGAGTGTGTGTGACCGCAGGAAGCCTCCACAAGTCGACTGGCCGAACTTCTGTAAGAGGCGAGAAGGCGCCGGTTTCACCTTCCTATTTGTCTTTGTCTGTCTCTCAAAGATCCGTTTGTGTTGAGTTTCCTGGCGTCGGTGTACTTCTTCGTCAAGGGCCTCGACGCATTCACCGACTGGGGCAGAGTCTACCACGGGTACACACAACACCCAACACCCAACACAGACACGCACTAGCCTCAGCATGTCATCCTGTCTGTCATCCTGTCTGTCAGGATATGGCACATCTCTTCGGCGTTGCTGGGGCTGTTTGCCATCCGGGCCTTCACCCCTCCCTCACTCATCGCCCTGAGACGGCAGTCCGCCCTCAGGCAGCTCATGACGGAGGGAGGAGGGGCCCTGGTCAGTAGTGTGTCTGCGAGCACCGTGGTTGCCCCGTCGGGCGGCAGCAGCGAGAACTCCATTAGCAATGCCAGCGGGGGCGACAAGAAAAATCTCTAGTCGCCTGTCTGGCTGGCCAGATAGAATGGATGGATGGAGGGAGGGAGGGAGGGATGGATGGAGGGAGGGAGGGAGGGAGGAGCGATGGGTGTTGGTGTGTGTGTGCGTGTGTCTGTGTCTGTCTGTGTGTGTGCGTGTGTCTGTGTCTGTCTGTGTGTGTGGCGTGTGTGTGAATAGGCGTGTGTTGCTGGCGTGTACATAGCAGCTGTTCGGCTACAGACTGCTTGCCGGACCCTTTTGATCTCCATTGGTACGTGCGTTGTGGACCGACATCTATGTCAAATTGGCAAATGTACAGTAGTGCTTGTGTCAAATTCGCGAGGGAGAGAGAAAGAGAGGGAAACACCGATACCGAGACACGAGACGCAACCAAATCAACAGCGAACGTCTCAGGAAGAGCACGAGACACCAAGATATAAAATGTAGGCAGCAATTCCCCCGCTCTCTTGGCTTCGTGTCTCCACCCGTGATTTGTCCCATTCTGCGGCTGACCCACTGAGGCATGCCCTCCGCACCAGCCTGATGCTGCTGCAATCTGATATAACCGATCTGCACGCAAACGACAGACACATCCCATTGCATGTCATCCAGCCTCTGTGCTTGCTCACCGATGTCGTCGTGTCCGATGCCGCACTCTCGCTCGCCAGGGGGACCGTCGGCGCCGCAGCACTTGCAGTAGATGGCGGCGGAGGTGGGGGCTGCGGCATGTCTTCCTCAGGCCGCCATTCTCAGAGAGACGCCACCGCCTGACCCACCTGGACAACAACAAAACGGGACAGAAGACAACAGGACAGACAACGATGGATGGCCATCCGTTTCCGCTCTGCTGCTGCCTGTGAGTCCTTCAGTGATATGCGCGCCTCACTCACTCACCAGTTGCTGCTGCTGTGTCCGCCACATCTGCTGGGCCATCTGAACTTGAGCCCAGTACTGCACACAAGGCAGCACACGCACAATACGCACGCACACAGATGAAGAGGCACACAGACAAAGAGGGTGGTGCGAATGTGACTGTCCATGGGTGTATTTAGGGGCGTACCTGCATTGCTGGCTGCATTGCCATTATCTGCTGCTGCAGGGCCGCGATGTGCTGCTCCATGGCGCAGATCTGGTGGCGCAGCTGGGCCTCTGACTGCTGGAGTTGGCGGATCTGGCCGTCCTTGTCGGCGATCTCCTTGTTCTTCGTCTCGAGCTCCCTCTCCTTCTCGATTCCGACCTCTTTTACCTTGGAGTTCATGTCATTCCTCATGAGCTCGTAGGCAGCGATGTGGCGATCGAGCACGGCCTTTTCGACGAAGTCTCCGACTGACAAACAAAGCGCACACGCACACAGACACACAAAAGGCACACAAGGCAAACAGGTGGGCACGGAGTGGTGGTAGGTTGAGGTCAGGTGATGTGTTGTTTGTGCTGTCAGTGACGTACGTACCTGTGTCGACTGGGAGGGCATTGACGTGCACGTTGCCACACACCCACACCCGGGTTTTGGCCGTGCCGTCTGAGCGAAGAAAGGCACACACAATGGCAACCACACATCATGCATGATGTGAGCAGCTAATTCTCGTTCTTGTCGGCGATCGCCTTGGTCTTGGCCTTTAACTGCCTCTCCTTTCCAAATCGGCCTGGTGTGCGGCCCACTAGGCCTCTTCCATATTCAAACAGCACCACTCATTGAAACTGCTGCAGCTGTGCGTAGTGAGGCACCGAGGAAAGGGGAAAATGCAGGCAACGAGATATGAAAGGCAGGCAGCGATGGGGGCAGACCTGATAAGAACGCACACACACACACGTGTCAGAAGTGAATGGGCAGCGACGATGAAATGACTTACAATCTCCACCGCACCGCCGATTTGGGCGGTGTCGTTGTGCGCTCAAATATCGCTGTCGGCATCTGACAGACAGACAGACAGACAGACAGAGGAGGCGCTGCTCACGCGAGTGGCATGTACTTGTTTTCGCCTGCCTACGTTTGTTCTGGGCATCGTCTGTCCTAAGTGGTAGCGACATCATCCACCAATCCAAACACTCCTCGCACAACACCTTGAAAAAACAGGAAGAGAATTGACTCCACGGACGAACCGCTCACTGACCGTACTCACCCGGTGTCCGCACGGGTGTAGAGTTCCGTCAGGTGGATTCGTAAGACACACCTGACCCGAACCAACAATGGCCGCTGCAGCTGGAGCGACTGGCGCAGAGCTGCTGTCACTGGCCGCTGCTGCCGCTGTTGCCGCTGCTGCCGCTGCTGGAGTAGTAGTGTGAGTCGCTAATGGCAAGTTGGCTCAGTCTTAGCTGCTCAGAGGTAAGCTGCGCCAACAGCTGACGCACTGACGGCATGTCCATAGACGGCAGCCCATCGTCAGTGCAACGGCTGCATCACACAACACCACAAGAGGTGGTGGTGGTGGTGAATGTGCCTGCTAACCTGTGTGGTGACGCGTGTAGTGTGCGTGTTGATAGCTCGGACTTCAGACGATCGACCTCCTCTGTGTGGGCTTTATTGACGGACTCGATCTGCTCTTTCAGCCGTGCGATTTCTTTATCCTTCTCTACACACACACACACATACACATGCGAACGATATGATATGGATGCGTATATGTACATACCGTTAGTGTGCGTTGGCGGCGATGGCGAGGCAGGCTGGGGTCCGTCGGGAGATGTCGCCTCAGGGTGAGACTGACGCCCTCCTGACCACACACGTTCACCGACACAGACAGATGCACATACATCGTGAGGATACGTACGTGTATCAGAATCATGTCGTGACCGGTGACCAGCCTGATTGCCACACATCCATGCCTGGGTGTGTGCATGTCAGTCATTGTACGCGTACCCATTCCCCCTCTCCATCGTCGTCATCTTCCTCGCAGGAAAGACGGCCAAGCGGCCCTGCATGACGGCCAACACTGCCAAGCCGCCCTGCATTGCATCACATGCGACCAATACACACAGACACACACACGTGAGCATGCAAGTGTTGAGTAAGCTACATACCACTCACGTGCCCCAAAGTAGGAATGGATGGTCGAGTAGACCCTCTCGACAGATCTGCAGTCACAAACACACGCACACGGTGTGCACACCACTGGCAGCTAGCTATACGTACAATTCGGTGGGCGCGTTGGTGGTGGCCAGTGTGGGTGAGTTATCTCACCACCGTGTGGATGGTGCAGGTGCGCAGAAGCACTTCAGGTCAGCTGGCAATCAAGCAGCTGGGCAAAGGAAGAATATCTCCGCAATATAAAATGTAGGCAGCGATGGGCAGACCTGAGAAGAACGCACAGACCCACACGTCAGAATTGGATGCGCCAGCAGAGACATGAGTCACCATCAGGCCCCATCACTCGATGGTGAGCGGCGCGGCACTCCATGTCGCCACTCAAGTTACTGCCCACCTTGTCGTCGCAGCTTTCGGTGGAGCGGTGGCGGTCCTTGGACACGGCATACAGCCTGTCCCGTTCGGCCCTGCTGTCGGCGTCGATGGGGCGCCGAAAGCCTGCTACCAAACGTTGAATCATGGCGTCCTGCACAAGAAACAGGCACATACACACATGGTCAGTCAGCCAGCCAACCGTCCAAACACACCTCAACACACACATGGCCCCAGCCCACCCAGGTGCTGGAGCCTTTGTCTGTCTGTATGTATGTATGTCCTCTTGGCTGTCTGTCCGACTGACTGACTGAGTGAGTGGCTGACTGACCTGTTTGTCCCGTATGTCCTCTCGTCGCCTGGCCTTTGCGTCCTGCTCCCTATCCCTGCCCTCCCTGCTCTCTCGGCCGCCTTTTGCTGCTCTGCCTTTGCCCTCTCCTCACGGGCTGCTGCTATGGCGCTGCGCTTCTTCTGCCGGCAGCGTGCCTCGCGGACCCACGGGGCGGGCGCCTTGGCCCGCTCAGCCTCTTTGCGCTCCACGTTCTCGTGGAACTCTTTCGTGAAATTCGCCCACTCGTCGTCCATTACGTACGTGGCCGTGGTTGTTATTCAGGTGGCCGCCGTGTTTGCCGACGCCGCCATCAGCAGCAGCAGCAGCGGCGGCGGCAGCCGGTGCACATGACGGAGGTGCGTGCGTCGCCGGAGGGAGGGCTGCGCTGCCAGGGGAGGGAGGGGAGGGAGGGAGTGGTGGGAGGTGAGGTGAGCTCCAAAAGGACCCGGCCTGGCCTTGCTGCCTGCAAACACCACACACACGACACCACATCATTCACTCGACGTCGTCAGCACGCTGCACCGGCTTGAGGCTGACGCGGTCGATCGTCAGGGAGCCATGGGTGATGCCGCTGAATGAAACAGAGGAAAACAGGTGTGTGGCGAGACTCTCGGTGGCGTCTGTGTTCTCCTTCTCCTTACTGCTCGTCGAGGTTGATCAGCAGGCCGGTGAGCTCGCGCAGTATCCACACGGCCATCGGCTCACTGAGTTGCAGGGTCCCTCGGCTACAGACGACACACACACGCAGAGGGAGAAACGCAGTCATCAATGTCGGGCGACAACACAATCACATGCCTTCTCGTCTTACCGCTTTTTGATGAATGCGCGCAAATCCATGTAAGGTTTCTCCATTATCACGCTGTGGCACACCTCGTCCGTCGCTCTGCTGAGGATCTTCGGCACGGCAGGGAATCCTCTGTCGCTGGCCCACTGGTGACAGTCGATGGAAAACTTGACCTGAAGACAGACACCACAAGACACGTCCAATCGCTCCACGTTCCCCCTCCCTCCCTGAGTGTGAATGAGTGAGTGGGGGTGGTGGTACCTGGAGGTTGCTCGACGCATCCCGAATGGTGTACGGGCGGAGCATGTCCTTGATGAGTCCGCCAACCGCTGCGATATCTACTTCTGAGGCAGGAGGGCAACACACAGACAGAGAGGGCCATCCATAAGCAGCTGCATGCACGAGTGCGTGCACGGATAAGTAAGACACAGACACACACACACACACACACATACACACCCATGCATACGAGATGTTAGTGCATCTGTCGTGGTGGGTGGGCGGGGTGGTGTGTGGGATTTATCCCCTCACCTCCTTGGCTGTGGGTCTCGACTTTTTGTCGTGGGCCATCATGGCCGTCAGGGCGCTGATCGTCCTCTCGCTCACGCCCTGCTTTCAAGCTAGTCACGAGATATTCCTGCCAAGCCGACTCATTGCTCATGAAATCCAGCCACCTCTGAATTGTGCAGGAACAGGACGCAGGTACAGCAAGTACGTGTGTCAGTGACGTTCTGGTCTGGTCTGGTGTGGCGTGATGTATGGCACTGTGCGGGGGGCTCACTTCGTCACCGATGGCATAGGAGAAGTCGGCGCCTGTGAGCAACTGGTAGACAGCGCAACACAACACACACATCAAGACACGAGATGAATGTCTTATTCCGGTCGGTGTGTGCGTGTTGGTTGTGTCTTCCCTGTCGTCCTCGTCCCCGTGTCGGCCATTCCCGCCATAACGTTTCTCAGTGGCCGCCGAAGCGGCCAAATATGCGTAGACAAAGAGAAGAAAGAAGAGACATTAGCAAATCTATCTATGAGCCTCTTTTTCCCTCTTTCACTTATGTACCTTTGGAGCCGCCGGGGATATTAAGGCGATCGATGCATCGCAGCTATAAAATGAAGACAGCCATCGATCTGTACCACATAGGAGCCGAGAGAGACATGAGAAAAAAAAGCCATGAGAAGCTCTCCCCCTCATGTACGTCGTCTGTCGTCGCTTGGAGACACATAGCGGCCGGCCTGCCTGCATCTACGAGCAGGCCAGACAGAGAGACAAGAGAGACAGACATACACACACACACACACAGAGACAGACAAAGAGAAAGTGGAAGAGATGTGAGGAACACAGTCGAAGACGTCACCCTCTCTCTTCTGTCTGTCTTTGCGTACGTACCTGCGCCAAGGTAAGCCAGCTGTTGTCCTAATACGGACCAACGAAGCAAGCCAGGAAGGAAGGGAAGGAAGAAAGACAGCCCGCCTGTCTGTCTGTCTGTCTGTCTACGGCCGCAAGCAACAAACTACGAACAAAACCCTCACAAACAACAAACTGACAAGAGCTAGGTAGCCACACACATACATATAGACACACGTATGCTGTCGGTCTCTACTCTAAACATTCTCTTTTTGATTTATGTTTATGCGATGCGATGCGTCTGTCTGCCTGTCTGTGGAGGAGCGGGGGAGTCAGCCGGATTGATGATTTTGATGAGGGCGAATGTAGGGAGAAGACCGTTGGTGGGGGGTGTTTGTTGCTATGTTGCCGTGGCGTCGATGCGCGTCCACAAGTCGGGGCCGGGTTTCGTTACCATTTGTTTGAAGCGTAGAAGGCCATGAGGCGGGCGAGCAATGAGGCAATGGGCGTCGATCGAGAGAGAGATGACGGGGAGAAGAGCCTGGGCGCCTGCATCTGCGAGCAGGCCAGACAGAGAGACAAGCAGAGACAGACAGACACACAAAGAGTGGAAGAGATATGAAGAACAGAATTGCAATTAAGATGTCACCCTCTCTCTCCTGTCTGTCTTCACGTGCGTACCTGATCGTTGGGTAAGCCGCCATACCACGAACGAACAAGGGGGGGAAGGAAGGAAGACAGCCCGCCTGCCTGTCTCTCTGTCTACGGCCGCAAGCAACAAACGACAAGCAAAACCTCACAAACAACACAAACAAGAGCTAGCTAGCTACGCATACACGTATGCTGTCTTTCGTATTCCATTCTCTATTTGATATTTGTGCGATGCGTGTTTCTGTGGAAGAGCGGAGGAGTTTGTTGGATTGATGTTTTTTCTTTAAGGAGAAAAGGAGAGGGCCGCCGGTGTTTGAGGATTTGTTGCCGTGGCGTCAATCCGCATCCACAAGTCGGGGCCGGGTTTCGTTACCATTTCATTGAAGGGTAGAAGGCCATGAGGTGGGCGGGCGATGAGGCCACGGGCGTCGATGAACAGAGAGCTCGTAGAGATGGGAAGTTTGGCGGTCTCGCCTTGTCGTCGACGGCGGCGCTATACACAGAATGTGCTCAGCTTTCCTCGTTTGTTTCGTTTGCTCACCTTTCTTCTTCTGCTTCTTCTTCTCCTTCTCCTTCTCCTTCTCCTTGTTGTTGAAATGGGAACGAGTTGTCTGTGAAGCAGCAAAGGCAAAGTTAGCGCACTCTCAACACCTGATTCATTGAATAGTTAGAATACTTCATTCATTCGAGAAAAGGAGACTCCTTTTCTCGAAATCGCCTGTCGCTCGCTTTGTCCCTGCATGCAGCCGACAACATAATGTGATCAAGCCTTGCTGAGATACGCCGCTTCCTACCTGTCTGCATTGACAGCAACATTGACTTGATGGCAACCCTCGTCTGACGCAGCCGTCCTTCCTCCACCTGTATCACACATTCGATTCACACCATGACAAGAATCTGTTCTCCATTGTTCTCACCACGCCGAAAGTCCCGCTCCCCAGGGCCGGCCGTCTATCATCCCAATCCAATTCTGCACACACAAGGGAATGGACACACACAGAAGAAGGGAAGCTGCTCGCTGCCCTCGCAGGTCATTGCATTGCTCGCTGCCCTCGCAGATCATTGCATTGCTCGCTGCCCTCGCATGAAGGGACACACAGAAGAAGGGACACACAGCTGAAGAAGGGACACACAGCTGAAGAAGGGACACACAGAAGAAGGGAAGCTGCGCGGCCATTAGGAGAAAGAACCAAAATTTCATCATCTGCACACAAGGATGCCAACAGGGCACAGTGAGATCACCACAGCAATGAAACGGACTATGTACTCATCATTGGACATCATCCATACACCATACCGTCACTGCAACCAACGCAAAGACATGAGACGTGTACTCACCTGAGAGGATGTTTTGAAGACAAAGAAGGCGTCGTCGCACTCAGTTGACGTCAGACAGGTGTCAGGGAGTCGCAGCTGTTCAGCAGAAAGCAGGGCGCCACCGGCGGAGGCCTCGCTCGGTGGCACAGGGGTAGAGGAAGGAAGGATCAGTTTTCGTCCGGACGAATTGGGAGGGGTAGAGGAGGATGGCCCGGACCACACGAGCCCAAAAGCAGATGAAAAGAAAACGAAACGGAGGATCTGTGGCCGAAAGAAGGCCGAGAAGCGGAGTGTGGACGAAAACTGTGAAAAGTGGGTCGAATTCTGTCTCGAATAGTCGAATTTCTCGTCCCGTCTCGAATTCTCGCCGAGGGATATCATTGTTGGCTCATCTGTTCGTGGAGCGGGATGGAGACTTGAGACGCCCAGTGGGCGACAGTGGGCAAAAAAGTGAGCTCGCATCATTCGCCGGGACGACGCGGGAAAACTCCACCCGACCCCGACCAGTGGCACGGGAAGTATTGCAATTGCTGTATTTCCTTCCGCATTCCTTCGCATAGCCTCGTTCCTCCTGCGCCCCTTTGGTCAGCGCCCCGCCCTCACGCAGCAGTCATCATCAGCTGACTCAAGGGAGAGATGTCGGACCGGCTGCTCTTTGACTCGATCGTGGGCGCTGCCCTAGCGTCGTCGTCATTATCATCGGCATCAGCTGCAGCGGCACAGCCACAGCCACAGCCGCAAAGCACCGCGCGCATCTACCCGGCTTCTTCCAACCAGATCGGCACGCGGGTGTGGATGGTGTCAGCCAAGAAGAAGGAGGACCGGAAGGAGGCTTGGGTGAAGGCGAAGGTGTACAAGCGGGAGGTGGCCAGTAGCGGGGCGGCGAGGGTGTTCTTGAAGGAGGAGGTTAGCAGTGGCAGCGGTGAGGAGTTCTGTGTGGTGATTCCGCACGTGACGACCACATCGCCCCGTGACCAGCAGGTGCGTGCACATTGAGAGAGAGGCACATCCACTGTTGGGCGCGTTGGGGGGATGGATGGATGGATGGAATCATCCCATGTCTGTCTGTCTGTCTGTCTGTCTGTCCGTGTGTGCAGGTGCGTTTCGTGTACGTCGAGACCAAGCCTCTGCCTGAACGGGGCAATCGTGTAGAACCGGTACACACAACCAACCAGCCAGCCGCATAGAGGACACGGCTGCATGTTGGTTGCCTCACAGTGCTGCTTGCTTGGTTACGTGTGTGAATTCAGGTGCCGGGTGTGTTCGGCATGACCGAGGATGACGAGCGCGACAAACTCTTCCCCATGCTCGGGGGCAGCCTCGCCAGTAGCATCGCAGCGATGCGCTCCACCTGCCGCCTCGCCGCTTAGCAGTACTCCGACACCATCCTCAAATCGCTCATCGACGCTGAGCTGCGCACCAAGGGCATCGACGACATCATCGACTACGATCTGGATCTGCCGTCCTCCACCGACCTGCTGCTGCGCCTCCTCTACGTCATCCAGAACAGCGGCGAGTGGGACGAGTGGAAGCCCATCTGCAGGGTGGCGTGCCACCAGGGCCGCTTCTACGGTCCCAAGATGGTGCTGCGGTGGGGTGCGGTGATGGGGGTGGGCAGCCGGGCGCTGTTCGACTCGCGGTGTGCGGCGCTGCGTCAGCTGTCGCTCATCTTTTGGCAGCTCTGCGAGCTCGTGACGAACGACATGCAGCTCGTTTGCACGAGCGACGGCCAGGAGCTGCTGGGCGGCGAGCGGTTGAACGTCTGCACGCTCGAGTCGCTGCGGTACAACAGCCCCTTCCGGGCCTCATTCGACCCCGACAACCCTGTGTGTGAGTACATGAGTAAGTGGCCAGTGCGTGTGAGGGAGAAACGAAGCAACAGAGGACGGGCGGGACCATCCGGTTGGTTGTGTGGTCGTTCTGCTTTTGCAGGCAAGATGTACAAGTCAGTGCGCGACACCGTACTATTCAAGGAGAGAGAGAGAGAGAGAGCACACGCACACACACACAATGCATTCTCTCCGTCTGTCTGCCATTGTTCAGCATGAAGAAGGCGGGCCCGTACAATACTGTTGTGTCGCGGGTCGCGTACAACGTCCTACCGGTCCTCAACATCGACCTGAGCCTGGACCCCACCATCGACATGATTCCCAAGATGATGGCAAAACAGAGACTGGTCGGTCCAACACACACACAGAAGCGGCCCACTCGTGGATGCGTGCACACACGAGTGGTATTGCAACTCTGAAATCTTCGCTTCTCTGTTTCTCCCTTGTCTGCAGAGGCAGCTAGCCACGCGGGAGGTGCCGGTGTGGGGCCGCCACACGGTCGCCACGTGCCAGTCGCCAGAGGGGAGTGTGGGGCGAGTGATCGTGCTACAAGGCGACCAGCCAGGGGACACGTTCGAGGAGGAAGTGTTCATCGACAGCACCATGTCGTCATTCGGAGCGCTGAGCTCCGCCTACGGGTACCTCTACACGACTGAACGTCCAGTGGCGGGCAAGGCGGGAGCGGCGCAGTTCCCCCGGACGCTGCGAGTTGTCCGTGAGGTGATGGGCAAGGATGCACTGATAGTGCTCAGCGTCGAAGTTGGTCTCCGAGCCAGCCAAATCGACTCACTGACCGACTGACGCGGGGTGGTCAGATAGATAGCACCCAGATGCGTGCAGGCATCTGCGGGAGGGGAGGGAGTGGGAGGGACAGAGGGCGGGTGGGTGGGATGTGTAGATATGTGGTTGTCACTCACTGACTGACTGACTGACTCACTGGGTGTGTCCGTGATGTTGTGTGGTGGTTGCCCGGACTTCTCTCCGTCAACCAGGTGTACAGAAACGAAGGAACAAGCTGCAATCTTGCATGTATGTCCCATCGAATCAGCATCCAGCACACAGGCTTGTGTCCTGAGTGGCTTGTGTCCTGAGTGGTGTCGCATTGTTCAGACAGACAGACAGTCGCCAATCAAGCATTCCAACCACCACCCCCACCACCCCATACATGTACAGGGCAAAACTCACCACAGCTCACGGCACCGCACCGCTGGCTGGCCTGTCGCCATGCAGCCAAATGCTCTCGTACATCCGCACACCCATCCATCCATCCATCCACGCACGGCACACACTACAAACAAAACCTCCGCCATTTCCTCACTCATTCCCTCACCCACCCGCACGCAGTGCGGCTGTTGTCATCTCCGTCGGTGGCTGGGTGGCTGGGTGCGTCACAGTGGGTTGTCGGGTCTTGTCTGCAGCCAATGGGCTATGTTGGGCAGCTTCTCAACTCGAGCTGAACGCAATCACACACATACCAAGTCCAACGCCCCGGTCAACGCATGGCTGCAGTGCTGGTGACGTGCTAGATGCACCTCCGTGTGCGCGCAGACTCTCGAAGGGACCAAACGCCTCAGGCAGACGCCTTCAACAACAGAAAAATTCACGCACACAGACGGTGTGGTCGCTCTGTCTGTCTGTCTGTGCATGCCCGACCGACCGACCATGTGATCGTCGACATCATGTCGTACACGGCCAGGTCAGCATAGGTCAGCCGACTGCCCAGAAACCAGTCACCGCCACGCTGACACAGCAAACTGCAGGCAAGAAAGAAAGACAGACACAGCCGGAATAATGTTCGCTTCACTGGATCTGAAGGCGGAGTGCAAGCCTACTTTTCGAAGTACCGCGCCCATCTCGGCAGCACCTCTTTGGAGAAGGTCTGCAGCTGCTGCTCCCGCTCCTGACACACACGCGCATACCAATGAATAGATCGGCCTCTCACGGGGCATGCGCCACCTCTCACGCACCTGTTCTGTCTTGGCGAAGATCATCTGAGTGAACTTCTGCCTGAGCGTGACACAACGGAGCACACTCACATACTGATACAAGTCCGCCAGACATCATTCTACCTCAGGTCCTCGGTGCCGCACGCAACCATGTCTGTTCGAAATGGAACGAAGATGCTTGCAGCGAACTGGCCGCTGTCTGTCTGTCTGTCTGTCTCTGTCCGTCTGACCTGCGAATGCGTTGTCGAGTTCGGTCCCGCCCATCAAACCTGTCCAACAATACAAATCGATGGGACTGATGGATGAGTGGCCACACACTCTGTATGTCTGGATGCGTCGACGCATGCACCCACCAAATCATGCAGCCAGCCAGCCATCCCTCACCGTGCTTTCTGGCGATGTATCTGACGATGGCCTGGCTCTGCGCCAACACCATACCTGAATGAATGCACCACCCACCAATAAATAATCGCCCTCCCTCCCTCCCACACACGCACCGTCGACTTCGAGAATGGGCACTTGGTCGAATGGCAGCTCTCCCTCCCCCTTCAGGCGCTCGAAGTCCTCCATCGCATGGGGAGGCTCTCTGAATCTGACGTCGTCATACTCCACCTCGGCCTGTGCGAATATCAGCCGAATGATCTCGGCACGGCCCCTGACACACACACATACACATACACACGCACGAAACAGACTCACAATCACAAACCCGCGCCCAATCGATGAGCCTCACCGTGCATGAAAGTAGAAGAGTCTGGGTCTGCCGTTGGTGGTGGCCTTGAGCGTCATGGTGCCCTCTCCCTGGTCTCCCATGGCCTCCTGCAGCGTCATGATCTTGGCCCATTTCGATGACGCCGACAGCCCTCGCGGCACTGAGTTGCTGCTGTGGTTCGAGGAGGAAGACGCTGCCGCTGCGGCCGCGACGGCAGGTGAGGACTCTGAGCCGCTGCTATTCATCTCGTCATCCCCAAACCCATGCTTCTTCCGAACCCTGCAAAGCGATCCCTTTTCGTGTGTTGTGGTCGCAGATCTTTCGTGTGACGCTTCGCCGACGCTTCGCTGAGGCCTACTGAGGACTCAAGACAGTCCACGATGCAGCCCACCGGCGCAGCGCCCTCGTCCCGTCCCGCCAGCCCTGTCCTCTTTCAGCCCGCCGACCTCTTTGACCTGTCATTGCCCATCAGCAAGATGGCCGCCATGGCCATGTCGATTGACGATGCCAAACGAGATGCTCTCCGCTCACAGCTCGTCACCCGCACTCGGCAACAGGAGCTGCTGGGCCACACTGCGGAGACCGTCAGCAGCACCCTGCTCAGCGCCGTCCAGCGGCACATCAACAAGGACATCAGGCGTCTCGGCTTGGAGGACGTCTTGGCCTTCGACATTGGCGATGATGTGGAGGCCGGCTTGAAGGTGGTCTATGTGCTGGAGCGGGGCAGTGGCGAGGAGTGGCGGGCGATGGGGCGGTTCCTTCGGCTGGCTTTCATCCATCGGCTGACCCCTGCTGGTGCGACGCTGCCTCTCCGTCTGTCGGCTGACACACTTTCCACAGCAACGGCCTTTCATCAGCTGCCACTCGCCCTGGCCATCTACAAGATCATCGGCCGGCAGCTCACATGCACAGGGACCAGCCTGGCGCTGCACCCAGCCGACAACAACGGACAGTATCGGATCGGCCATGAGTAGTTTCGTGTGGTGCCACTGGGTGAGCTGCCGGGCGGCCATCCCTATGCTGAGGGCTACAAGCGGACCAATCCCGTCATCCGCTGCGGCGGCTGCCTTTATCCCTCCTGCTCGGCATTCCTGCTGCAAAGTCTGCTCTTTTGCTGGTCGGATGGAGAGGGGGTGGGTCACAGGAGGGTGCTGTGGGCACACATCGGCTGTGACGACGCTCGGTATCGCCGTCTGCTGAGGACCGACAACATCACAGAGGATCAGGGCATCGTCGCCGACTGGCGGGAGGATGGGCGCAATCTGAATACTGCTCATGCGACGGACTGGCGCCTTGTGATTGTGAGCGGCTTCCGGCATACAGAGACGATCGCTGCCGATATCTGGCTGGGGGCGGGCGGCATCGACCTGTAGACGACCGAGGCACCTGAGGCTGATGGATCTTATCCACTCGCTGACCGCTACCCCGTGTCGGTTGGTGCCGCCCGCCGTCTGCTGCAGCGATTCGGTCTCGAGAGACGTCATCGTGGGGTGAGTGGTGGTGGCTGGCGATCGGGTGCTGGTGGTGCATTTGACTGGTGGACAGGGAGGTGTGTTTTTTGTTTGCGTGTCTGTCTGTCTGTGTAGGGGTATATTTCATCTGAGTCTTTCCCTCTCCTCTTTCTCTCTGTGGATGGATGGATGGATGGAGTGGTGTGATGGCCTTCCTGCCTGCCTTTCTCTCCTTGTGCATTCCTAACTGTGTGCAGTACGTGTGTGCATGGAGTAAGTGCGCACACATCCATCACTGAAACATAAGTATATCGACCTAACTAAATGTTCGCAGGAATCAGTTGCGAGACCCCTTCCCACTCATCGCCACACACCAGACAAAACATATTACCGACAATGCCGACGACCAAAAACACAAACCATAACCCATCTCCCGCCAACACCATCCCACCGTTCTTCCATGCAGTCCGTCCATGCCCGCAAATCAAACACCCCCCCGTAGCCACACTAAAGCGCCCTGTAGCCCTCCGTGACTGTCCCAGGCAGATTGGCCGGCACCACTGGCAGACTCCTGCCCTCAAAAGAGTCGCCCGCAGACAGCCCTGTTGGCCCCACATGGTGTGCATGTGGCTGCACATGGTGGTGGTGGTGCATGTGTCCGGGGGTGGGCGGGGCGGACGCTTGGTGTGAGGAGAGGAGGGGTGAGGGCTGGGGGTGGGAGTTGAGCAGCGAGTAGGGGATCTTGCTGTACCCATGAGCTGCGCGATAGTTGCACACACACACACACACACACAGACAGAGAGAGAGAGGGAGAGAGGCAGCAGAGCCCATTGAGACGGCAGATTAGATCTGTGTGGCCCAGCTGTATGGCGAGAATGAGTGAGAGCGCCGGGAAGAAGACCGCTGCGGCCATGCAGAGCCAAAAGGGGCCTGCCACTGCTCGCCCGGCACTCGCCATGGGTAATACTTCACCTGTCCGGATGCAGACACCCAGACAGACACAACAATGGATGTGAGCTGTGTGTGTTTGCATAGCTTGCCTCGAAAATCATTGATCCGGTGGCCCAGCTGGCCTCCGGCAGCTCGTCGTCGGGCATGATGCTCCCATCTTTTTCTGTGATTCATTTCTGTCTGCTGCGACAAACCCCACAAACCCTCACATCTTAAGATAGCTGCGCAGAGATTCAATCAGTCTCCATAAGTTATACTCGAATACCTTTCGTCTTCACTCATGCTACGCATCCTAGATACCCTATTTGAGATACTGCTTCCGGCGAAAAATTCGCTCTCGTGTCTCTTACTACAAAAACTTTCTCCCTCACGGATGCCTGCCTCCTCTCTCCCAGGCTACCGCCCAGCCATGATGCCCCTGCTGATGGACTCGAATCGGTTCCTCTCCTCCCTCTCGCCATCCCTCTCGCCCTCCTTGACGACGTAGCTGTCGTACTGATACGCTGTCCGCGCGCTTCGCCGCACAATCCGCTCTCTGAGGGCCTTGTCGTTCTTGCATGTCTCCTCTGGCAGCCACACGCCGGGAGGGACGGCTGGCGGGCCTCCCGTGATGCGCTGCAGGAGCAGCTCGATGGCGAATGACGCCACTGCCTCGCCCACACAAACTGAAGGGACAGAAAGGACAGACAGGTGGGTTTACCTCTGCCCTTTGGCGTGTCCATCCTCTTTCGGCGTTTCACCTTCGAGATCGCTGTGGCCGTACAGACACACCGCGTGCCTGAAGACAACGCACACACACTCATCCGTCGATCTTTGCTCTAATAGCCCATTCCCATGTGCGGGTTTCGTTGTACCTGCCGTTCTTATCCCGTGCATCCACTCGCATCGCGTTCGCCGCGCCCACGAATGCATCGACTGCTCGGATCACAGGCATCGAGAAGTCAGAAAAGCTGTACATCAGCTCGCGATTCCCTGCAGACAGACATACAGCACGACCACCATGCTGTCAGTGTCGCCCGCAATGTCCGTCGGCGAGTCAGTGCTCACCGAGTATGTCTGACGGCAGGAGGGTCGTCAACCGCAGCAGGTCGTTCCAGAACTCGGGAGCGGTGGCGAAGTAAGTGCTCGTGTTCGGCACACCCAACACGTGATGACACGACTCGGTCTGAAGAAGTCACACTCAGACATTCTCCCACACTTGGCTGGACATAGCAAGGCTTTCGTTTGTGTGCCTAACTCACCTCCAGCAGGTTTATTCGGTAGACCTTCCTCGACCCGATGCTCTCGCCAAAGTCGACTGAGCGGATGCCGCTGCCGGCGGGATAGTGCACGGCCTCGCCCTTCTCGTATGCAAGGGCCTTCGCACAGACAACACGCACGCAAAGATGACGTTCGCTTACGATGGATGTGGGTCGTTTCTGTGCACCTTTTCGGCAAGGATAAGAAAGGTCGCGCTGATGAGGGTCGCACCTGCAGACATGAAGCAGACAGAAGAGTGTCACGCGGTCAGGCAGTCCGCGGTGTCCAGGTCCCCACCTGCGCCCCCGCTGCCTGCGGTGAAGAAGGAGAATTCTGTCGACTCGACCTTGTCCACCCCGCCAAGGAGCTCAGCAGCCTCCAGAGCCATCAGGTTGGACACACCAGGCCATATGCCGCCTGAACAGAAAGGAAAAGAAACATATGAAGCGTGTGTAAACACAGAGAAACAGGTTCAATCAGCCAGCCCACCGGAGAGGATGGCCGTGACTCCCTTGCTGACGGCTTCTTCGTGCATCTGCTTGGCCATCATGGCAGCACTGTAGTCGTCACACACATCCACATAGCCGCATTTGTGTCCGCTTCTCAAGAGGCCCTCCAACACAGCTGCTCTGGTCGACCGCTGGAAGGGCCCTGCCGTGTGCACCACCAGGTCACAACTTGTCGACTCGATGGCATGCGCGACGCTCGACGGATCAGTGGCGTCGACCTCGAAGAATTTAAGGGTCGGCCTGACACACACGGGCACCAGTGTAGTGACATATCCTACTGCAGCTATCCGTTTCACCCACCTGTTTCCCCCCAGCTGCACCCGCTCGCCCTCCACAAAGCCACCACCGCCTTCATCGCCCCCTCCCCGGGACCCAAACAGCCCCTCGCCACTGAACTCTCTCCCCTCGGTCATCATGGCCGCCAGATCCTGCTCCATCAGCCGCTCCCTGGTCTGCAGGAAAGCCCCCCTGTCGCGCCCACCCACAACGATGATGGGCTGCATCCCCGCTAGAGGCGGCTCCTGCGGCACCATCTCGCGAAGCGCCCGGACCACTGACCCGCCCACACGCCCTGTGCCGCCTGAAAACAAAACAACGGAAGATCTGCACGTGAATGCACTTGTTGTGATGCTTGCGTACCTATGACAAGCACCTTGGCAGTGGATGTGACTCGTGGAATGAACGGCGGCACTGCACTCATCCTCGTCAGGCGCCGTCTGAGAGATGAAGGTGCTGCAGATGCAGGCGGGCCAAAGGGCCGGAATGCGGCTACGAATGATGTCAACTGATGTGTCACGCAGACCGACACAATCAAGAGAAGCTGCGAGGCCATTTCAGCCGAATCACGTGCTAAATCGATTCAACAAACGATGAACTCAATAGAAGCTGGACCAGATCTATCGCACGCCAGGCCGAGCACTCCTCGCCGCTTCTTCTCTCTCTTCGCTGATGCGAGCTTATCTCGCCGGCGAGCTTCCAAAAACTGTTTGCAAGGGCCGGCGGAGGAGCTGCCCAGGAGCAGCTGACGAACATCCAAAAGGCAGCTTCTTGTCCATGATTCAGATTGGCGCACGACCGCAATGGAAGATAGACGTGGAAAGGCAGCCGCCGCAGGTATAGATCTGTGCAGGAATCACACACTGCGAGATGCTTTATGAATGCAACGCATCGCCATGCTGCTGCTCTGCTTTACTGCATTCTGTGCAGGCTAAGTTGGACTCCTTGGGTGTGAAGGGATGGGGCACATGGGGCTGCGAGGTCAGCAACTTCTCGTGGACTTACTCGGACAATGAAACGGCCTACGTCATAGAAGGTGATATCATGATTTGATTTGCTACATAGACTGGTGGCTTACGCGCTGCTGGTATGTGTGATTGCATCATGTGGTTGGGTGCATTGCCTACAGGTGAGGTGACGGTGACGCCGACCGGCGGCACGCCGGTGCTGATCCAGGCGGGCGATCTCGTCAAATTCCCCAAGGGCATGACTTGCAAGTGGGACGGTGAGCTGGCGCACAAGCACACGTGGACACATGACGTATACCAGGGTAGGGACACAGGGGGTTCGCGTGTGTCTGTCTGGCTGTCTGTCTGTAGTGACCAAAGCGATCAAGAAATACTACACATTTGAATGAAACCGGCTGACGGTGAATGTCCGATGGCGAAGTTGTCTTGCCCTTCCCTGTTCTGTACATACGCGAGTGCCATAGACGTCGTGACTGTGACAGTCAGACACTGACTTTGAACGATCCATTGCTTCAAGCTCTTCACGGCATTGACGAAGCTCTTTCCATCTCTTACTAGAGTCACTGCACGGCGTGGAAGGGTTTCTTGGCGTGGGGGCGTTGTGGGCCCGGGCGTCTCGAGCGGCGTCTCGGGTGAGGAGGGAAAAACCATCCCAAAAATGCTGGGCTTTGTGAACCAGCAGCGACCCCAGCGGCCGCAGGGTCGGAAGGGCGACAAAGCTGCTCATGAGGGGCACTACATCCAGCTGCCGCGAGTCGAGGATGCTGCGTCGGACGCCGAAGCACAGAAGCCCATCAATGACAGAAAGGCAGGCATCGTGAAAGTCAGAGGTCTCGACACACGGCCGATATGCCCTTAAATTACAATGCAGATGTCGGCCTCCCGTCAAGCGAGTGACCAGGTCCCTCTGCTGCTTGACGATGAGCAGGGGCTGGTGGAGCCCCAGCCGCCTGACGTCACCGATGACATCACCAAGGCACCGAGACGCTTTGAGCAGGTGTGATGCGGGCAGTGGCACGGTCACACACTCTCAGAGGTCTGTTGGTCGTTTGTGTTTCATCTGCAGGTGCCCTTGGTGGGTGCCCCGGCCGCCGACGATTGGGAACCGACTCAGTCGCTGAGAGACAGCATCAAAGAGGTCATCGATGCATCAGATGTGGAGGGTCTGCGGAATGCCCTCGCCGGTCTGTCGCCTGAGCAAGCCGAGAAAGTGCTGACGACTGGAGAGTGGGCACATCGGAAATGGGCCAGCTGCGACTCTGCCATCCATTATGCCGCATGTACACATCATCGTATAACAAAACATACATGGTGGAGCCACGCAGCCAGCCCATGCGTGTGTTGTCTCAGTGAAGTGTTCAGATGTGGCTGTCCTGGAGGTGCTGCTGCACGACAGGCAGCACCTTCTCAACATGAAAGATCAGGTATTGTGTTTGAGGCTTTCCTTCGCCCTGCTTCACCAGTCCGTTCACCTATTGTGCGCTTCACTGCTGCGGCTTTGCAGAAGGGCAGAACGCCCCTTCATTTTGCAGCGAGACGCGGGTCAGTCGATGTTGTGGAGAAGTTTGTCGAGTGGGGCGGAAAGGAGCTCCTGGAAGCTCTGAGCGAGGTCAGGACAATGACCTGTCGAGTGACGCATGACTTAGGAAGCGTCCCATTCATGCTGTGGTTCAGAATGGGCGGACGCCTCTTCACGACGCAGCAAGTCAGTCAGGCCTGCAAATGACGACCACACAGGTGCATAAGTCCTCATCATGGTTTCGCTCTTTTCCTGCAGTGCGGGGCAATTCCGATGTGGTCGAGTGGATTCTGAACGAAAACCAAGATCTGTTAAAGATAAAAAACGATGTAAGTCGTCATATCAAGCTGTGTGTCGAAGTTGTCTCTGCTGGTGACCTCATGACTGTAACAGGACGGAGAGACGCCTCTCGACTTTGCCCTCAAGAAGCCGAAAGTCGTCGTTGCGATGGTCGGCGTCGATGGAGATGTGGTCATGGAGCTGCTCGAGCGAGGCGCGAAAATGCCGGATGTGGCGGCACAGGATCTCGAGGAGGTGGTGCCCTTCGCGAAGGGGTTCCTGAAGGACCGCTCTGAGTCGCTGGGCCTCGACTGCCTTCGCTGCTGCTCCGTTTTTCGTCGGCTGATGCAGACACGATCGAGTGACTCCCTCACAGATGACCTGGCAAAGATAGGCAATTGGCTCGAGGTAAAGAGACAGGGAGGAACGTCTGCGGTGATTTTACTTCCCCGCATTGTGGGATTGACTCAGGCACTCATAGCCACTTTCTGCGCCGATACAAAGACCTGGGTCTTTCGAAAGTCACTTGAAGGCAAAGAGAGAGATTGGTTTGCGCTGCTTGAGTCCTCAGAGCCACTCCAAGTCGTCACACAAGGTAATCCACACAAGAGATGTCCTCCTGTCCGCCTGTGTGTCAGGCAACTCATGTCTCCTTCCTTCCATTTTGCTGCCAATGACTCCGACAGCCAACTGCATCTCTCTTGTCGAGAAGCATTGGAAGGAGGAATACGAAAACTGGAGCATGAAACTCGCACCCCGTGATGTCTTCATCAGCCGCGTGCTGTCAATGCTGCTGATGTGAGACTTATACCCATTCGTACAGACCGATGCACAGAAACGTACAGCATCTCCTCATTGTGTCTGTTGTCAGGGTGGCCTTTGTGCTGCTGCACATCGAGTCGATCAAGGGAGACAGCGATGTGATGATGCCGTGGGTGTGGCCCTCGATGTGGCTGTGGGGAGCAGTGCTCACCGGCACTGGCTTCATACTTCTGGAGGTCTTCCAGGTAAGACAGACGAGAGGAGCGGGGGAGACACGCCTGATCATCAGCACTCTCTATGTGTGCGCAGGCCTTACGTCTCAAGGCAGCGTACTGGGGAGACATATGGTACATATCAGTCTTCGTGCTCCAGAATTCATCCCTATGCCGTTGTGTGTGTGGGCATTCGTAAAGGAATCACGTGGACTTTGCAAGCGGCGTGTCGATCGTCGGCTTCATTACCATCCACTTCACTGGCTACTCGGCGGGAGCAGAGATCGGTTCAGGAGTTCTGATTGCGCTCCTCTTTGCCCTGCGATTCCTCCAAACCGCCAGCCTTCACCCAACCGTGGGACCACTCATCCTGTCCGTGAGAGAGAGAACCACACACAGAAGACACACAGCCACGGAGAGACATAACGCTGTCATGTCTTCGTCGGTGTGTGTGTCAGAGCTGTGGTGAAGATGTTGTCGGACATAAGCATGTTTCTGTGTCTGTACGTCTACATCCTGCTGGTCTTCGCGGGCATCTTCACCGTCCTCTCGTCCGACGAAGACCATCAACACTTCGGCTCCTTCCCCAAAGCCACACTCACACTGTGCGCATGGCAGCAGAGAAGCCACACGGAAAAGAGACACGTGGCTCTCTCCGTCTACCTTGCGTTGTGCAGTTTCTACGCGGGTCTTGGCGACTTCAGCGACCCATTGAACAATGCCATCGACAATAACGACACGCTGGGGGCCGTCCTGCTGTTCACCTACGTGATCCTCTCCTCCATCATACTCGTACGTGACGCACCGATGGACAAGCCACACACCCAAGGACTCCATTCCTGTCCCATCCTTGTTCTCTCTCTGCCCGCGTGCATCGATAGCTCAACCTGCTCATCGCTATCATGGTGAGACAGACACGGGGGGCTCAATTCATGTCTGTGTCGGTTGTCGGTGTGTATCTGTGTGGCCATCAGGCATCGACGTATGCGGTGATCGAGGAGTCGCAGGCTGCCCAGTATCAGTGAGTCAAGAAAAAAGATCCGACAGACAGACAGACAGACAGACAGGCAGACAGACAGACAGAGGAAAGCGGCGCATCTGCAACGGCTCTCCCTCTCTCTCCGTTCACATCTTCAGGTTGCTGCGCATCCGCGTGTTGAATGAGTACCTCACTATTCCTGTCCACGAGCGGCTGCCGCCGCCATTCAACCTCATCGGTCGGTGCCTCAAGAGACATCAACTGCATCCATCATATGTGAGCATGATATGTGTATGTGCAGCTGTGGTCGTGTCGGAGCCCTTGCACTATCTCGCCAACCTCATCAGCGGACGTCAGTCGGCACTCTGCCGCATTGCCTTCTGGTCGATGAAAGTCATCTACTGCACCATCGATGCGCTCCTGTGCGCCGTCGCCTTCACACCCGCATTCATCTACGAAGGATATGAAAAGATTCAGAAGAAGATGCAGGAGAGAGACTACTGGGAGGCATTGCGCACAATCGGTGTCATCCTTTTGGCGCCCGTGTTCCTTCTCTACAACTATGTGACGTCACAAGTGAGGAAAGGTGAATGACATAGCAACTTCGTCCGAATGTTCTTCTTGTGTTTGGTTAAGGAGTCTTCTGAGGACACTGAGGGCAAGAGACGTTGGAGGCGTGGAGCGCGCGACGATTTCAAGGACAGCATCGAGAAGTGGATGGAGGCCGCAGACCATCACGACACGACATCTCCGGACATCATGACTGGTGAGACAGGATCACTTTCAAACCCACAAAGCAGGCAGGCTGGGAAAAGGTGTCTGTTTTGATGTACTGCAGCCCTCGTCCACAATCACTCTTCCCAATTCGAGATGCTGTCAGGTGAAAAGGCAGGAGCTGGATCCATCCACGTACTTACACTTCGAGTCTCTTGTCTCCCTCCTTGCAAGGAATACAAAAGCAGCTGAGGGAGATGCAGACACAGCAGGAGCAAATGGGCGAGCGATTGACGAAGGTGGAGACGCACATTAAGGACAAGATGGGATAGGATTGGGCCAGGCGAGTGGGTAATGAATTCATACATGGCCCCGGGATGGACAAAAGACATCAAATGTGATGGTCAATGCAAGCGTTTCGGGATGTCTGAATCTGTGTGACACGCGTCAAATGCCAGAGTGACACTGATGACTTGTAGCCGACTGGGACACATTTTCCCGTGTGTGCCAATTTGTGCAGCGTGGGTGTGATGGATGGTATGACAATGGCCTCATGCAACCAATGATCGACGATGTATTCATCAAAAATAACACAGCCACCCATCCACCCTGCGTGTCTCCCTACGCATGCATGTCTGTCTGTCGACGTCTGTCTGTCTGTCTGTCTATGCAGGTAGACTAGCCGCCCTCCTCCTCGCCCCTCTCCTCCCTATCCTCCTCTCCGTCCAGGCCGACGTCTGTGTCGAGGTCAGCCAATCCATCACTCTCATCGTCTACGCCTTGCTGCATGTCGACACGGTGTGGGAAGTGATGAAACAAAACCTCCATCGACTGAGTGAGTCAGAGAGAACAACAAATCTGCTTTTGGTGTCTTGTCCTTTTCGTGTCTCGTTTGCTATCGGTGTGGCTGTGTGAGGGTGTGCATCGTACCGCCATGGAGGTGTTGTGATTGTCGTTCCTCTGCAGCTCAACGAGCTTCGTCACGCCGCCAGCCTGATCGAGGGGCAAATGCCGTGTCTACGTGGACCTTTCTGTCCATCCGCCACTCACCTGTTCGACCAGTGTGGAGTAGGGGTTGGTGGCGAGGCCCTCCGCCTGCTGCTTCCGCAGTCCCGCCCTGTCCAGCAGGAGCAACCACTTGTGCTTCCGATCTTCTCTCTCTCTCTCTCTCTCTCCTCACCATAGTATGCTGTTGATGGCAGAAATGGCGGACACACGGTGGAGCATGTCGCACAGAGGCTGAATGCACCCACACTCGATCACATACTGAACCTGAATCCGCACTCGCACACGTGTACACAGAACAATGAGGAAGACCCGATGACTTGATGACTGTCTGTTGGTTTGTTACAGACCTGCTGCTGCGATCCTTCGTCTGCCGCCCGCTCGATGGCGTTCGCCGCTACAAACCTCACGCGCCAATGCATGGAATCCTCATGTGATCCACCATCCGACAGTATGTTGACCAGCAAAGGCACAATGCCCTCATCCAACACCGCCTGGATGTGCGCAACCGTGCCTAGACACAATGAGCGCCACACCTAGAGAATACTTAATTTTCACTCCTCTTTTGCGTACCCGCACAGATTGTCGATACCGTCCAGCACGCCATCTCCGCGATTTCGTACTGCCATGTGCCGCCTTCAGGGTATGCCTGCAGCACGGTCTTGATCATGGGAATGACGCCACACTCGATCAGCGCACCGCGATGGTCATCGGGACCTGCACGCACATGCCGCAACGATTCACAACCCTCCCTGTTCTGTTGCATTTCTTGTGCTGACCTGCTGCTGTGTTAGCCAGGAATCTCATGACCGTCACTCGAATGGGATCGCGAACGGTGCTCTGCGTCGCGAGCTCTACCATGCGGCCGCAAACCCCACTCACCACCACGGCATCGGCATGGTGATAGCCCCCCTCACTCAGGCACTGCAACGCGAACACCGCCGAAGACAACACGTCTTCGTCCTGGCCAGGTGCGCCCACGACTTCCGCCAGCACGGGGAGGCACTCGGACACCAGCGCCACCGCTGGAGGAGTCCCTTCGCCAAAAATGGCGGACTCGCCACCACACAGGGCGAAGACCAGCGACACGCCGCTGCGGAGCACCGCTGTGGTCGTCGTGCTGCGCACCACCGTCAGCAGCGGCTCCATGACACCTCCCTCCAGGACCGAATCGCGGGCCACTGGCGAGGCGTCCGCAAGTCTGTCGAGCACCTGCATGGCCATCTCGCGCAGGTCGTCGTGGGGCGACGACACGAGCTGCACCAGGGGAGGGATGGCCCCCGCGCCGACCACCGCATCAGCGTGCTCAGGGCGCCATGAGATGTTGCCCAGAACCCGCACTGCCTCGCGCTGGATCTGGTGGTTGGATGTGTGGCTGGAGTCCGCCATCAGCGTCATCAGCACAGGGAGGACGCCATCAGCGTTGACGGCCTTCTTGGCTATCGACCCATTTCTGGGCCAGGGGAGGGCTATCAGCTGGGCCAGCTGGTGCAACCCGCTGAATCGAATACCGGCACGACCACCAGCCGATGACACCCTAGATGACACCAGACGGCAGATGTCGGTCACAGTGGCGCAGATCTTGGCCTCGAGGGCTTCCGCACCTCGCTGCTGCACCGCATTGTCGTAGGCCTCCCTAGTTTTGATGAGGTCGAACAGCTCACGGGCACGCTCCAACACTTCGCCGCGAGCAGGCCGGAGCGATGCAAGGGGGGATGTGCTGTGCATCAGGTGAGGATGATGGCAGGTCACCCAAAAAGAGAACGTTTACATGAACCCTGCAAACCCTGCGGGGGGAAACCCTGCGTGTGTGGAACGACCGAACACTTCCACGCATTCAATCAATTCAACCGCACGGCAATTGTGAGCGCCGGCAGCTCCCGGATTTCCTCGTCGATTCGGTTAGATTGTGTCCTCAGTCGCTGCGCCACTCTGTCGGTTCCGCGAGGAGGCCTCAGAATGAACGGCGCGGGACCATCGGCATCGTCATCGACATCAGCTGCGGCAGGTGGGCTAATTGATTGGCTGGGAGAGGGATGGGTGTGCGCCGTGTGTGTTTGTGTCGGTTCAGGTGTAAGTAGCAGCAGTCTGTTCGGCAACACGTTGGCACCACTCAGCGACCAGATCGGCACACAAGATGACCGACTGGCGGTGAGAGAAGACGCATGCAGCGATACACACGCGCCAAGCGCTCGTCCGGCCGCTCGCCATTGGTGTCATGTGGCTTTGCAGCGGTTCACTGATTCGTTGGCGCGTCTGCGAGAGCTGCAGGAGCAGATTGCTGCGTTACACTCGCAGGTGAGAGCAGCAGGGATGGGTCGATGGCCAGCGATGGGTGCAGCTGGTGGAGGGAGTGACATACATGTGTCCCGGTCGCTCTTGTGTGTGTGCAGTTGGGCCGCAACTTGGGTGCCACGATCAGTTTCCTGGCTGAGAAGGTCAGTCAGTGAGTCGGTCAACTCATAGCATGTCTTCCATCCATCCGTCCATCCGTCCTTTGGCTATGTGTGTCTTGTGGATGCAGGGGTCTGTGGCGGACAGCCGGCTGCCGATGCTCGAGGGTGCCACCATTGGTGTTTCTGAGGCGCTGGCCGCACTGAAGCACCAGGCCAAACGACTGCAAGGCTTAGCACTGGTCCGCACACACACGAACCGTCCGTGTGTGGATGACTCGTGTGTGTGTCCATCTGTATGTGTGATTGATTGGTTCAGATCGAGGGCCGCTTCAAGGAGTTTTCGTTGGTCTGTCGAGCCAACGAGGTGGATGCCGGCGGCTGGTGTGGGACGCTCCCGTCGCTCTTAGCGGAGGTGGGTGGGCGACTGACCGACTGACTGACTGACGCACACACACAGCACCGACTGGCGTGCTGTCCTTGGTTGGTGGCTTGATTCTTGTGCAGCAGCCGTCGGCCAGCGGGGCCACAGAAGACGCACAGGTACGACTGACTGAGTGGACACAGCGGGCCGGTGGATGCGCCTTCGCTCCACAGGGCAGCACTTCAGTTTGGCGCCCGAGTAGCACGATCTGGGGCCGCAGCAGCCGAGTCGACGACGGCAGCGGCGCTGAGCAGAGTACCGATACCACGGAAGAGCGCAAGGAGAAGGTATGTGTGTTGTGCCACACGTGCCGTTTTAGCCTGCTGATCAGCTGACATGTCTTGTCTGTGTGTTCCGTTCCTCTGCGTCAGATTGAGGCTGTGGAGTTCGTCCGCCGGCTGCATGCCGTCCCCGACGCCATCATGTGCCACACACTCCTGCCGCTCATCAACCTCCACCAGCAGCCCGACACCACACTCGCACAGATCAACAGCTCCCTCGCCGCCACCGCCCCCGCTGTCGGACGGGCCGTCGCAAGACAACTCGTGCGCCACGTCGACGGCGTCCTGCAGGTCAAGGGCCTCGCCGGCGTCATGGCCTTCGAGGGGCTGCGTCGGCTCAAGCGGCTCCGTCGGCCGCAGCAGGCCCGTCGGCGGCGGGATGCTTCCTGGCCGTTCCGGCTGGTCAAATTTGCCTATGTGATTGAGAGTGGGGGCGACTAGACGGGCAGTGGTGGCCTGCTGCGGCTGGCCAAGCACCACGGGCGGGTCGAGTCGCTGCCCATCGAGCTGACGGCTGACGACGTCGGGCGGGTGGGCAGCAAGGTCGTCTTCGACAGCCGCCCGCCCGCCATCCGGCAGTGGTCACTCGTTGGGCATCGACTGGGCAGAGGGATGGAGTTGGAGCGGCTGGGGGGCTTGCCGGGGGGTGCGCACGGGTTTGATATGATGGGCGGGACCTTGATATTCCCGTACCGACCCTTGCAAAAGATCCTTCTGGTCCGTTTGCTGGGTCCTGTGGATGCCAACGATCCCCCGTGCAGATGTAAGCAGTGGAAGGGACGGAGGGGAGGGGAGGGTGAAGCACCAACCAACCATGAGAGGGGCATGCTCATCTTCCTTCTTGCCTCTCTATATATATCTCTCTCTCTCTTTGCAGACAGGCGTGTCGATTACGGTAGCTTCAGCGGGATGATCATAGAGAGGTGGGCAGGGCAGCGAGCGACTCACTCAAGTGACTGAATGAGCAAGTCGGCTCGGCTCTTTGTGTGTTTCCCGCTCTCAGGATGAGTACGGAGAGGGCGTGCTTGATGCATGGCAAGACCTGGGGGCGGCAGACGGCGCAGTTCGACCAGATCGCAAGCATGATGAACGAGCCTCCGCCGCTCTATCGGCGAGGTCCGTTCTGCGCAGAATGAAATGATACACAGATTGACAGAACCAGTGTGTGTGTGTGTGTATGTGTGTGCAGACAAGGTCACCGTGAACGAGCAGGAGATTCGCTGCGACTTGGTGACACAGAAGATGATCGACCAGTGCGACCCCGTGACGCGGGACACGATCAACTTCGTCAAAAACGGCTGCCGCACCATCGACTACGTCATCGGCGACGACACCTCGTGTCGGCTGCTCATCCTCTGTGGCGACAAGGAGGGCGACGGCTGTGCGGCGCACATCAGCGTGCACATGAACCGGCCGATGGAGGGGGACGAGCGGTCGTGGGCGTACATCGCTGCGTGGAGCACCGAGGAGCCCCAGGGTGACGGCTCGAGGCCCACCGACTTCCACCTGGCATTCAGCAAGCTGTGTGCTCTGCCAGCGCTCAAGTGATGACAGATAGCCAATCACAGGTGCGTGCGCACGTGCAAAGGAATCCACACACGACAACGAACGAGACTGTCTTGTCTCTTATTTCTTTCGTGCATTCATGTGTGCAGTGGTCGGGGCGGCGTCGACCTCAGAGCTCGTCGTCTTCTACTTAGCTGACCGATGATGGACACCTGCCTGCCTGCCCATCCTACCCATGGATGGACCTGCCTCTCTTCTCTCCTTTTGCCATGGTGTGATGTGGGTTGGTGTGCCGGGCTGGACGACATGACACACACATCACATGTCGATCCACTCACTCGTACGCCTCTCTCCCCTCGTTTCTTGTTACATATACCAACCATATCTCCCTGTCCATGCGTGTCGACTCTACTCTGCCTCCCAGAATTCTTTGTTTCTTCGTGTGTTGATGAGTGGCGTGTCCGGGGCGGGCGTGTCCTCATCAATACATTCGTGTCGATTCATAGAGACGGGGGGGTGGGGTGTACAGACTGACTTGGCTGACTTGTGCGGCTCCATGAAGGGTTGGCTGGCTGCAGTGCGTGATGGTCTGTCTGGGTGGTCATGGGGCGATGGCTGGCTGGGCGGCTGATACTGACCCGCCATTTCATGCATGAGGAATCTGCCTGCTACCTGGCGTGCCTTCCTCTATCTCTATCTCCATATCTGTTTGCATATATGTGTACATATTTGTGCAGACAGCCGTGTGCGACGCACTGGGTCGGCTGGCTGGCTGGCTGGCTGGCTTGATGGCTTCAGAGTGGATGCGATTGTGTGCATGTATGGTGGACTGAACAATTGAATCAGTGTGTGCAGCTGTCCCTCATCAACTTTGGCCGGCTCCCTCACGAGACATATCAAAGTGTCACGGGTCTTACCACACATCCTGTCACACACTGATCTGTACAGGCACAACACAGACACAACACAACGCTCGTACAGAATATGCCCTGATGGATCGATTCTTCTCATACCTCCATTCGCAGACAGACAGACAGACAGACAGACAGGCCTGTGTACAGGCTGACTTGGTTGGCTGGCTGGCTGGGTATGGATGACGTTGACCTTTACCGTCATCGTGGGCTCGTGGTGTGGAGAGTGCATGTGGTGTGATCGATGGTATGGCTGTCTGCGTGTATGGCGGACTGTATGACTGAATCAATCGCACCTTGGCATGTCTCACCCATCACACATCGATCTCTGCAGTCCCGACTCACTCAAACACGTGGGCTGCTTTGAACATGGTGTGTGTGTGTGTGTGTGAGGTGACTGTGCGTCGGTGTGGTCAGTGTGAGCTTGTGTACAGACAGACAGCCATACAGTGCAGGTAGGTTCAGCCAGTCAGTGTCCGTCCCAGTGGTTGACACAAATCGTATACATGCATACAAGCCAAGCCAAGCACAGCTCTACACACGAAGACGTCGTGACCAATAAACACACAACACGACGCTCACACGACACTCAACAACGGCAGGCACCTAAGGGGGCACACAATCACCTTCGTAGCTACTAAGAAAAAAGATGGACACCTTACTTAAGCCCCCAGTCCCCAGACTTGTTGGCACACGACCATGTCCAGTTCCGACTCTCCTCTCTGCGGCTCGGATTGTGGAAGGCCTCGGTTCATGGCTATGTGCTGGTCTCCTCCCCCTCGTCTGTGACGACGGTTGCTGGCTCGTGGAGGAGAGGCACTCTGCCGCTGCCGCGCCGGGTGTGTGTGTGGCCGATCGACGGGACGCGGGGCAGCAGGTCGAACGGGGACGCCAACCGGTCTCCCAGTGAGACCAGCCTACCCCACGTCATGCCCACGGCCACCTCCCTCTCCCACGCCTGATCGATGGGATCACACACACACACACACACGCACAGAAACACACACCCGCACAGAGAGAGCATTCACCCGAATCACATTAAGTACTTACCTTCCACTCCCGTTTGTTGGTGATGGCGCACATGGGTATGGCGTGTGCCTCGTCCTGTCCATGCCGTTTGTCCCGGTTGGCCTTTCCCTCTATGGGAAACTCGTCCACCACACGCTGGTCGAGTCTGCAAAAGCTTCCGCTTTTGCCTCGGAAATAGAGCCACAGCTCTGACGGAACACAAACACAGTCGTTCGACAGACACATGATGTCCACTCACCCCACACGTGTCGCGTACCGCCAGCGAGGGGATTCCGAACGTGACTCCTGACGATTGCCTTCTTCTGGTTGAAGACGGCCTTCCTCAGGTCGATGAGATCCGCATTGATGTCGTCGAGAGCCACGACATCACAACACAAATGCGCAGAGAAGCCATCCCCCCCAGTGATCTCTATCCATCTCGTTATCATGCTGGAGCTGTCAGGTCAGAGATGTCGGCAAGGTCAGCCGCTTGGCTGCGGCCGTCGTCGTGATCTGCGGAGAGGCAGGGAGGACTAAAGGGGGAGGACTAAACGCAGGGAGGACTGTCGGTTGCCAGCTGCCTGTGGTGGCGATGAGCGGCAGATAGACGGCAGTTGGAAGTGGCTTTGTCAAACTGGTTTGTCGGCTCTGCACACTCAACAGACCAATCGTCACTCACAAGCCGCTACACCGCCGCAAACACCGCACTCAACGCTCACAGGCTGCATGAGACCTGCATACACAAGCAATCCACACAAGCAGGCAAACACCTCGTGAAGCTAGTCGTGAAGAAGCGCTTATTGTGCTGTCATCTGCCCACCGCCGGGCGTACGAGATGCTCGTGAGCGATGGTGGTGTGCCACTGGTGTGTCTGCCCGGCTCCTGCCTGACCCAAAGCGCCGCTCTCACTGAAGAAGTCTGCCGAGGGCGATTGATTCGATGCTCCTGACGACGGGGTGCAGGGTTTGACAAACCCTGAAGGGTCATAAACCCTACACAACGAACCCTCTCCGCCAGCCAAGTGGTCACAGGGTGAGATGCAGCCGCAGCACATCCCCAGTGAGCAGCCTTCATCCACCGGCACATTGGTCTCGATGCATGTGTGTGTGTCTGTGTGCCATTCAGGCGACTCGACGGCAGTGAGCGGTGTGAGTGGGTCGGGCGGCGCCATGACGCCCAACGGAGAGGGCGGGGAGGTCAGGGCGGCCACTGAGGCCGACGGTGACGACTGGGGAGCCAAGCCGACGGCAAACAACACAGCTTCACAAGGCAGCAACAAGATTGATGATCTTGACTCGTTATGGTATGACCGCAGGGCAATAGGATGGTGAAGAGGTCGAGAGGAAGGCAGTAGCCGTCTTGGTCCCTCCAGACCGAATATGTCGGTTCTGCATGGCTGGTCGAGGAGGAGGGATGAGTGGAGGCGGGGGATCAACAGACGCGCCGGCAAGACGGTCAGACTCAGAACAGGGAGAGGGAGAGGGAGAGACCACTCATTCATCTCTCTCTCTCTCTCTGTGTCTGTCTGTCTGTCTGTATGACAGGCGTGTGCATCGTTCCCTGGGTGTTGGCGCAGCTGATGTTGGTGACGGCAGGCGGCTGCGGGCCAGGAGGTCTTTCTTCCGCAAAGACAACCGGCTATCTTCGGCTGGTGGCCGCACGTGTCAGCTAATATGCTCACGTGTAATGAGGGGTTAGCGGCGCGTCGTCCACTGCTGGTGTGTTGATGGGTGATTGGCGGACGCGTTGTCCGCTGCTTGAGTGTACGCTGTTCTGGCCCGGTTGTGCCCGGCTGGGTGTACAGTACTGGTCTGACAGGGAGAAGGAGGGCAGTGTGTGTGTATAGTTGCACGTCTGTCTCTGGTGTGTGGTGTGTTGCCTTCCGGTGACGGGCAGACTGGAGTGTTCGTTGGTAGTGCATGGGTGGACAGCCGCTCGGTGTCTGGTGTCCCGGTAGCGTCATTGGCCTTGCGGCTCTGCTATGCTCATTCATGCAGACACATGTGCATAGGTGTGATGGACCTGATGCGTGTGACAGACACACGTGGATGGGAGACTGCCAAGGGCATTGTCTGAATGCTTCTGGGTTGGTTGAACGACACGCAAAGACCAAGTGATTTTGCTGACGAAACGAATGCCCTCACCCACACGAGTCTGAGAGCGGGAAGCACAAACACGAATGACACGTAGGCGCCGCAAGGAAGAGAAACGTAGGCCTTGTGGCCTTTGGGCAACTGTCGCATGAGATGCAGTCTGCCTTCTGACCTTGCTCTGCGACTGACGATGCAGTATGCAGTGAGCCGGATGCCTGCTGACAAACTGACACACAACCACACCCCATCCCCTACCTACGATGAAGCCTGCCTGTGTGTGTGATATGGACACGCATTCACGCGACAGAACCCACCACTGCGTAGACATAACGGCAGTACAGGCAAGCTGGCCAAAAGGCCGAGATCAGATGGGCGAAGCTCTGGTGGAAAAGCAGCAGGAGCGCACCAACCAAAGGCGCGCTCTTCGTCACAAACAGGCACACGTGCACTGCACCTCAGCAGCCAAGCCAGAGCAAGCGTCATTGGAGAAATCTCGTCCGATCGGAGATCTGCGAGCTCGAAAGAGAAGGAATCGGCAAGCCGAATGCCGCGGCATGGGCAGCGTGCTGTGCGGCGAGTGCGCTGCGGAGGGGGCAGTAGAGCAGGAAGCCGAGGCCAGCGACATCGCCCTGCACCGTAAGAACGGATGACTCGGAGAACCTTGTGCGAACGCTGCAGTTTGTTTGTACGGCGTGCTGTCGTGTGTTGTGTCGGCTCATTCAGATGTGGAGGGGGCGATTAACCACCTCACCGACACAACGGAATGGCTCGACGGCCTTGAGTTCGACGACTTCGTCACGTTCGCCACGCCGCTGACACAGCCACAGGTCAGGCCGCCTTCCCGTGGCGATGACGACAGCCATCCCAACCAGCGCCTGTCGGCCAAGCGCCCTGCGCCACTGGACCTCAGCAAGGCCAAGAACATGACCAACCGGCCAACGGACATAGCCGAGTACGGGGACGATGCACCATGCCGGTACGGGCAGCGGGGCGGCGGTGGGGATGGGGAGGTGCCTGCCGTTACGACGGACCCGTTCCTCCTGTCGCTGAGCACTCGCGGCATCAGACCCGGGTGAGCGCGGGGAGAGGGGGAGGAGGGAGGAAGGGGATGTGGCGTTGGCACACATGTATTCCCGCATATGATATGTGCTGTTTGATGCAGTTCTGACTATTGGGAGAGGCCGGACGTGAGGGAGCATCAGGCCGTCATCCGTCAGACCTGGTAGGCGAGGAGGCAACCAAGACAGACGAACCACACCGACTGTCCCGTCAACTGTGCGTCTATCTCTCTTTTTTTGTATCACGCATCGGACGAAAGGGGCAGCCCGACGAAGTTTGAGCGCATCGCCGAGCTGCTCGTATCATCGCGAGAAGAACGAGCCAGACGGTGCCACGAGGAGTTCCTCACTCTCAAGGCTCGGGAGGGCGGCGGTGAGTCTCACAAGGCCTTCTTCGGGATGGGATGGCTGGCAGGGTGGGCCAAGGGCAACACATGGCTCAGAAGCGACAGAGAGGCCGCCACAGAGGACGGAGGATAGCGAGCCGGTCAGTCGCTGTGTAGAGGTCGGTCTGTGTGAGGGTGTGTGTGCGGGGGGAAGCCGTGTACAGGTGACTTCCTTTCGCGCGGCATGTGTGTGCATACAGCTGACTGACTGACTGACTGAATCCTCCGACTCGTTTTTCGGCATACGTATATTTGTGACTGCTTCCACACGATCAGGGGGGGAGTGGGTGGGTGAATGGGTGGTGGGATTTGTGTGAGTACGTACGTTGGTTGATATTTGATATTCCCTCCATGGTCCGTTGGGTGTCGACGGCTGTGATGACCGTGTGCACTGGGGATGGATGTTTTATCATCCATACGATGGACGGATGGACGGATGGATGGATGGATGGATGGGCGAACGAACAAACGAACCGTACAAGCAAACATGGATAAGGTCAATGCATACACACACAGTCTCATGAGGGTCGTCACGTCACACCTCAAGGACAGTGTCTTGTGAAGAACCCCGTCCTGCAAGGAAAAACACCCAGGCATTGGCCAATCTCATCAGAAATATCCGTCGCTGCATGTACCCGTGCACTACACGAGCACCAAAAAGAGCTGCCTCAACAAAAATGTCTACAGATAAATAATAAGTTATGACGGACTGGGAGTGAAGTACACACAGAAAAAATGCGCTGACAGAGTGGGAGCATGCACACACCCTTCTGCGGCCTCGCCCTCACGATCGCTTGTGGATTCTGACGGTGTCGTCCACCATGGACACCGTGTACGGGGCGCCCAGCAAGTTGAACATGGCCAGGTGCACGTTGAACAGCCTGCGGACGCCCTCACGCACATCAGCATCCGAGATGCAGGCAGACACCTTGCGCACGCCACGGACACCGACGATGGCAGCGAGGGAGGTCATGAGCGAGCCGTAGAAGGCCTCGAACGTGGCACCAGTTGGCAGCCCACCTGTGGGGATGGGGAGGGAGAAACAGCAGACAGAGCAAACAGGCCATGCAGCATCGCCATGTGCATCTGCTTCTGTCTTCGTTGCCACTTCTCACCTTTCACTTCGATGTCCACCTCGTCAATGGCCGGCAGGTCATGCGAGACGTACCATTGCAGCAGCCCGCTTTGGTCAGACTGCAGGATGCCCGCTGGGGACGCACGAATCGGCACCGACAGTGGAGGCCGCTCCTCCCCGTTGCTGCCCATCTGGCGAAGGAACTGGAAAGCCGTGGTGGGCGAATCGTCGACGACCGTCTTGTATTGATCTCGGAAGCACAAGTGGCGGCACTGTGGCATCTGGGTGGCCACGGTTCTTGGCGAGGCCGTCAAGCTCGGCTACCGACAGGCGTCTCGCCGTGCAGCGGAAAGTGTGGGCGCGGTGGAAGTATGTCGTGTGTGCGGCAGCTTCGGGGTCCGTCAGCTGGGCGTCGTCATGCCCTGGTCGAGAGTCGAAGCACACGACATCGGCCAGCGAAGCGAACGAACGCACGATCTTCTGAACCTGACACCACGTACACAGGCGGACACAACGGCACGGCACGAGGATTGCCAGTGCAGAAAGGTGCCAGTGCATGTACCGCCCACCAACCCACCTGAGGTGATTCGTTCTTCATCCACCCGATGAGCTCCAGGTCCATCTTGACGTCCCTGCCGTCCGGATGCACCCGGGCCTGCGGCTGGTCGACGGCGGAAGGATGGAGCACCTCCTCTGCGAGGAGCCCCACCTCCCGCAGCATTTCCTTGTGGTCTGCCGTGAGTCTCCTCTCGGACTGGATATGCAGCTCGCGGAGGCTCCTTCGACACCCTCGCGCCACAAGGACCTCACGCAGGGCCGCCACCTCTTCCTCTGGCGGCAGCTCCCCCAGCTGCTCTGGTATGGGCAGAGGAATAACGCCGATAGACCTGAGGCGGGAGAGGGAGGTGCTGCCAGTGGGGGCCATCCTCAGGATCTTCGTCTTGCGCTCGAGGACGCTCTCGTAGACGTTCGTTACCGCCCACGAGAGCGGGACGTGGCCGTCGTCGAACACCTCCAGGCGCTCGCATGACGCCAGCCACTGCTCCAACACACTGACGTCATCCATCAAGTTGGTCTTGAAGGTCATGACTCGCAGGCACGGCGTGTGCCACACACGACCGCCGACGCGCACGGAAGCGTACTCCTTCGGCATGTCCCGGACCTCCTCGAGGTTGGACAAGTCGACGGGCGAGGGGGAAGCATCGCCAGGCTCTCTTGACGCCTCACTGCGGGTCCAATATGCCTTTACTTCGGTGTCTTCCTCGAAGCTGAGGACCTTGATGGACGAAGCGGGAGGTCGCGCAACGTCCTCCGGCTGTGCTGCCGCCTCCTGCTGCTCTCTCCGTGCCTTGCGTGCTTGTGCATTGCCCTCGATGATCCCGACAACGATGCCGCGACACCAGCGGGTATCTCTCTTGGGCAATATGACGTGGATGTGTGTGAGGTTGATCATGCGCTGTCCCCATCTGTACGCCACCTGCGGCGGCATCTTCTCCCAGATGTGCCGCACGCCGCCCTTGTTCGATCCGTCGATGGTGAGGTGGGTGCAGTTGGCAGCCGCCCAGCTGAAGACGGTGTGGCCGAGGGCTGGTGCTGCATGTGTCAGGTGCCATGGCTGATGGAAGCCGAAGAGGGTCGCCAGCTCATCGGAGGAGAGACGAAGGGACGCCTGATTGATGCAAAAGCAGAGAAATGGGACCAGACGGATGCAGAGAGGATGGCGAATGGATTGTCTGTCTGTCTGATCTCACCGGTCCGCGGTCGGTCGGCTGCCTCCCCGACACATGGATCAGTTGGAATGCAGGCGCCGACGTGACAGCCTCTGCATCAGCCATGGTGTCCTGAAGCAGCACCACCACACACAGGCACAACCGTCAATTCTTGCACATAACCCCCTGGTCCTGTGTGCCTGTCAGAGCCTCTCCCTCTCACCTCAGCTTGAGACGCTTCCACGGGCAAGGCCGCTGCCGCATTGCCGAGTGCATCTATCGCCCCAGCGACACTCAGGTCAGCGGCGGAGAGCTGCGTCACTGCCGAATCCAGCCATTGAGCGGCACTGCTGTCAGAAGGACGGGCACACCCCTGCAATGACACACACAGACACAAGACCAGCCAGAGGTGGCGAGACAAGCCAAGCATTTTCCAGTTGCTCTCATCTCACCTTGATTCGTGACTGTAGACGGTGGAGATCTTCTCCCAGGGCTGTTGTATCCTCGCAGATCTGCACGACACGCACAAGATCTCCACATGCTCGTCTCAGCCTCTGAGTGATCACCTTTCTGACGTCATCTTCATTGCTTCCGGCCTCCATCAACGAATCGCGCGATGAGAAAGAGAAGGTCCCAAAATGTATTCGAGCTCGCACGCCCAGGATCGAAACTCATGTTGCCGGGCTGTTCTTGCGTGTCTGGGAGCTTTGCTGCCGCTGTTGATCAAATGGCTGAATCTGTGCAGCGATCTTGCCGGAATACACACGGCCCCGCTGCAGCGCCGCCTCGACCGTTTTACGCGTGCGACCTACCCGAAACGATTCACAGCGCTGGGATGGGAGGGGCAGTCAGTCGAAGGGGACTTGGATGGGTGCGTTTTGTGTGCTTGATGAGTGCTGGGATGGGAGGGGCAGTCAGTCGAAGGGGACTTGGATGGGTGCGTTTCGTGTGCTTGATGAGTGCTGGGATGGACTTGGATGGGTGCGTTTCGTGTGCTTGATGAGTGCTGGGATGGGAGGGGCAGTCAGTCGAAGGGGACGTGGATGG